CTCTTAGAGGAATATCTGGACGACGTCAGAGCTTGAGTGCAGAATAGGACGAAACCCAGGGTGGACGAAGAAGACTTTCTCTTCTTCTTCTTCTGATCTCTCTGTATTGTCGATATGTTCATGTAGATATTTCTTCCTTGTCATTAATTCGGACCAAAGTATCAGTCTCAAGTCGAACCAATGGACTCATATTGTATTGCTACACGGTTGTAGCCGCTGTTCAACCGCAGCCATAATTCATCCTCCGCACTGGTGAAGAGAAACTGGTTGACCGGAAGGCATAATAGATCATTTAAGATACCTACGGAGGAGAAGACTAATTATAATTGTTATAGGCTTAAGATGCGACCACTACATTATTTACATCTACCTCCCGCTCTAGTGGTAAGAATATCCCCACGCACCCGAGCGGAAGCATTCCGAAATCCCGCAGTCCTGTCGCGTCCTCGGTTGTTCAGGATTGACCAATCCCACCATCTCTAATAGAATGGAGATGCAGATGGACTACAGCGACTGGACAACTCCGCGGATCCTTGCTGAGGGTATGACAATAACATACACGGAATAGGCACACCGCAGGGATGACATCTGCACCACTGCGGAGGGAATGAGGGGTGACCTCGACGGCTCTACCTATAAAGACGGTCGCATCCGCTGCTTCTATCGCCACTTATACCTATGTCATAGCTCACTATAACGAACCTCATCTAAAGAAATTATCTCATGGCCCAGACCATTGTCATTGCCGTCCTCGCGGCGGTGTACTTTCTCATCCGCTACTTGAATCGCACGGATATCCCCAAGATCAAAGGCCTTCCTGAGATTCCCGGAGTGCCGGTGTTTGGCAATCTGCTACAGCTTGGGGACCGACATGCCACTGTTGCCGCCAAATGGGCCAAAAAGTACGGTCCTGTGTTCCAAGTGCGCATGGGCAACAAGGTTAGTCCATTGACTCTATTCACCTTTTTGTGAGGGTGGGGGTTCTCTACTGACTGATGCATCATTCTAGCGCATCGTATTTGCCAATAGCTTCGAATCAGTGAAACAGCTGTGGATCAAAGACCAATCCGCTCTCATCTCGCGGCCCACCTTCCACACCTTCCACAGCGTCGTGTCCAGCTCCCAGGGTTTTACGATTGGCACCTCGCCTTGGGATGAGTCCTGCAAGCGACGTCGAAAGGCCGCAGCCACGGCGCTGAATCGCCCCGCCGTGCAGTCGTACATGCCCATCATCGATCTCGAAGCGACGGCCAGTATCAGGGAGCTGCTCAAGGACTGCCGCAATGGCGCTGTGGACATCAATCCCACGGCCTACTTCCAGCGGTTTGCGCTCAACACTAGTCTCACCCTCAACTATGGGTTCCGCATCGAAGGCAACGTCGACGATGCCCTCCTCCGGGAGATCGTCGACGTCGAGCGCGGCGTGTCCAACTTTCGCAGCACCAGCAACAACTGGCAGGACTATATCCCGCTGCTGCGCATCTTGCCCAAGACGAATCGCGAGGCCGAGGAATTCCGCGTGCGGCGCGACAAGTACCTGACGTTCTTGCTGGATATGCTCAAGGAACGCATCGCCCAAGGTACCGACAAGCCCTGCATTACCGGCAATATTCTCAAAGATCCCGAAGCCAAGCTGAACGAGGGTAAGTAGCTTGTCTGTCCTTTCGATGGTTTGCCTTACTGATCTTCCGGGCCCGCAGCCGAAGTGAAATCCATCTGCTTGACCATGGTCTCCGCCGGCCTGGATACCGTTCCCGGCAATCTAATCATGGGCATTGCCTACCTGGCCTCGGAGGACGGCCAGCGCATCCAGCAAAAGGCCTACGATGAGATTATGAAGGTCTACCCCAACGGAGACGCATGGGAAAAGTGCCTGGTCGAGGAGAAAGTGCCCTACGTGACGGCACTCGTCAAGGAAACCCTGAGATATTGGACCGTCATCCCCATCTGTCTGCCCCGCGAGAGCACCAAGGACATTGTCTACAACGGCGCCACCATTCCTGCGGGAACGACCTTTTTCATGGTAAGTAGTTATAGTCACTCTGGACCCTATCCAGCCAAATACTGACGGGATAGAACGCATATGCCGCCGACTACGACGAAGATCACTTCAAGATGCCCGACAGGTTCATTCCTGAGCGGTACCTCGACGTCGGCGAAGGCTCCGGCACCCCGCACTACGGCTACGGCGCTGGATCACGCATGTGCGCGGGCTCCCACCTGGCCAATCGGGAGCTGTACACGGCCTATATCCGCCTGATCACGGCCTTTACGATGCATCCGGCGCGCGATCCTGCTGACCGGCCGATCCTGGATGCGATCGAGTGCAATGCCATTCCCACCGCGTTAACCACGGAGCCTAAGCCGTTCAAGGTGGGATTCAAGCCCCGGGATGCGTCCAAGCTGCAGCAATGGATTGCAGAGAGCGATGAGCGGACCAAGGAGTTGTAGTAGATATATATTCGGAAGTAATGTTGTTGCGTAAAAAGCGAGATTTATGTAGTCCACCTAGCATGTAAGCTATTATTTTACCGTCATGAAATCCAATATTTCGAGAGTACCAACTCGTAATCTATCTCAATATTCACAATATCATCAGGAAGTGTCCATATAGTACCATCAGGCACGCAGGCACCAGCACCAAGGCACTAATTCCGCACCCCGGACGGAATCCCCGCGTTTCCCATCTGCATTCATCCCTACACAGTTCACACCTGAATCCTTCATCATTCCTATCCTACTCATCCCGTTCAAGACGATGGACCATTCTCAAACCCCTCCAGTCTCAGACCTATGGCCAAATACCCAGGAAAAGGCCTCCCATCCCCGGAAGCGACGGCCGAAATACGTCACCAAAGCATGGTGAGCTAGTCTGCCAGCCACCACCAACTCACAACAACAATGACTGACCGCATAGCACCGAATGCAAACGCCGCAAGATCAAATGCAACGGCCAATCGCCATGTCAACGCTGCGGCCGGCAACAGATCGAATGCGTCTACGAGGGGAGAACGCGCCCAGACTTGACTGAGCAGCAGTATGTCCATTGATTCATTCCATACGAGAAAATTCATACTAACAAAAGCAGGAATATGTCGCGTCTCATTGAGCAAATGTCCGCCATGCAGGAACAGATCTCCGCGCTCTCGGCTGCGGTCTATGCACTCTCGCGACCGGGCAACTCCCCGCAGGATCAGGGGCGGGTCTTTCGTCGGCCTATGTCAGCGAGGCAGTTGAGCTTTCAGGGCCCAACGACGTCGGCGTTTAGTTTTGATTTAGCTAAGAGTAGTCTGCAGCGTCGGGGGATTGTCGATGGCGACGGCGGCGAAGCTGCCGATGAAGGGGACGACGGGGACGACGGGGATATCACGCCGCCCACACGGGATGACACCCCGCTCGGGATGCTAAGCGACCCCCTCTGGACGATCAGCAAGGCCGAGGCGATTAGGCTGTGTCGAGTTTACGAGGAGGAGATGGGGATCATGTACCCCGTGCTGGAGCTGGCGGAGCTACTGCGGCAGGTGGAGAGTCTCTATGGGCTGTCTCCACGGCTTCCCCTACGGTCTGGGGATTACGACGTGCATATCCTGCGGTTGGTGTTTGCGTGTGCGCTGACGGCGGAGGCGAGCGGGCGCAGTGAGCTGGCTATACGCCTGTTTGAGAGCGTGCGTGATGTGGCGGACGATTGTGTCTGGGGGCCGCCGGAGATCGACCGGATTATCCTTTTGACTCTGGTGGTGAGTTTTCTTCCTGTTACATGGCGGCATGCTAAGGGTTATTAGGCGATCTTCTACTTTCAAATGGACGATGAAGCGCTGGCGTGGCGCACGATCGGCATCGTCGAGCGCATGTGCCTGGAAAAAGGCCTGCACCGGCGCGAGACGCTCTCCCATCCGACAGTGGTAGCGGCCGGCCGCGATCGAGTCCTGCGGCTGTTCTGGTCGATCTACACGCTGGACATGCGCTGGAGCTTCGGCACGGGGATGCCCTTTTCGCTCGAGGACAGCGACATTGACCCCTGGCTGCCCGAGCCCGAGGAAAAGACGCCGTACCTGCGCGTGATGATCCGGTACAGTCGCATCGCGGCCAAAGTGTGGAAGTTCATCGCCGCCTTCAACAACACCGGCGAGCTGAAAAAAGACGAGATGAACTACCTGGACTGGCAGGTATTGCAATGGGCGGCCGCCATCCCGGCGTCGTTGCGCCTGGAGGAGTCCAACAAGCAAGTCGCAGAACCGCGCAGCATCCGCCGGCTGCGCTCGCTGCTGTACCTGCGAGCTAACCAGCTGCGCATGCTCATCCACCGGCCCGTCCTGCACTCGGCGGGCCATATCGTGCGGTATCCGGCCGAGTGCCAGACGGCCGTGGACCTGGCCAAGGACACGATCCGCTTCATCACGCGGCTAAACGAGACGTCGGACATTTACCAGCTGCAGCAGGTTGCGTTCAATTGGTTTCTGGTCTCTGCTCTGGCCGTTCTGTTTCTGGCTGTAGTTCAGGCGCCGAGCCAGTTCAGCAGCCGGTGCAAGGAGGAGTTCTACATGGCCCTGGAGCTGGTCAAGGGGTTCTCCACGCAGTCGTACATTTCACGCCGGCTGTGGAAGTCGATCAAGAGCTTGCGCAAGCTCGGGCCGCAGGTTGGGCTCCGGCAGTCGGCTACTGACCAGCGTCGATTAACTGCTAATCAGACGGTGGATATGGCGCCGTCCAGCACTCATAGTCAGACACCGCAGGACGGGACGCAGATGACGCAGGAGCTGATGGAGTGGTTTGAGGCCGTGGGGACGCTGGAGAATCAGATTATGGGAGTGACGCAGGTCTTTGACGATGGCAGTGGCCGGATGGCCAATGGGTATATGTATGATTATGGGGGCGATCTGTCGAGTGTCATGCGAGATTTGTTTTGACTGCACCCACCCCACTATCAGATCCCACATATGAGACTGTGTTCTATTTACTGATGCGATACATCGACTGGTGGGATATACCGGGCGTATCAGCTACACAGGCAACGCAATCCCAGCCCTCTCTCTCAGCGCCTCCAGATCCCCCGCCGTCCAGTCCGTAACGAGCATATTCCCTGGCTCATGCGAAAACACCAGTCCCTCGATCTTCTCGCCCGCCATCTCAACCGCCAACTGCGGCGTCACCCCACACGCCTACCGTCAGTCAGCAGGGCTCTGCACCTCAAATACAGCCACTGGTGTGGGTGACTTACCCAAAAGACAGGCACCTCCCCCTCCTCAAACACCTGCGCTTCGCCCCAATCCGGTGTCTTAATATCCTTAATCCCCAGCCTCTCCGCCCCGTCCCACCCCCACGCAACCGGCTCGCCATGCGTCGCTCCGTACGGCCTCGTCACCTCCCTCACCCGCTCCACATCAGACATCTTATACGGCCTCATCGAAACAACCATGCACGCCTCGCTGAACACGCCCGCAGGCATGAGCGGGACAGTAGTCCGATACATGGCCACCACGCGGCCGGTAATCTGATGTCTAGGCGTTAACCCGGCTTCGCACAGCGCATCCTCGAAACTGAACGAGCAGCCGAGAAGAAAGCCTACGTGGTCGACGGTGTATACATCCGTGAGATCCTTTCTGGATGCGATGTGGCGGCCGGACTGGTAGACGCGGTACTGCGGGCAGTCGGTGCGGAGGTCAAAGTCGGGATTGATGATGCAGGCTGCTGGGGAGACGGTGTGCGGATTGCCCTGGGGGATGATGCCGAGGAGAGGGCAGGGGACGGGGTTGCGGAGGCAGAGGGCGTGGAAGTCTGGGGCGTAGCGGGAGGGGAGGATCATGAGGTTGGCTTGCAGGGAGCCGGGGGAGAGGCCGGAGGTGTTGGTTATGATGTTTTGGCGGGCAAGGAGGCGGGTGGTGTAGCTATTGCTTTTGCCCGTGGTGATGCTATTGCTGTTGCTGTTGCTGGGGGTGATGCTGCCCATTTTGCTAGTTGATAAGGTGGTTACGAGTTACGAGTTACAATGTAAAGTGGATATACGTAGGATGCACCCAGATATCTACCATCAATATCATATGCACTGCATCTATCTATCTGGTGGCCATGCGGTAGCTGGCTACGGATACCCCAGATATCGGCATGTGGGCTCCGAGATAGGCATTCCCCTGGTGAAGTCGGTATCCAACATCCTATCAGTATGGTTGATACTCATGCCGATCCACCGGATTGAATTACCGCCATTAACGTTGCTTTGACCCCAATTCTCCAACAGCCACGGACCAAAACGTCTCCATCCCCACGTTGCTCCACCGTTATCACCCCAATAGCTTGATTCCATCGGCCCGATGAGGGGAGGATCGGCCGACGACGATGATTGGCATGGCAGTTTTCATTACGGAAGATAATCATTGCCGTGGGCTATCTGATTCCGGGGTAATGCTATCATAATATCATCTACCGATCTGGCCAGCTCTTATAAGACTAATACTCGTGCATCCACACCTGGTCATCTATATTCCATAGTCAGGGCCGTCAACGAAATGACCGAACCAGACCACAAACCCTCCCTCCAGGAACCATCGAAAGACGCCCAAGAAGACATCGCCCAGGGCATCGACATTGATTTGCAAAATGTCGTCCTCGACCCAAAAAAGGAGCGCAAACTCCTCCTCAAACTCGACCTCGCCTTTGTCCCCATCATCATGCTGACCTATCTGTCCTGCTTTCTCGACCGAACCAACATCGGTATTTGTCCTCTCACCCACCTGCCAATCTGGCTACTGACACTTCGACAGGAAATGTCAAAGTAGCAGGCATGCCCGAAGCCATCGGCGCCTCGCCCAGCCAATTCTCCACCGCCGTCTCCATCTTCTACGTGACCTACGTGCTCCTCGAAGCCCCCTGGGCCGTGCTCATGAAGAAGCTCACCCCGCGGAACATCCTCACGGGGCTGTGTATAGTCTGGTCCATCACCACCGTCTTCACGGGGTTCGTGACGAATGTCCCCGCGCTGTACGCTACCCGCCTGATCCTCGGCGCCTGCGAGGCAGGCCTCTTCCCCTGCCTGAATCTGTACCTGACGATGGTCTACCGGCGCGAGGAGCAAGCAAAGCGCGTGTCGTACCTTATGAGCTGCGCCGCGATTTCCGGGGCGTTTGGCGGCTTGCTTGCGTATGGACTGTTGCATATGGATGGGATTGGGGGGAAGGCTGGTTGGAGGTATCCCTCCCTCTTCACTTCTCTTCACTTCGCTTCACCTGAAGTAAATGCTAATGCTACGTAATCAAGATGGGTCTACATAATCGAAGGCCTCTTCAGCCTCATCTGCGCCTTTCTCATTTGGTTCGGCCTCCCCAACGACCCGTCCAACGCTTACTTCCTCACCCCCGACGAGAAACACATGATGCGGGTGCGCAACGCCCAGCGAGCCGCCTACATGGGCAGCGACGAGTTCAGCTGGGCCGAGATGCGGATCGCCGTCACCGACCCCAAGCTCGCATTCAGCGCCATCACGCAATTCTGCCAGGATATCCTGCTGTACGGGTTCAGCACTTTCCTGCCCACCATCCTCAAGGGGATCGGGTACGATTCGCTGATGAGCAATATCCTCACCGTGCCGGTGTACTTCTGGGCGGCGATTGTGTTTGTGAGTGTGGCGTGGGCGGCGGATCGGTATAGTCGCTTTGCGATGTTCCTGCTGGTCACGAATGTGTTCGGGCTGGTGGGGTATATTCTGTTGCTGGCGGTGTCGAACAATGCGGTCAAGTATTTCGCGACGTATCTGATCGGGATAGCGACGTACACCGGGGTCGGGCTGAACATCGCCTGGCTGAATGTGAATGTGGCGCCGCATTACCGCCGCGCGCTGGAGATTGGGCTCCAGCAGACGATTGGCAATCTGGCGGGGATTGTGTCTGGGCAGATCTATCGGACGTCGCCGTATGTGCTTGGGAATTCGTTCTCGTTGGGGGCGCTGGTTGTTGCGCAGGGGGTGGTGCTGGGGCATGCGGTTTATCTGCGGAGGGAGAATAACCTCAAAGTAAAGATTGAGGCGGGGGAAAAGGAGGATACGAGGCGTGTTAGGACGGGGGATAAGGCGTTGGATTTTGTGTATCATTATTGATCGCGGAGCGTTGTCTTTAGTATACTGCCTGTGCTTGCGGTGAGGGTATGCAGGACTACTTGACCAAGTATATACACATGCTGCCACTGACTGAATTTCTCAGTATCACAGATTCTACTTACTCTAGAGATGGTCTGGACACTTTAACCAGTGGTAAGTGGTGACTAAAGATAACTGCATATAAACTATGTTTCAACATTCATTTGAACAAGACGACCGTGTATTCATGATAGATATAGATACATACAGATACACCGGGCAACTACCTTCTATCGTGCGACTCCTGCCCCAGACTCAAGCTCTCATACTTGCTCAACATATCCCTTACCCCCGACGCCGCATAATTCCTCATCCTCTTGCCATCCGCCGCCGCCACATCTCTGCCCTCGCCTTCCCCCAACTTATCCAGCCCATCCTCATAGTCATCCCATTTATCCGGCTTCGACGAGGGGGGATACCGCCCGAACAGCTCTTTGATTTCCTCCGGCACCTGATCCGACTCCAGCACGCGCGCCTCCTGGTCATGTGCCCTTACCGACTGCCGAAAGATATGGAATAGATTCCGGCCTACCTGTGACCGGCACGCGATGACCGAGAATGCGCTCGTCAGGGCAAGGAAGTCACTGTCGAGGATATCGAACGAGGCGTGGTCGAGCATCGTGAATAGCGCGACCATGATTGCGTATGTGGTGAACGGGTGGGTGCGGCCGATGCCGTATTCCTCGCGGTGGAGGCGGACCAGGGCAGCGATGGCGCGTGCCGACGCGAGACTCTGCTCGGTTGCTTTGTCGCGGACGTCTGCGGGGAGTTGACTGGAGGGAGGGACGGTGGTTTGCGTTTTGCCTTCTTCCTCGGAGAAGAAGGTGTGGACGCCAAAGCCGTCGCGCGAGAGGCTGATCAGGATGGCGTGGTAGCGCATCCTACTATGGTCAGTAACTCTGAGCTCGAGCAGAGGCCAAGCCAAGGGAAGGAAGCGGGCAAACCTGAGTAAGAGGATATGGGCCGGGGGTTTGCCGGCTGGGTCGAAAAAGTCCGGGAGCTGGGCTTCCCACTCCTGCAGTTTGTCGTAAAATTCTTTCTTTCGCTCGTGCTGAGTGGCGTCGGGGCGGGGTTCTTGATAGAGATGATGGGAAATGTCCCTCGCGATAAAGGACAGTCTGCACGCTTCGTCAAAGTATTGGCTGAGGAACGACGGCCGGGGCGCTCTACCTGTTGGATACGGAACCCATTGCTCGCTGGGCTGGCTTTCGTCGCGGTCGATGCGCTTGACGCATACGCGGTGGATTTTGCTCGGTTTGCGAAAGTTGGTATGTACGACACTATGCGGTCAGTAGTCAACAGAAGCAGAACAGCCGAGTAGGGACCTACGTGTCGACCTGGAATAACCCCCAGGCGGTTCGTTGGATCGAAGATCGCATCTCCTCGGACATTTGCAGCTTGTCTAGGTCGAGATCTGGGCCGTTGATGATGCCAAGGGACTCGGCCATTTCGATGGCGCGGTGCAACATGGTATATCCCAGATCATCGTCGCCGGACATGGAGTACCTGTACAGTCAGTACGTGAAAATGCTCTTGGGGAGACAGGACCTACCTTTCATACAGAAGCAGTGTCGCCTGCAGAGACGCCAGACGCACACTCCTCCCTCGTTCGAGCTGGTAGGTATGCATATGTCGTTCTGCTTCGGCGAGGAAATCACTCCCTTTGGTTTTCACATCGCCCGGTATCGCATATGCCTCGGAATATTGTGAATAATGCTGGTGTCTGTCAGCAGCTCAACATAATCACCAACCAACAGGAAACATACGCATGCATTGGCCAGCATGGCATTGACCAGAAACGGACTGCACAAGTCCGAGTTCGTATTCCTGCCCTGCATATGCCGGACAAACGCCCGCAAATCGACAAACGCATAGAACGGATAATCCCAGGTGAAATACAACGATATCAGATGTGACACCAGCGCGTCGTCATCCGTCACCGTCGTCCACGGCCTCGCAGGCACCTTGTACGGCGCCACGTCGCACAGATATTGAATATCCATGACCTGGGGCCGGAACGGCGGCTCGCCGCTCTCGATGCGCACCCGCATCCGCATATCCTGCAGCCGCTTGACGGTCTCGCCGTCCCGGCCGGCATCCTGCACATCCTTCAAGGTCTTCTCGACGAATAGCTTCATTTCCTCGATCGAGCAGTCGGCGCGGATCATCCCCTGCAGTGTTTGCAGGTGTGCGTTGTCCACCAGGCGCATCACATTCAACAAATCCCTAAGCAGAGCCCCGTGGTAGCTGGGGTCCTCCATAATCAAGTTCGTCGCGACATCGTCGACGTCGTCCTCATCGTTTTGATTCGTATTTATAGGTGCGTCTGGCCGGTCTAGCCCGGTGCAGCCGGTGCAGGGGGCAAGCTCCACGCTCTGCTTGTGGGAGACAGTTAGCGCATACTTTCCGGTCCTCCCATTTCTGATGTTAGTTTACCCGCCTTGCTCGTAATTCCATCGTTCTTGCTCTTATCCTCGGTCTCATTCTCGATCAGGGTGTGGCTGTCGGTGTCGCGGGCATTGTTATTGTTGCTGGACATGGTGGGCAAGACCCGGGCACATTGCCCACTGCTTGTTTCGGATGGTCTGCTGTAAGATGGGGATGAAGATTGAGCTAAAGATGCTAAAGATGGAGGCGGCTCTGGGGACGAGGCACGGATTCAGACAGAATGTTCTCTTCCCAGGGAAAGGAAGCACTTGGTGCTGTGGTTCCGCGGATGATGCGTAATGACGTCACTGTCTCGTCTCTTGTTATTCGAAGATATTACAAGAACCTTTGGACTGTCTCTCTTACATTCCGTCAATCTTGGAAATTGTCCCCAAGACCTGGGGAAAGAGTGGATTGCTAATCCGGGTACACGCCTGATTTGTGGGTGATCAGCCGGAGGATGGAAGGACAGTGGCTGGCGTGGATCCCAATAGTATTGCCCATCAGGTTCATGTCAAGCAACAGGTATCTCGAAGTTAATCTTGATTGTCTTGAATGGCAGTGCATAGTAAGATATTTTCTATCCATTTTCATAACTACAGCTCTATATGCGACTTCAGTATGCTGGCAGCTGGATAACGCCATGGCGCATTGACACGGACCAGCCATATCTTGGCAATACGTCACGAGACCAGACCATCAAGTTGGGCACATTACAGGTTATGTTGCATTGAATATGACCAGTTCATAAACTAACATTACTTGTCTTTCTTCAACAACCCCCTCAACGCCTCCGTCTCCCCTTCCAACTTCGACACCCGCATCTTCAACTCGTCCCGCTCCCGCTTCACCTTCTCCAGTTCCGCCTCCAGCTCGTTCATCCGGTCCACCCGTCGTTGGCGATATCTGCGTGCAGCAAGGGTATTCAGCTGACGCTTGGAAACCCGGTTCGGGGTCTCCTTGGGCGGGTGGTTCATAGAGGTCGATGCTGCAGTAATGGACACGGGCGGGGGTCTCGAGGCGGGCATGAGCAGTGGTGGAGTCAGCGCTTGAACTTGGCGTTGGTTGATTTGTGTGTCTGCTGATATCAGTATAATCCTCGCTTGAGGCTGAAGGGACATACCTGAATCTGTGCCCGAGGAATCAATATCCAGAAAAGGCATAGAGTCGTTCACATCAACAGCAGGAGTCGAAATCGCAGTCAAGTCCAACGAGTCGGGCGCATACGGCGAACTGGAAGTCCCCGTTGGTAGACTTGCATAGTCCAGATCACTGAGGCCAGCGAGATCGGCGGGCAGAGGTACAAAGGCAGATGGGTCGGTGTCGTAGAGTGACAGTGACGGGTCGGGAAACGAGGCAAGATCGAGGTTGGTATCCGGAAAGACAAAATTTGAAGAACAAAACGCCGGGTTACTATCGTAAAACTCAAAGGGAGAAAACTGATGATGCGGTTGGAGGTATCCAGGAAGAGAATTATGCGAGTTGCTGAGGCTGGAAGAAGACTCGGCCGGTCTGGCGGGCCACCTGCACGGATATGGCGGTGACCGACATTGTTCTATGCTTTAGGCCGGGTCGGTGACCCGGCGGGTTTAAGACAGATTTAAAGAAAAGGGCGTCTGGTCGTCGAGAGCGACGATGATGGATGGGAAGAAGGAGAAAGACGGAAAAGTAAGCGGGGGATGGCGCTTTATAAGTTGCGGATGCACCAAATCCGCGGGTGGGGCGCAGTCTTACACTTAATTAATATCGGTTATTTAGTCTACAGAAACGTCTAAAGATAGAAATATTATTATATTGAGTAATTGGCCATTCATGTTCTTTCCTTCTACTCCGTGCAAAACAAACAGTTGGCCCTGGATATAAAACAGTCAGTGGCAGATCATTGGATGTCTCAACAATAGACAGAACAAGAAGGATCAAGTCAGAAGATGTCGACTCGTCACTTGAAGATGTCTTCCATGATTCATCTTCAAGAGCTTCAGAATGCCACGCATATCAGCTCGGAGGGTATAATCATTCTTGTTGCATAGGGGGCAGTATATGGGGTATTATGGATGACTTACCAGAAGCTTCTTTCAACTTATTCCTCTATCTCAGGCACAGTATCAACGCCTCTATCTCTACTTCATTTACTCTTCTACAGCCATATTATATGACATTGTCTGCATCTCTCATCCAACGATCATCTACGCTCATAATGAGTCTCAATGACCACCATGATCAAACAAGACATTACTCTACTTCTCAGTAATTATTCTACTTCTCAAGCCTCACTATCATCACCATCATCCTGTATCATCCTCACTCATACTGTATAACCTCATCTATCGTCAACATAAGACGGCGATCTGATTGGCCAATTCCAGCCTTCCGGAAACAGTTAGTCTGATAAGAATCCAATGCCAAGAATGAGCCAACATGACTCATGCTGACTCATGCTTTTGATTGGCTGAGTGTTTCAGTCTAGACGCCGGTGCGGGGCAGATCCACTTCTTACTATTTCCTAATCAGGAACCGCACATCGCTTACCCTCATTTGATGGAACATGAGCAGGCTGTGTTGCTTCACTATGCATGGCGAGCGATGTATTAGCAGAAGCTATTGCAATAGATGCTGTCTGTCAAATATCCCATTATTTCGTGGAGTCCATTCTTCTCTCCCCATGAAGGAGTCGTCAGATCTCTCTCGAGCTACAAAGGCAAGGTTCAGTGATTATGGCTACCAATTTGGAGTCATCTCTGTCATTGATAAAACTCTCTCTGTTTACAGGTCGTCCCGACTCTACGTTCTACGCTACAATGGGTTACATGTCTTCAGACTGCCAGGATGTCTCAAGATGGAATCAATGAGTGATGATATTGCTGCGATATAAGCCAGTAGTAAGATCAAACAAGACACAAACCAGAACCAGAACCAGAACCAGAACCAAAGCAGAACCTAACAGGGTAAGAGAACATACCGAATAGTCTTTTCTTTTTGCCTGTTTTTTCGTGGTTCAATGTTCGACGAAACCTGCAGTATCAGCCCCGAAGCGACTCAGAGTACGGAGAAGAGGCGGCAGAGGAAAGCAAACTCGCCAACTGAAAGTTGTGCGCCGCGCTCGCGAACCAGGCCGCGGTCCTCCCACCAACCTCCATCCTCGGATCAGCTCCATGGCGGAGCATCCACCTGATCGCATTTGTCCGATCATGCCACTGCTCGGCGGCAGCGATCATAAGCGGCGTGCGTCCGTTCTCCGCGTTGCCGTTGTTGATTGCCTCAGGGATGCGGCCGTACAGATACTCAAAAAAGTCCATGTTATCATTGGACTCGGCAGCCGCATGCCAGGCATTTCTTCCTAGGAAGGGCAGGATACAAACCGCAATGTCGACCCCGTCCTCAGCGAGATCCCAGGCCAGAAGCGCATCTGTGTGTCGACACAGCTGGTACTGGGCCACCTCGGTGACTTGGGCCTGCCAGTTTGGCAGACGGCGGACACGCTGCCACATCCTGCTGAACATATCGGCGCTGTGGTAAGCGGCCAAGGTGAGGAAGTTGGGCGGCTCGTTCCGTCTTCCAACGCGACAGACGCCATATAACAGGTCCTCGGGCTCCATCCTGGCAATGAGGTACTTGGCAATGGCATTGTTGCCCCAAGCGAGAGCCAGACCCAGCAGACGCCAGCCGTTCAAGCTGAAGGACATCAGGTCCAGACCAGCCTCGACCAGTACCTTCAGGATCTCGAGGTTGTTAGTCCTGATAATACCAGCAATAGTGTCGGGGGCGCGAATGAAGGGAACTTCGCATGGATGGCGGAGGTGGCTGGTTGGGAGGACGTTATCGGGGAGCCTGCCACCGTAACGCTCGAGAACAGCAGCCTCATCTGGAAGGGTGTAAGTATTTTTCTCTATGAAGCGAAGTTTGATTACCTCTTTGGCGTGCGAGGCGAGGCCCTCCACATCTCGCACGATACGACGCAGCTCTTCCTCGTCGAGGAAGCCCAAGCTGTGCTGGAGGATCTCCGCAGGGAGTTCCAGCAACGAACGACGTCTGGGTGTATCGTTTGCCATTTTGTTGTTGGTGGGGTTTACACGAAGAAGTTTCAAGGGAAGTTGTGTAGAAAGCTGAAGAGGCTGGCAAGAATGCTGATGATAATCGTACAGGTAAGAGGGTTGAAGAGAGTAGATGATGATAAAGATGGAATAGATTGATATTGTAGAGAATGACACTCCTTATATATCTTCGCTCATCTCCAATGTCTCAGTCGTTCTCGTCCATACAAGACATACATTCTTCAACATCTCTGAATGAAGCTGTACATGTCTTTCAACTGTCGTTGTTGTATAAGACATCTTCTACTATGTCTGCATCCTCATTATCACCTGGCGGAGAAGTCCATGATAGTAGAACCCAGGAGCATCAATTGTCTCTATTCCAAGACAGCACCGTACGGGACAAGAATTCTCCCTATCATGCCAGTAGGCCGGGCAGACAAAGGCATTGTCCTGCATGATGGTTTGAGAACTCCGCCAAAGGGAAGACATATGACAAAGACATGCGAACAAAGCATTGTCTTATTTGGTACAACCGAACCAGCGATACAGAAGAATATGCAATTTGATAGCCCCTACAGACGCTATTCGTTGATACAGAGTAGGTAGGTGTCTTTCAGAACCATTGTTCAACGGAGAGACAAGAGTTAGTGAATGGAAGAGACTACCTGGTTCAGATATGAGATTTGTAGCCTGGTCTGGTTGTCTTTTCGCTTATCTGGATATACTAGAGCAGGTCACTACAGCAAGCCTCACTGCCTACGTTCGTTGTACTCTTCTTTTCTCAGTATCTACCGTCGGCATCCCTTGGGTCAAGCTATTGTCAACCTGAGTATAGATGAATACCCAGAAAGCAGCATGCAGCAACGTGGCTAATACTAGACCTATCGAACCAAGGATACAGCTAAGCTGCAGATAATACTTATATATACTTAGGAACATATTTACATTTTGACCAAAGGCAGATCACGACTGCCTTCTCTCCTCCGTCTGCCCATTCGCGTCCTCTGCGGCCTTATTTTCAGTCATCTCCGTGGGCGCATGCGCCGCCTCGTCCAGCTCAAGCGTCGGCGCAAACCGACTCTTCATCCTAAGCCTCTTCCCATAAAGATAGAAGATAACCGGGATCGGCACCAGCGCGGTAGCAACACACCCCAGCAGCGTCGCAGCCCACTGAATCCCCATATTATTGAACATCTGCCGCGAAAACAGCGGGAAGCTAGCTGCCAACACGGACCGACAGAAGGTATTTGCCGCGATGGCCGAGGCCGCACTGCACTTGTTAGAAGAAACGCCTTATGCGCCGAGAGCAGGGGCATAGACTTACAACATGAGATACGTATCAATCAAATAATTAAACAACTGGATAAACACAATCAACAGCCCGAACCCGGTGAATAGCCCACTAAGGGTCGACACAATCCACGGCACCTCAGCCGTGAACCCCGTCCATCCAAACCAGAAGATGCCCGCCGCGAAGAGCGCCCCGCCAGCAATCACCGGCGGAAGACGCCATTCGGGCACCGGCACGCCCGCATTCTCTTGCAGCTTCTTGTTGTACGATCTGCTGGCAAAAACACAGATGTAGGCGCCGCCGATCAACAGCCCGACGACCATCCCGAAGAGCGGCAGCCCGCCGACGCCCGCGTTCATGTGGTACACGCCCTGATAGACGAGGCCATACGCCGTCAGGAAACAGTACAGCAGCCCGTAAATGAAACTGAGGTAGAGCGTGACGGCGAGGATGAGGGGTTCGTGCACGAGCAGGCGCAGCGGGCGGGAGAAGTTGTTCACGAGTAACTCCTGCAGGTCGATTTCGATTTCCTCCTGCTTGGCGTGGATGCCCCAGTTCTTTGTGCGGCGGCGGAGCTCGGCGGCTTTGTAGATGAGGATGACCGGCGGGTAGGACTCCTTGAGGAAGAAGAAGTTGAGGATGAGGGCGGCGTAGCCCATGATGGCGGGGATGTAGGCGGTCCAACGCCAGCCCAGATATGACATGTTGATGAAGCCGCCGATGAAGGGGGCGAGGAGGGGGCCCAGGAAGACCATGCTGGAGAACATGGCGATGGCGATGCCGCGGGACCGGTTGTCGAAGATATCGGAGAAGATGGCGGCCACGACGGCGAGCGGGCAGCTGCCGAAGACGCCGGAGAAGAAGCGAGAGATCAGAAGGGTTTGGAGGTCCTTTGCGACGGCGACGGCTATATTGAAGATCCCGAAGCCCAGCATCCCGATAAGGATGGGTAGTCGGCGGCCCTGCAGTTCGGAGAAGGGCGCCCAGATGAGCGGCCCGCAGGCGTAGCCTAGGATATACAGCGAGCTCGACAGCGTGGCGACCTCGACGCCGACGCCGAACACGCGCGCGACGTTACCGGTGGAACTGGAGAAGACGGCCGAGTCGAAGGTGGAGCAGATACTCGTGAAGGCGAGGATGGCACCCGTGCAGAGCCTAGAGAGAGTCACAAAGGCTAAGAAAATCAACCGTCACCCCATCATGTCGTGGGTGGCGAGGGGGAATCAAGAACACTCACTTTCGACGCGTGCTCCAGTTCTGAGGATACAGCGGATCGTCTTCCCCGTCGAACTCGACCACATAGTCTTCCCGATTGGGCAATTGGGGGGGATACGGCTTGCCGGCCCCAAACGCGGGGAGAGGCCCACGGGCAGACGCTCGGCTCTGCGTCTTGATGCTCTCTCCGACGGTGAGCGCATGCTGCAGCCGCTGGGTTTCGATCCGATCTATGACCTGCGACGAGGTCTGCCACCGCTCGAGGTCGGTCTCGGTGCGTCGCGAGTACATTGTTCGCAGCCGGGGCTGGGATCCATCGCTGCTGGAACTGTAGGAGGAATCGAGGCTCTCACGCGAGGAGACCGGAACCGCATCCTCCTCGGCGCGCTCGATTGCATGGTCTGCTGCATTCATTGTGCAGTCTATCTCCTGATGGATCAACACACCAGGACCACGAGAGATAAATTTTCGTCAGGAGCAGCTTATATATATTGGGTTAGAGAGCAGAAACCCCTGTGCTCAATAGTCCGCCCACTTCGTCAAGGCCGCTCCAAGGTGGGGTCAGCCTGTATAGTTTTTCTTCTAGTGCGCCAATCGCCAGGATGGAACCTGGATAGACCCGCTACGAGAGAGAGATCCGCCCCGGATTCGGTTCTTTAGCGGAATTGCATTGCCGACTAGACTTATATATCTATAGCAGATACACATATACCAGGATGTGATCAATCATGCAGGATTCATGTAGACATCGAATGACACATTATTATCTCATGCATGACTGATCCGCAGAAATCATGAATGATGAATCTAGATTAACCATACGAGGGAATACTGCTGCCTTACCACTCGGGCACCATTCAGGCCGCAACTAGCGTACAGAATAGTGGGGCGCAATGTAACGGTACCGTACGCCTTCTCGGAACTCGGAACGGAAAAAAGTGGGCCACGTGCTGAATCATTTCTGAGTAATCGTGGATATAATTCACTCCGCTCTCACTTTCACAATCTGTAGATATATATCACTGCAAAGCTTCAATAAGAGGTTAACTCCCTAGACAGAGTCAGAGCCTCACACACGGGGTGAGGACACCTATGAGAAGAGATACTTTCTCCAAGAGGCAGATTATGCTTCCTATTGCTGCAAGCATGCAACTACTGCAAAGTGTGCAGTGATAAGGCTGTTGTTAATGGAATAGACCTTAGGAGATGTGATAATGCTATATAATAGAGTAAGTAATGACAGAAGGCACAGATGCAGAAGATAAAGTCAGAGCTACTGGAATGTGGACCTATTTTCACCAGCTAGCTAATGAAATACTCAGACAATAATCATTACCACGAGTCGATGACAATCTATATGCAATGCAATGCAGATATCTGAGATAAAAAAGACAAGGCATGTCCTAGTGCAGAAAGAGACACAGCCGCTAAACGGTCCACCAACACCATGCTATCCTAGCCTCGTTATTGTGGAATGAGAGATCGCGCTATTCGTTAGAGAGGTCATACCATTCCTTGTCATGCCTACACCCTCACCATCCTCCTCTCAAAATGCCACGTCTTCGTCTCAGTAGGCGCCTGTCCACCGCCAGTGCCAGTTGGTGATCCCCGAGTATGACTGTGACTGGGGGCAGTACCCGTCCCAACAGGGGGCGCCGGCTTGGTAGTCGTTCCCGTGTCCGTGGTATGCGTGGTAGCAGTGCTCGTGGGTTCAGAAATCGGGGGAATCACGATAGTGGTCGTGTAGCCGTAGGTGTTGGTGTAGGTGATGGTCTCGCAGTGCTTGCAGTGTCCGGAGCCAGTACCAGTACCGGGACCACTTCCGCTGCCTCCACCGGGTGCTGGTGCCTGGGTGGGCGTCCCTGTATTCCCGCCGCTGCCGCCGCTGCCTACAGTGACGGTTACGGTGACTGTGGATGGAGGAGGGCAGCTGTTTCCTGGGCCGGGCAGGCTGACGGTTGTGGTCTGGGGAGGAACACCCGGGGCTGCAGTAGCTGGTGGAACGTGGGTGGTGTAGCAGGTGGTTGTCTCGTAGGTAGAGGTCGTCAACCACGTGCTGTAGTAGGTGGTACCGCTCTGGGTGTGAATGGGAGTCGAGCAGGGCTTGAACGTCGTCTTGGTGATGGTCTCAGTGACGGTGGAGACAGATCCAGAGTCGCCGCCAGGGACGACCGTCGTTGTAGGCTGAGGATGACCAGTGCCATTGCCATTGCCACCGGTGTGAGTAGGCTTACCACCACCTCCGCCTGTGGGAAGCAGAGTATAAGTGGACGAGTGGTGAGAGGGGACGGTCGAGTTGGAGAAAGTGTGATGACCAGAAAAGGCAAGCGTAGAGCCTGCGAGGGCAGAGACAACGAGCAAAGAGTGCATTATCATTTTGAATTCCTCTCACTGTAAGAAACAAACTTAATCTATTGATGGGGAGAATATCCCGAACCAGTGTGGGAGTCAGGTTTATATACTGAAGTCTTCCTAGCTTTGCCGGTAGCAACTACTTAGGGTTCTCCATAGAAATACTGCATCCACACGCCTCATGCCGGGTTGATTCGATTAAGTAAGCTAGTACATCCAGTTGAGGTGAGTTAGGCCTCCATCCGTTCAGCGAGAGACGGAACTATTGACTACCGGTGAAACTATTCATAGTCCGGCGAGACCGGTGTTGCCTAGTATCCCCACCCGTATCTCTAAAGCCGAGAACATGAGATCACATCGAGGCGATTGACAGCACGGATTGTTCTTGGAGAAATGCCGTTCGTGATTAACGTTTGGTCGGTGCAGCTGTCATGGGGTGATTGCCGAGTTGCACCGCCATTCCGTCAATCCGGTCCTGGCGCGGTAAAAATAGATCGCGATTCCATGGTAAAAGTGAGACAACATTCAGATGTCATCTAACGGCCTGAACTTGTGGCTAATCAGTATTTGTGGCGAGAAACATTTGTAAGACATTTTATAGTAATCGGAATATAATAGCTCAGCCACTGACTCGGATTTTGTTCTGCTGACGGTCAGACTGTCATAATCACTCACCGTTAATCAACATAGGACTACGAGTCTTGAGTCGTGATTAAAGTAAAACTTGATCAATGCGCTAGACATACGCATGGAATAAATGGTCATAATTGCCTCGATAATGGTTGATCCATATGTCGCCTATGAAAAGTCTATGTAAATTCTAATCCAAACAGGCCTGGAGAGGATGTCCAGAACAGCCACGCTCTTGGGCTCCCCGCGAACTAGCTGCCTGGATACTTGCCATGGAAGATGGAAGAAGGTCTTCTCAGCTCAGTTGTCTCAGATGAAAGAATCGGTGATAAACATAATTGATTCTGTGTCAAATAGCGTATGGGCTACACTTCACCAAGCGACAGAAAGCCAAAACGGCATGTGATGTAGTCAAAGATAGAGCTATCTCACCATCAATGGTGAGTTTTGGATCCATCGATTGTAAGATGTGTTGACATTCTTCCAGCTCTCGTTTCTGTTTGTCACACTTTTGTACTGCTATAGAATTGACGTTCGTTTCCGGTCTTTAGCTCTACCCTCCTCCTGATAATCCGATGGGCCAGTTGCTCTGCCAACTTGTCAGCTGTGATTCAGACAGCGCTGCCCTAAGACATCATTTGTAATACAAAAGCCAGCTGCAACCAGTAGCCTGTGATGCCCTGAGCCAGGATAGGAACGCACAGGCTCAATAACCCGCAGCCCAACTGACCCATTCCATGATTGTCCACAACCGCCATGGCTTCGTTTCCACTCCGGTCTTAGACGTAAACGCTGGATGAAAGGTCTTGCAGCCAGTATCTCCGACTACTGTCACTGTATCCGGATGAGTATCAAGGACATGTGATTATCTATAATTATCTATACTATGTACCTCAAGCACCCAAGAACCAAACCGGATTAGTCAAACCCAGCACCTCATCTGTCGTGCCATTGCGAACCTCCACCCGGACAAACTTGGCCCCAGACGGCACATCCTTCTTAATCCGTACTTCATCTTTGACGGTAGTATTGTAGAAGTATCCCTGGTCCGAGACAAAGCAAGCCTTGAGCTTCGACAGCCCCTCAGTGACCAATACAGCCCTGGCACCCGCTGCATTCTTTCGGAGCTTATCACCAATCTGTGCAGGAGTCTCCAGCGACGGAACGCGCACCTCGAACGAGAGATCCATGCCCGGTCCTCGAACCAAATACGCCCGGCCCGCCTTGACACCCTCCACAATCGCAGCTTGACTACGTCCTCTCGCCTTGACCATAGTCGTCGGCCACCCGTTCAGCGATGGGGGAGAGTGCGAATCGCTTCCTCCGATGGCGGTGAGGAATTTCCCATCTACAAGCAGCTCCTGCCACTTCTGGACGGCCTGCTCATCTTGGTCGTCCCATTGTGCGTTCCAGACCTCCACCGCGTCGGTCTCCTCCCACCCGAGGCTCCAATTACACGCAGGGCAAGAGGCAAAAGGATGGTTGGCTGAGACGAAGCCACCGACGCGGTGGACCTGGTGCGCGGCGGCAGCAAAGCCAGGGTTATCATCCGGTTTGTACCGCCACTCGATGATCTGGCCGCGGTCGAGGCCGACGGCCTGCCAGTGGCCGTAGCGGGTGGTGACTTCGATGGCGCGGCCGATGAGCAGATCCGGGGCGAGAGAGGCCTGGTAGGAGCCGATGATCTGGTTGCTGGTGTCGGTGTTATGGTCGCTGAAGAACATGAAGGAGAGATTCTGGGCCAGGGCGTTGTGGATTTGCTGGTCTGGCGTGTATTTGCCGTCCGAGTAAACGGTGTGCATGTGAAAGTCGCCGCGGAGCCAGGTAAACGCTGAGTCCTCCTGGCAGCCGTTGCAGAGGGAGTCTAGGTTGGTGGTGGCGTAGTAGGGGGAGAACCACGAGTCGACGGGGTCGAAGGACATTTCGATATCGAGCTGCCAGTCGATACCGTCGGGGACGGAAGCGTATGGGCCCAGGACGACGTTCCAGGTGCCTGGTTCGATAGGGCCGGGGTTGTAGCCGGGAGTGGCCCCGGAGGGCGTGATGGTGAAGTTGTTTCTACTTTGTCAGATACGAAACAGTAAGATGGACTTGGGAAGACATACCTGAAACCTCCGGACCAGCCTCGAGAGCCTGTGGCACCATTCTGTGCGTCCATCATCTGGTATCCTCGCTGATCAAAGATCCCCAGATCAAGGGCATTTCCCTGCCCTTTGTTCGAGTAGTTCTGTACGACATAGATGGATGTCGTCCCGACTTCCACTTCAAAGGGCACATAGACAAAGGAGAAGATTTGCGAGGGGTCAATATGACCAGTCAAAGTCTTCTTGATTGGTGCTCGGGCAGCGGCGGCCGGTTGCAAAAGAAGAACCAGCCAGGCAATAGAACAGATACTCTTCATCTTGAGGAATTGCTTCTATTCATCCATTGTTGACAGGGAGGGGACCTGGCAGGTTTTATGCGAACTAGGATGAAATAATCCTACACGTGCTAGAGGACTGGGTCTAGCATATCTCTGTACTGTGCAATTGATTGACCCGATTAGGCGAGGACCGTGTCATTTTAAACAGGCTCGTGTTGACAGGATCTCCACATGTCGATCTCCACGTGGGGTCGTGGTTGGATCAGCATTGGTTGACTTCAGGATGCTAATTACCGGGATATAACCTTCCTCATAAAGCACGATTATCAAATGCCGAGTAGAATGCAATTCGGTGTCATGGTGATGATATTGTGTACCCTGAGCCTGCCAACCTTACGGGGAAACTCAAAATGACCGAAAAATCTGCCACCAGATTCAAGCTGCATTTGTTCACGGTTTGTATTCCAGAATCCAGAAGAGAACGTACTCATCTAGATAACCCAGGATTAGTACCTCGAAAGTGTAGTAACCGCGTTTCATTCTATGGTAGAGTGATTAGCCAAGATGATGGTGATATACATAACTTTTTTTTTCCTGAGACAGAAGGCGCCCATTTGATAGTACCCCCATTATAAAACTGAGATATATAACTCTACAGCTCATCTATCGTCCACTAGAATGACATTCAACTTTTTAGACAGCAGATACACCTATTCAACCGGCAATAACCACGCCGCATCCTCTATCCTCGCCTCGTCCAGCCATTTCTCAATCTCCTCACGCTCTCCGTCACACCAGTAAAGCCAACTATCTACTCTTCACATACGGGGGGATGAGAGTCTGGGCATTCCGAGCAGCATCTGTGATGAGGAGCTGTACCCTTGGTAGATACTAGATAGTGACTGACTGTTGGTGGGGGAGGCGGGTATTTGGCCATGGATTAGGGTTATACAACTGACAATACCTAAGATTAGAAATGGATAGTAAAGTAAGATCAGTAAAAACAGAGTAAGACAACTATATATTAACCAACTTCCAAGTAAGGAGAACTAATTACTAAGTTATGAATACTAAGTTATTAAATCCTTAGTGACCTACACAGATACCCATAGCTTATTACATGATTTAGTAGGTCTACTCTGCGCACTACTAGTATTAGCGCATTATAGTCCACTGTAGTCCTTAAGCCCTTGATCTGGTATTCCCACAGGTACTCCTTTTAGCCTTATACTTAGGGAGCACGGTGTTCACAATCACTATACAGATATCACCAATGATATCAGTGCCATATCTACGCCAGTGTAAAAGGCTTCTAAATGGATTGCAACTTCAACCCGAATGCACCCCGCTTCGGTATACAATATTCGGGCGCATTAGTTGGCATCGCTGCTTGATACCCAGAGAGCGACTTAACCGCAGTAATGCCTGGTAGGTAACGGTACAGTTGAGAGACAGACCGTTGATGCGGCTGCAAGAGGTATCTAGTCCAGGTGATTTGGCTACAAAAGGGTACCTATACAGGATCCAGTCAAAGTGATTCATTTACTGTAGTCCTTGTTTTTTATGCGTTAGTGGCGCCCGTGGCGTCAACCAGCTAAACCCTTCGCAGTACCCTGAGCATTTTTACAGAACTTCCTAGAATTTGGGGTTGACTAATCTGATCCCGAGAACGCTATCCCCAACTTGATATGTTTTATCGTATTCTCGATCTGATTTCCTTTTTCCTTGCTTAGGGTAGGACATGGTAGTTAAACTGCCGAATATATATTCATAAGCAGCTTGAACGAGGCGAGTTATATGCTACCTTACAAAGTCGCAAAAATCCGCTGGCAAGTTCGAACCTGAGATGGTCCAGAATTCCAATTCCCGCCGGATGTCCGCAAGATACCGGCAGAAAGCCTGCATTGCCTGCGCAAAGTCAAAGCGCAGGTGTGACAAGCAGCTACCTGAGTGCCAGCGCTGCTTGGACAAGGACGTGGAGTGCGTATATCCGGAGCCAAAGAGAAGGCGAAGGGATCCTATTGTGGGTGACAACCAGGCTGAAGAATTTCCAACCGACCCTGATGCACTGCGGAGCTATCTTACTGATTTCGAAGATTGGGGCGCTATATCGGGGGCCGCAGACCTTAACTTCCCCTTGTCAGATGTGATGGTACCATTTGTCCCACCATTGTCGATACCAGCGAATAGTGTACAAGCTCAGGATGCTGCACTTCCGAAATCCGACATCGTGAGCACGCAATGTCCCTGGTTTCTCCGAGATGAGACCTGGACTATGCGGCACAGCAACGAAGAACCAGCCTGCAAAACTGGTATTCAGCTGGAACCTTTCATCCGCGCCGTAGAGGGAATTCTGCGGTCGTGGGTTAGAAATGGCTATAATAGCTTCATTCATCGACGACTGTATGAGTATTGCATGCCTACATGTGTCCAGGACGCCTTCACAACTCTTGCCGCCTATGCTGTTTGTACCCCAGCGGTGAAGGAGACCATACTGCAGATAGTCGAGGAGCGCTTGTCTGTACTTGTCCACCAGAGTCCTCCCACCTATAGCCGTGCACATGGTATTCTAGACCACCTGGGCCGTGTTCATGCGCTATTTATCTACGAATTCATAGCACTTTTTGATGGCTCCGTGCGTCTGCGCGCAACTGCTGAGAAACATATTCCAACTCTTCGACAGTGGGTAACCCAGATGTGGGAGGCAGCAAAATCAAATCGAGGGGAAGACTGGCCCTGGGACAACCCTCCCCTTCAATGGACGGCAAGTGAGTTCGACAAGGAATATGATGTCTGTTCAGCGATGTGGCGGCAATGGGTTTTGACTGAAAGTGTCCGGCGTTCGCGTCTAATCATTGACACTGTCATGAACGTATACGAAACCACGACTAAGGGATGGGCTGATTGTACTGGAAGTGTTATGTTTACTTCGCGCCGTGGCTTGTGGGACGCTGAATCTGCAATCAAGTGGTTTGACCTATGCCGTCTGAAACCCCCACTTCTAGTGGATTCCTTGCAGCCTAGAGCTTTGATGTCACAGTATCCAGCCGAGGAGCTAGACGATTTAGCAAAGTTATACTGGACATTCATAGTGGGCGCGGACAAGATACAATGTTGGATTGATAGGAGCTCTATAGCAGCGGGAACGGATTAGCCCCCCGCTAGAATCGATTCGGAAATCCTTACCTTTAAAAATTTGCCATCTTATATCTTGTATGATGTGTATTTACCTAGAGTATACAGATGAGGAACCATGCCAGGTGGGCGTCATGGCGGACAACATGCGGATAATATGCGGGCATATGCGGTATGCGGCCAAATTGCGGAAAAGTTGCGGGAGTAACAATGTCGAGCTCATAGGACCGCACCATGATCCAAAACAAGCCCAGCTAAATCCCCTCATAGAATGGATTTAACAGGCATGTATCCAGTGCTAACTGTTGGGAAGGACTATTTATAGAGGCCTCTCCAAGCACGACTCATTTCGCAGTGCCTTATTCTATACTCACCCTGCACTTCCAACGTCTCTTTCCATCCAGCATGTCTTCCGGCACGCCTGTCAATATTATTCTTGGCACACACACAGTACGTACACCATTCAGCTGCGACTATTTCGTTCTGACCAGGTGGCGATAGGTTGGCGATGCTAATGAGAACCCCGGGACTGTACACTTCGATAACGCGAACGATGTCCAGGCCCTATTGGACGCATTCCGCAATCGCGGCTATAGGCATATAGACACCGCGAGTAATTATGACGGCTCTGAGAAACGCCTTGGCCAGGCTGAAGCTGCCTCTCGCTTCACCATCCATTCAAAAGTCCGCGGTCGGGGTCCCGGGGACCTCGAACCTTCAAAAATTGATTTAAGCATTAGGCAATCGCTCGATGCCCTCAAGACTTCCGCTGTGGAGACAATGTTTCTACATGTGCCTGATCGGCAAACACCATTCGAAGACACTGCAAAAGCAATGAACGACGCTTTCCAACAAGGAAAGTTCAAGAAATTCGGATTGTCGAATTACACTGCCGCGGAAGTGCAGAAGTTTATCGATATTTGCGAAGAAAAGGGATACGTCAAACCCAGCGTGTATCAAGGACACTATAATGCGATTGTGAGAGGAGGCGAGAAGGAGCTATTTCCACTGCTGCGTAAACATAACATCGCCTTTTTTGCCTACAGGTACGCCGAGATGGCGCCCCGTTCCTGGATTTAGACTGACATTTATTCGCATTAGTCCTGCAGCGGGTGGTCTTTTCTCAGGTGGTGCTAACACCGCGGCAAGATGGAGTACCGATGTAAGCTCTCAAAGCATTTCACCTCCGGATAATGCTAACAATATCCTAGAATCCTATCGGGAAGCTGTACACTGCCCTTTATCGTCAGACCGCCCTCCAGGCCTCCGCCGTTGTTCGAGAAGTGGCCGAGAAACATGGTATCAGCGGACATGCGGCTGCCCTGCGATGGACTGCGTTCCATAGTGTCTTGGATGGAAAGTACGGTGATGGGGTGATCTTTGCGGTTTCCAATATGGAGCAGCTCCACAAAACTCTTGACGCACTTGAGGCTGGACCCCTCCCTGCCGAGCTCGCTGAGGCTATTACAGCCATCTACGCAACGGTTGAGGGCGCAGAACCACCATACCATCTCTAGAGGTAACTGGGTAGCGTATATATTACAATAATTAGAATAAACCACTTAGTTCTCTCTAAGCTATCGAATTACCCTTATTTCTACTTCATATAACTATGCAGAGTTCAGAAAACCTTATCATTAAACGAGGCAGTGGTCCACGCCTGTGGCTTGCTGGAAGTCTAGGTGACAACCAGTCTTGTTCACTATATGCAGGCTTGCAGCTCTCCTCATCTTCCATAGTGAATAGTGATTGCACCAGGAGCTGAGTGCTCAAGGCAAGTCTCAAAGCTGCATGAGTTTTTGGAGACATATCTTCTCTCTCTGCGCTCTTATCTTCTTGTCATATTCAGACTATTTTCCCTGGCAGAATAATTCAGAGAAAGGAAAATTTGATGAATGTCCATTGCCCGCGTGTATGGCCTATGACCAATGCATCTGGACTGTTGGCCACGAGGTGAGCGCTGCCCCAGTGAGTCGGCCTATTACCGGCTGGCAGCCAGAGGAGTTTCTGGCCACCTCTGACCACCCAGTTGTCTGATATCATGATCGCGAGTTCATCCCAGGTGTCGGGCGAATGTGGGCTCAAGCTTATTGGACCAGAACGGTCTGTCGGCTCATTGTGCGGCTCTCGGAGAAAGTAATAGTTGGACAACGAGCTGTAGTTCACTGTGCTCACATGTGCCCCTGTCGTAACATCCCATGTCTTGACCCCATGTGACCTTTCATAAACGTGATAGTATGCAATCCCAATAGTGCCATCGTCTGAGGAGAAGGTCAAGTCGCGGATGCTAGACTGGGGTATATCCACACTGAAATTCAGGGCAGCGGTAGCCACATTCCAAACCCACACCGTATTGTGGTTCGAGGCTGCAATTTGTTGGCCGTCATGGGAGAAGCTCGCATGACGAACCACAGACTTTGGGCTCGCATCATCGAACTCAACAACGAACAATAAGTCCCTAGTGCGGATGTCACAAACCTCTAGCTTGTTATATTTGATTACTACTGCAATCATCTGATGGTTATCAGAGAGGGATATGAGTGAAGCCCATTCCGTGAACTCAAACTGCTGTCGAAGTGCCCTGGTAGCAGGTTCCCATACCTCCACGATACGGTCCGTGAAGCTCATTGCAATCACCGTTCCATCTGCTGAAATGCCCACCGCAGTGATTTCTCGGGCTTTGCTTGCGAACATCCCACTGTCCGCGGTCAGGTCCCAGAGCCACACCACGCTGCTGGCTGTTGCGAATATTTTTGAGTCGGGAGAGATAGTAAGGTCGTAGCCGTACTCTGGTCCGCTTGGGAAAACGTGGCGTTCGGCGCCAGTTGCAGTATCGCAAAACACCAGAACATCGAGACCTTCAAAGGCTATCAGTTCCCCATCCGGCGAGAACACCACAGAATGAACCTGAGTCAGAAGCTTGCTGTTCATGGTCTGCCTTTGGGGACCGGCATCTTTCGTCAGATCCCAGGTCACAATAGTATTTTCTGCGCTGAGCACCGCCGCAAGCCTTCTGTCGCCTGAGAGGAACTTGATAGCCCTGATACCAGATTCATAGCCGGGAAACTTCACAGAAATATCGGGAATTTGTAGCGGCTGCAATCGGGCGCCTGTTTCCGCATCCCAAAGCTGGATAAGGCCTTCACCTACAACTGAGGCCAGAATTTTGCTATCACCGGAGAATGCAATTTCTTTTATGAATAATGGAGAGGGGACCATTAAAGAGACCACGGAAGCGGTAACTTCCATATTCCAGAGCATGATCTGGCGGCTCGTGACCGCTGCGAGCTTTTTGCCATCGGGCGAGAAGATAACACGGAGCACACTATCCTCAAGCTCGAATTTCCGCTCGATAGAGCCGGTCGTCACATCGAAAATCACTACTCTCCCGTTATCTGTTCCTTGCACAACCCATTCACCGTCAGGGGAGAAGGAAATAGCGTTCAGGCAATCCGCGTCCCCAAAGTCCACTTGGAGAGTCCGTTGGTGAGCACCAGTAGCCACGTCCCAGAGCGTTATTTCATCGAACAAGGGGCAGGCGATTATTTGGCTGTTTGGTGAGAAAACAAGGCCTACACCGGGCACCACCTTTATATCCAAGGTTGAAAGGCACGGATCCCATTGAGCTCTCGTCCCCATTGCATCCTGAATCAAGGGAAGCCTCGTGTTCCAGCAAGATCCTCTGATCTCCGTCTGTGTCGGGCAGAATACAACTGCACTAGCATATATCTGGAGGGGCGCTCGCTCTATTATTGCTCTGGAGCTGAGAAGCCACCTTTCTGCATCTCTCAAAAAGCCGCCCAACAGGGAGTCTGACTTATCTTGTGTCTATCAAAAAGTCAACATCAAATTACTCACATATGCAGCTATCGACAATACGTACCGAAATAAAGTTGAGAAAGCTCCTAATGGCTATTATTCCATCGGAAAGCTTACTAATAAGGCAACAGACCTCCACCCAGTGAAGGAAATGATTCTCTAGAAAGGTGAGGATCCTGTCTTCGTCCACATTGTGTTGTTCGCCTTCCACAGAGTGATGAATCCAGTAAAGGGAAGCGTACCAGAGCTCAGAGGGGATACTCCGGGTGACAACATCCCTGACGTCCTCAAGCGGCTTGCTAGGATCTTGAATGTTGCCGATATCTCGCCTGAGCGTCGCCTCCATTATTTCAATGCACCTTGTTGCTAGTATACGATGCGTCTCCGCGCTGTCTACTTGATAGAAATCGTGGGCCCTTTCTGTGTCATCCAGGAGAAAATCGCTAAAAGACTTGTGCAGTAGGGTTATCGGCGCGTCTTGGCCATCAGGAAGGGTCAGGACTGCGTGAAGTTTTCGAAGGTAACGGGTGACGATATCTCTGCGAATAGCCAGAAGACTCGACAGGACTGCGGCTGAGACAGGGGTCGCAACAAGGACAAGAGCCGCTAGAATCCTCATTCCCTGCTGTCTCTGAGAGCTGATATCGCGCTCCATATCGACATCGCGTCTCTGTCCGCTGGAAAAGTACTCGTTTAGGATAGGTTCATAAATCTGGCGCAGCTGCGAGGCGTTTCTGTCGCACTGCTCCAGCCAGCGTGAGAGTCGCTCCAGAGGATCATCCAGTTCGTTTTCTCCATTGTAGACAAAGCGACAAACAGTCGCCGCGTAGACAAACAAGGGCGACGGTGTTGTGGCTAAATCGACCAGACGATTCAAATCCTCTTCCCTTGGCCAGGGATCATCTAAAACGCCACTATCCATCTTTATTGTTTCGAAGCGTGATCTCAGAAAGGTGGATATGTCGGCCTTGGTCTCATCAATGAAATCATTCTCCAAGGCTAATCTGCGATAAGCATTCGCAGATTTGTCAAGACTCTTGAACGTGTGCAAAATAGTATGTGATGATCTGCTTGTGACAAGCACACGCAACTGGATATTGCGAATGTTGCGGAGGCGTAGCAGCAGGTTGATAATCCGGGGAATGTGGTTACGGCGCACACATTCGTCCAGGGCGTCGACGATAATGACGCCGGACATGCGGTTTTGCGGTCCAGCTCCGTCGGCGGCTGCGCGAGACAGTGGAATTTCAATAAGGGTCTCGAACTGCTCCTCAATGGCGGATTTTTCTATGTTGACGCTTTTCAGCCTTCCTAATGACTTCCTGAGGTGGTCATTGAACCCTGGAATTGACGAAATCAGCTGGCTAGCAATTGTGGTAAAGAATCTCTCTGTGTCGTTACGACCCGGCTCATTCGTGTTGGAGTTGAAAAAGTATCCGGCTGCGAGTCGGGACCGACTCAACAGGGAAGCTGCGACGGTACGGGCGATGGTCGACTTCCCAGTGCCCGCAGGGCCGGACAGCCAGAAGATCGATTCGCTGGTGATGCAGTCTGTCCACTCCATGATTTCCTTTAGAATACTGACTCTGGTATGTTCGTGGCACTTGTCCTCGTCCTGTACTTCAGCACTTCTATAGCGGGCATTGTCTATCACTGGGAGACCGACAGCGTCGAGCACGTCAAAAAGCAGATCTCTGCGTTGATGTCAGAAGAATCTGGACACCTGCGTCGACGACACATACCTAAGGCCCTGAAACCCCTGCTTATTCACTTGTAGGATTTCATTCTGCGTCTCAAGTTGCTTTCCAGCAACCGCCACGAGCTCCTGGAGACATTCCAGTGACTGGTTGGCACTTTTGCTGATACTCTCCAGTTCTTGTCTCACCCGAGAGTCATTGATTTTCTTAAAATCAAGATGAATGATCGTCTCTAATTTCTGAATTTGCTCCAGCATCTGCTTCCATTGATCCTTTCCAATTATGGCTCTACCAAAGTTCCGTCGCCGGCTGCGATAGAAATGCAAGACACTTTGCAGCTGAAATTCAAGAATATGCTGGTAAAGATCGACAATGTGGGCTTCGAACTCCTTCTTCGATTCCTCGGACAAGGTTTTATGAGAGCTTGAACCCGCATCTCGTGGCAGAATGAGCGGTTCAAGGGCCACATAAAAGCGCATTCGTGCAGTCACGTAAGTAAATCCATCTCTCCTTGCTGCCTCTGCAGCGCTCGGCTGGGTGAGCAGCGGCAGAATGAGGGAAACGCCCGCCCATATTAATGAAGCCTCCGGGGAGGCTTTGACGGCCTCATCAATCAATCCTTTCGCCCATTGCACCAAATTCGCAGCCTGTGCAATCTGCTCCTCCAGGACCATCTCGTGGCCCGCAATTGTATATGCGATTTTCTTCTCTTCTACTCGCTGCAGGCCACTCTTGATTATCGTTTGCAGTTGCATCTGACGGTCCTGGGTATTCTTCTCAATGGAGTTTCCGGTCTCGTCCAAGCTATCCTCGTCAACTGACGAGCTATTTTCCTTTGCCTTTGGAGCTGGCTCTTTACTAATTAGTCAGTGCGATTTATCACATCGACTGAATTGCCGGCATACCTGCTGTAGGCAACTCCCTGGAGAGTATTTTCTCGTAATCGTCCACCAGTCGCTTATTTTCGGCGCCGAGGGCGGCGTATGCCTGGTCCCAAAGCGACTCGTTAACACTCTGGTCATTGACAAGCAGTGCATTGCTGTTGTCTGTAGCAGTTGCCTCAGTCTGCTTGTGGCCCGGGGTTATGGCCGCTGTGGAGCTGGCAGCCGCCTCGGAGATTGGATCCGGAACAGGTTCGTAAGGAGGTTTGGCAGTAGATACTTTCTCAGGCCCGTATGTCTGTTCACCAGTGGTTTTATGGTTTGCTTTGATTTTTGAGTCTGCGTCCTGTCGCTCCGATAGCTCATGGCTCGAAACTTTGGCAGCTCGCCGAGACTTGGAATGCCTGTGAAGGAGGCGTCTCAGCATTGTGACTATAATAGAAGGGCTCCTCTAGCATGAAAGGACTTGTGTTGTGTGTCTTGCCTATTCTAAGGGTTGTCAGCGCTTATAATCCTCCTGTCCAAGGTTAGCTTTTTAGCGCGGGGTAGACAGTTCACCCAAGTGCAGGGATACAGTTGTTTGCTCCCTCGCAGTTTTTAGTCCACGGGAAAATAGATGATATTTTCACCAATAACCCATTTCCTGTTATACCCATTTAGATGTACATTCATGAAAATGACTTGTCTACACCTTGCATTAGTTCTCCTGCTACATATTCTAAAATGTTAAGCAGTGGCCTCAGATCTAGACACATGCAGTAGCTGTTGGGTTTTTGTGTTGAAGCTCGTCAGGAAGATCCAACGGCTTGTGTCATGGCAGGTGCTTCGGGCATCACTAAACAAGCTCCCAGCACCCTGGCCAGGGGTAACACGCTGGATCGACATTCGGGGGCCAGGTACTTCAATTGGGCACCAAGTGGTGGCGTGGCAAGAGTCTTTCATGATGAATTGGGTCAAATTGTTTGTTCCTGGGGGTTTCCGATCTTGGCTTGGAGACATAGCAGGTTCTTTGCGCTGGCTTTTTTGATGGAGCGGAACATGGAGAGCCTGGCCTGTCAAGTTAGCCAACTATTCGTCAAAGGGAGACGATCAAAATGTCTCCTTCCAAACCCTTGTACGGCTGCATCATCATTATCATCATTAGTCTCATTGATAATGACTGATTTAACATGCTAACTAAGGGAAATCACTAAGATCTTAGGTGGTAGGTTACAGGTTACCTAAAACTACTACCAATTAACTTTAATTGATTTAGCTAGTTATCCCTTTTATTACTCTGTATAACTTTATATCCACCTGATCAGGAAGAGTGGTCTACCCTCTATCGTATTAACTAGCATACTGGTCTACTCAACGACCTGGGTCACGAATACTGAGGGAGTTCGGTCGGTCAAACGTGGATGGGGGGGTATTTGGTTAGTAGGTGATGGAACCAGATGAGATTTAATAGGAAACACTCAAAATGGGGGGCTTTAATGGATACTATTCATTCTGGTGGAGAGGCTTAACTAAGCTAAGATACATGCTCGCTCAGCAGGAATATGAAGGATTTCTAATCATGTGATCGTGTTACATGACTAGCTGTCAATACTAAATGATGAAAAACCCTCATATCCGCCATAGCCTGGGAAATTTGGAAGGGCCTCCCCAACCCACACATCATGTTGAAGAGGATCTTTTTTGACTTCTGGAAAGAAACGTGTGGCTAGTTTTCTATCCCTGTGTTTGCATGCGTAATAAAAGGCCAACCCATAGTAGAATGCATAATCATAGTGATTGATATGCCCTAACACAAGTTCCATAGTTCATTCTTTGGCGCTGGTACATGCCCATTTAAGGGTCTAAGTGCCTGTTCCCTTGGCCATCTTGTAGAGATAAGCAATTATTTGATAATAGAATCTCCATGATGTTCGTGCAAAAGATGAAATATCTGTGACTGAGTCCAGATTCTGCAATAAGTCGCACAAGTTTAGGTGGTAATGTCTCCAAAATGGCGGGGTAACTAGCTACTGATTAATTTTAGCAGTGAAAACACACCAAATCAGACTGGATCTTAGTTCTAATCTCTAAAATTTTAACTTGAAATCGTAATGGTTCAATGGTTCAGTGTCAACAAGTGTTGAACTCACCTGAATTCAGACCAAAAGCAACTCTACACTCTGGGCGCAGCAAACTGTTCTAATCTGAAATTACCACCCTACTTCAGTCAATAATATTCCAGACAGGGGCCGCTTAGCAGATCCCCGTGTCATCGGATTGTGGGGTTGCGGCATTATGGGTCTCGGCTATTTACCGCGTCATAGATATGTTCCAAAGTTGCATGACCACGTCGTGCCTTAGACAATCAATGTATCTAGCAACTGGACAGGAACTCGCTTCAAATTTCTCAATCATTATTAGTAGCATGCTTAGTAGAATTGTACAATCACAGACATCACACCCCTAATGGCCGCCAGTGTTAGTGGCCAGCATGTTTTGCTAACAGGTGCAAATGGCTTCGTTGCCTCGCATATCTTATCCATCTTGCTAGAGGTACTAATAGCATTCCTGGCTTATAGAACAGAACTAATAGTGTGTGTATAGCGTGGATTCACCGTCACGGCCACTGTACGATCTCACGACAAGGCCAACAATATCATCAAGACACATCCCTCATGGAAGGACAAAATCAACTTTTAGTGTCAGATTTCACTTCTCAGCAACCATTTGATGAAATATTTAAGAACAAAAATGTCCCCTTCACCTATGTTATCCATACGGCATCCCCTTTGAAGTTCAATATCAACAACATCCAGGAAGAGATGATCGAGCCTGCCGTTAAGGGGTGAGATATAGCTCTTTGCAAATGCATATTTGACTGTAAAACTAATGCACTGTAGGACTACAGAGATGCTCAAAAGCGCTCATAATTATGGCGGCACGTCTTTGAGGCGCTTCGTACTGTTGGTAGTGCTGTTTCTGTCCTCAACTCGTTCGAGGACATCACCCGCGAGGGCCGTCCTTACAATGAAAATGATTGGAACCCAGTATGTTTTCTCCTTGTAATAGAAGAAACTGATACTTTGGTTAATGCACAACAGGTGACCGCTCAGCAAGCCATGGACCGGAAAGACACAGTGCTTGGCTATAATGTGTCCAAGACCCAGAGTGAAAAAGCTGCGTGGGAGTTCATGAAGACCAACCGGCCCAACTTTGATCTAACTGTGATCAATCCGGACATTATCATAGGCCCTATGATTCATCCCATCTCGGGACCAAGCTCTATCAACGAGACCAACCACTTTGCAATCGCGAGCTTCATTGATGGGACACACAGTGCCGTTGAGGATGTGCGATTTCCGTTTTATCACTTTGTAAGTTTGCTCATCTATTTTCCATTCCAAGAAGTCGGTGGTGTATCTAATGAAGAGTAGGTCGATGTCCGGGATGTCGCCCAGAGCCATGTGGACGCCTTGACTAACCCTGCTGCGGGGGGTAGGCGGATTCTGCTTATCTCTGGATTAATCACGCCGCAGTTGGTTGTGAACATCATTCGACAGAACTTTCCCAGCTTGAGGGATCGTGTTCCGGAAGGAAATTCTTCACAAATTTTGCCAAATGGAGTACATCCGACTGGCTGGGATATGCAGGTCAGCTTGGATATCTTATCCAAGGGGAGAGAGGGAGGACATTGGAAGTATATTCCGTTGGAACAGAGTGTCACTGATGCTGTGCAGTCAATGATCGATCAAAATGTTCTATAGTCACCATGTTCGCCCCCTTTGGGATATATTCACTCAAGGAGCATCATTTCTGTCTGATAAAAAAAGAATACTAGATGTTACCAAGTTGAAGCTTTCAACAACGATAATTCAGTCTCAAACGAGTATGGCATAATAGGATAAATGCTGAGATAAGGTCTCATCTTCATGGACAAGGGTAATAGACAAATTGCAGTTATTACGGCTACCATTACTTTCATATTTCAATATACTTATTTACCATAGGTCTCTCGACATTTCGACTAAAATACATTTACATCCATCACTGGGGTAATACGCTGTAGAAGGAAGCCAGGGCATGCACTAGGCTATGCTTTCTAATCGCTGTCTATTAGGGGCATTAATCTGATGGCAGATTTCTCAGCTATATTATCGAGCTGGGATTGGATAAGCCCCACATATCAATGGCATATGAACGAAAGAATATAACAACTGATGTAAACTGGGTGCTCTATGGGTGCAGTTGAAGGGTTTAGGAGAAAATTTATGCTTGGTGGTTCATGGTATGTTTACAGATTTAGTGGTGGCTACTGACTTGATTAGTTTCAGAGAGAAATTTCGACACAGACGGCCGCATTCTTGGGGAGTATTGATGGGAAAAGAGCCCTTCAGGTTATTGCTAGTTATATCAGCAGATTCTTTTGACCTGTTTTGAAGGAGAAGAAATATGACTTATTATATCAGTCCAGTTGGGAGATTCCTGAGGGTACTATTGGAGAAAATTAACTCCAGTAAGGTACCTAGTAAAGGAAATACTAAGATACAATAGTACATTCATAGCCTGATTCAGTAGCCTCATTCAATACCTATAGCAGCGAGTGAGGGCTAAAACAGACCTTAGTTGGCCCCTCTAAATGCAGGATACCAGATAACTCGTCCTGGCCTTTTCAGCCACCTCTCCATAGGTTTTAAGGAGCAAATCACATGGTAGACGCTAGGTCAGATATCAAGGCTCTGAGTGACAGCGGACATAGATCCGAGGGTGTAACAAAATGAACCGCCCTGCATGCTGCGAGTAACCAGTATCATTTTGACATTGTCACCCACTTACGGACTCACCGGCTAGATTAGTTGGATTATAACCATTGTCATTGGACGTCCACAAGGGGGAAATTTGTAACCAATAGAGCTCTTTTTTGACAAGGTCAAGAAATTGTTGCCTAATTCTCCTCACGGCATACATAAACAGCTGAATTTGTAGCTAATCCAAATTGTAACTTACTTTATATTGCCAGTGTATCCATTCTGAAACCTAGTGTAACAAGCACATTGCGACAATCATGTTCTCTTATACTGGTAGTGGCCCTTACTGCTATGCCCACAGCCTGTACATGGTCCTACAAGCTTCGGGCTACGATCCGCAATCGCTACCTTCGTCAGGCTTCATTGAGTGTCTCACAACAATGCCCTTTGGCAAACTCTTCATTTGCCTTGACACTGGCCCGGTTTCCTTTTTCAATAACCCATACACCAATCCGGATGACGGCATCAATGTGGCCCTGAAGACGATGGGCTGGGCATGCAATAACCACCACGGTGGTGATGCTGCTTCAGCCTTGCGTGCACTGCGTGAGGCAGTCATCCATGGGCCTGTTCTAGCTGGCCCTCTCAATATGGGCTACCTCTCTTACAATCCGAACCATACCGCGCTTAATGGAGCCGACCACTTCGTTGTGGTCTTGGACGTGGACGATGACAAGGGAATGGTTCTGCTACACGACCCGGCGGGATATCCAGCCGTGCTCCTACCGCTAGAAGAATTTATTGAGGCGTGGCGTGGTGAGGGTATAGAGTATATCAACCAGCCATTTGTGTTTCGCTCTCACTTCCGCCACGTTGAGGATATTTCCCGGCCCGACATGATTGAGCGCACGATTGGCATACTTCAGGACCAAATTGAAAGCAACGTCATGTTTCCTGGTTCCTCAGGCGGGGTCTCAGCGCTGCGATTAACTCTGGATGCTGTGAAAAATGGGTTGCCGAGTGTCGTGGATGACCTTGCTGTATTCACTTTCCCACTCGCGGCAAGGCGTTACCTGGATGCGAGGGACTTCCTAGCTGAGGCTGGCCTGATGGATGCTGCTGAAATCATGGAACAACAGGCATTGTTGGCTGGTCAGGCACAATACCCGGCTGCGCACGGGAATTGGAAGGAGGTTATCCTGGTTCTCGAGAGACTTATGGACCTTGAAGATCAGCTAACAAAGTCCTTCAAGGCCATGACTTAGCCTGAGTCTAACCTGTAGGTAATTATCAGTAATTCAAATATTATAGCCACCAGACGCGAAGCACAAGCAAGCTTTCCATTGTTAGAAATACAGGCCTGCCACCTGCCCTAAAGCTTGTGATCAACAGCACAATAACTCCGCCTTATAGGCATTATGAAAGTACTTCTGCTGGTTATGTTATGAATATTTAAATTTTAGAACTCTTTAAAGAGCGTCTAATTATGTACAAGTCATGTATATATCAAATAGCAGAGAATAAATATACGAAATGAGTTAGATGAAGATTTATATTAGACTTATATTAACATATTATTGCACCTAATAGTGAATGATGAACATTAGAATAGGTAACTGTTAATAGAAGTGTATCTCTATATAGCTAACAAGCACACTTATATCATGATCTATCTGAACTGACTGTTCTCATCATCATCACCTCAAATTTATACCCACTGTCAACTGGACTCGAATACCCGCCAAGACGCCAAGACCGCCAGTTTTGCCTCAAAAATCTCTCCTCCGACGGAATATCATCATCTCCACCACATCTTCAGCCCGATGCCCTCTATATCGGATCGGCTGACGGTGATCATCACAACCTCACCAGCCCCATCAAACCCCGCCACAGATCTCATTGCATCGGTCTTACAGTCCTTCCAGCGTCACTGCGCTGGTCTGACCGACGCCCGCGTGGTCGTCGTCTTCGACACCTTTGATCGCATCACCTCCCAGCCGCGTCTGAAAAAAGGCCATGCCAGCCCTGAGCTAGCTGAGAACTACGAGCTGTACAAGCGCAACATCAAGGAGCTCATTCTGCAAACATATCGTCATGAGCAGGACGGCCAAGACCAAGCCGTGAGCGAATCACGCGCCGAGGCCGAATTCGGCTTCGATGGCAGCGTCGAGCTGCTCATTAGCCAGACTGGCAGTCGTAAAATTACGTTCATTGAACCTGTCGCCCGGCTGGGTTTTGGTCTGGCTGTTCGCTCTGCCCTGAGGGTGGTCGAGACGCCGTACGTCTGGGTCCAGCAGCATGACTGGGCGTTTGTGGCGGATATTCCCCTCGAACCTCTGCTGGACATCATGCAGGGAAGTGAGGGCGATGACGCTGTGCCTGTCAAATATGTCTCGTTCCCATCGGTGCGGATGAAGCGGTATGCGGTGTCACCGCACGTCACGGACCACCCTGGGCTGCGGGAACTCACCACCTCCCTGAAGCGGGATTTTGTGGTCCAGTCGCAGCCAGATGGGAAGATTTCTCTTACGCCGCTGTTTTTCTGGTTCGATAAACCGCATGTTGCCTCTACGGCGCATTATCTGGCCCGGGTTTTCCCGACGCGGCTGGCGATGCGGCGGGGCGAGTTCATCGAGGATAAGATCGGACAGCGGGCAAGGGCGCAGATGAAGGAAGGGCAGTGGGCTAAGTGGGGGACTTGGCTATACTATCCTGATGAGGGAGACTTGCTGTGTCTGCGGCATCTGATGGGGAGGACCTGGAGAGGGTTTGCGGGTCCGATTAATGTCAAGGACAATGTTACTGTTGCTGAGGATGACGAGTGTTAATTATACCCATTGCTATGTTCTATCTAAAAGGGGTGGACTGGAGCAGCTGGATGTGGTGGGCATTTGAAGTTACCATTGTCGGAATGTGATTCTGCTCGCAAAACCTGTCCGTCCAGGTTGTCCATATCAGGCCGCAAGATGAATTCTGTAGCAGCAACTCCTACCGTATCTTGCATGAGGCGCAGAAGCGCAAGGCGACTGACCAGTTCAAAGAACAAAGAGCAGCAATACCTGGCACACCAGGATAAAGGAGTACTACTGGACTGTGTCACCGCCGCCATCACTCGTCTCATCCTGGTCAAGCTGAAACTGGCTGTATGCAACCGCGAAGGGATCGAAAACTGGTAATGTCTGTGCGCAGCGACTACCGGAAGGTCTTGAGGATGTCCGCCATCTTACGTCCAGATTGCGACAAAAGGCAGTTAGTTGGTCCCTTGGAGTGCTCCACATGCCGTGATGGGGTTGCATTCCTCAAAACCAGAACCGTTGCTGTCAATGCCGCCAGTGACTTGAAGGACCGGCTACTTCTAAGATCAGCTACTGGAGACTTGAAAGTGGGATTGATCACTGCGGTGGGAATGACACACATAGAAGGTGTACCCGCCTTACCAGTCTCGCCCTTGCAACGAATGCCAGTCGACGGTGGCCCAAACGGGCTGGTCCAAGTCAAAATCCATGGTAGGATGTGTGCTCGGATAGCCCGTACTGAAAAAGCCTGGTTCTTCCAGCCCGTACGGGACACCATAACCACCAACGTCTATGAAGGTGGACATAGAACTGTCGTTCATATTCGCCGTCGATGCACTAGTAGAGTGCTCAGTATTCCCTGCCAGTCTGGTTGGACCCTGACTCATTTTGGATCTCACGTCCGACACAATGTGCGGTGGCTCTAGCGGCTTGTCATGGTCTCTGGGTACCGCCTCCCGTGCCTCCCAAGCCTGTAGAAGAACACGTGCAAGGTACTCAAAAAAGGGGTTCATTTTCTTCATGGCTCCAAAGCGAGCGGCGTAGTTATCGTTCAAGACTGCCCAACTCCTTTCCGCGTGCCCTGCCGTAGGGCGCCTTTTCAGGTCTTGAGCAATGTGAAAGTACGCCGGGAACGGGAAGTGGAGGAGAAGGAACCACTGGTAGCCTTTTGTGAGAGGCGAGTTCATCAGCTTGGTATCGCACTCGAGCATGCGCAATGCGTGGGAGACCACCGCGTCGCGCTGCGTCTCTGTTCGCGGTACGGACGGATACCTGGCATAATGATCTAGCAGACGATTCTTCGCCAGGTGACCCCGTGTTGTCCAGATTGTCATAAAATGAAGAGGGTTCTCTGGGTTGCAGGAGGCAAAATAATTCTCTTCAATCATCCTTTCGAAAGCAGGCAGACTACCGGCCGCAGGAAGAGGATTTTCCTTGGCCACGGTCTTCAACGCCGGGTTAGTAAAGTCGAGATGAAACGAGCTGCGGCGCACGAAATTGCCCAGCTCGCTGCGCACGACGACGAACAGTGCCTCAGAGGGATTGCCGTGCGTGGCCGGCCCGGTCTTCATCTCTGGTTGTAGGTCAAAATCGTTCACGTTGAGAGGAATCTTACAGTCCCAGGTGGGAAGCAGATTCGTGGCCTTGTGGTCAGCCATCTCGCAAATCCGATTGTCGAACAGGACGAGCGACCACCACAGTCTGCGGCGCATTTCACCTTCTAGAATAGTACATCTGCTATAGCTAGACTCGGAATGGATACCCATGCGTAGTGCGATACGGATGGCGACGCTTAGGATTGGCGAGAGAGAGCGAGGATCTGTTTGATGTCTAACCGAGATCTGGAGGCGTCAGGGGTTTGCCTGGTGCAGTCTCGATGTGCTTACCAGGTAAAGGTACAAGGCCGTCAAGCAGTCACGGTCACTGGTACGTAGCACCTCGCAGTTCAGGAGGGCTTGCTGGCAGGCAAATTGGTAGCCTTTCAGGAGATCGTCCCTTGACGATCCATACAGAGTCCGGCACTCGTCTTCTGACAGACTGAGAATGGCGAGGCAATAGATGCTGAACATGAGTGCTTCCAGTGTTGGTGTTATATTAGCCACGTCAGCGGCCGCGTCGATGATCCGCGCCTGCAAAGTGGGAGTATGGGTTACTTTTAGCAGCGGATTGACATTGTCCAGATAGATCTGCCAGAGTCGAAAGATCTCGACCTGACTTGGGTGCAACGTTGACACTTTAACATCAAACTTGCGTGCACCAAACAGAAGGGTTTGACTGCCACCATCGTAATGCTCTTCCCAGGCCTTTCTGAAGACGGCCTCACGGGCACCGAAGCGAGATTTATCATGCTCGTTACTCTTGTCGCTCTCGTTGGTATCATCCTCTTCGGGATCAACTGACTATCATCTACGTCAGTTGGGTTCAAGAATGAGACTCAGAGTATTCACACCATTTGATTCATAACCCGCCAGAAGTTCCTATAGAGAGTTAGTTACAGACAATGATGACTATGATGGAAAGCTAACTTGGCCTCATATTTTGTCTCTGAGCCCGGGGTCCCAACTTCCGGCGAATCTCGTTCCATTTTCTCATCATTACTTCTCTCATAACCTCCATGGTCTGTGCTAGAAGAGGCCTGTTCCATAACAGAATTGCGCAAGGGCTGAAATTGTATGTTATTCTGGCGCAGCAGATCTTCGTATCTCCGAACGCTTTCCAGCAGCTCCCGCTCGGGAAACCTGCGACGTCGGCGGACTTGTGTTGCGGGCACACACTGCACTTGAGCTCGCACACAATTGGCACAGGGAAATCTTCGGTCACATTTGACCTTGCGCTGTTGACACAGGACGCAGGCCAGGACACGTGTAGGCCTGTTCGTCGCTCGCAAGGACGACCTCGGTGAGCTATGCTCTGGTGTTGACATTTCGACTAGAAGAATAATACGAGTGTCCACAGGCCCAAGACCTGCCAGTGGAGATAAAGATGCCAATCGTCAAGCGGTGCGTAGATGGACAAGTTGGGATTTCCTCTTCATGCGAGGATGAAAGGTGAGTAGGACGTCGGGAGTTAGTAAAGCCCGAGGCTCCGAGCTGCCCGACGCTCTATATGTCACGTGATCGAGTGAGGTCCAATACACTATAAGCCGGCTATATGAAGTAATTTGGGTGAAATTATGTTTATGAGGGGACCATCTATTGATGATATGATATTCGTACTGCTAAATAAATCCTAGCACTTTTATCTGTGCTGTGCGTCGAGATACCCCGTAGGCAGACGCTTTAGAGTATATGTTGGGGACTGTCAACTATTCTTGAAAAGCCCTAAGTCCGACTCTGTCAAATTCTAGGTCCAGAGGCAACAAGAGAAAGAAGGGAAGAAAACACGAAAATCAATACAAATTACTGGTAGAAAAACTACCAGTAGGATGGCGTATGAGCTATGGTCTTCCTGAAATATACACGCTCAATAAGCTAGCTACTAGGGCTTCACCTACAAGGGGTTCTTTGATTCTTGGGAATATTTTCCACCTCTAAGCAGAGCTGTTCTGCTGAATAGATTTTCCAAACACATGGTAGCCTATTGTGTCTGAAGTAATCCCGTATGAAATGGTTGTTGATCTGTTATTCAATGCTTAATTACTGCCCAATTGACTGTTCAAGCGTCGTAGATTTACAACCAAGCATCTGTTGGCTTACAGGCGAGGATTCCGAGCAACCTTGGTATAACCCAGCGCTTCAATGGGCTCGGATCTCGCCCGATACTCAAGGTCTGTTGGTAATTTAGGAACCAGGAATTTCGAGGAAGCGGACTTCACATGGGATGCTGAGCGTGGAAAGAATTAATGTTTCCCAAGCGGTTGAGTCTCTGTATTACGGTTAACTCTCACTCATTAGCTCGATGATCTAAACATACGTTAATTGGATAAATGAAGCTTTTGCGCCCGTCTAGTGCCTAGACATGCTCGTAAATTTTAGTAGCCATCCAACACAACTCTGAAATATCTGATTGGAGAAAAGAAAACACTTCAAGACACTAAGAAGGCCGCCATTATCCTGCGCCTGGGTGTGTACATACATACAGTAGCCGCCCAACAACAATCTCGCCGCAGTGACAACATGACTGGCACTTGTAAGTCCTTGGAATCTACTTCTCGCCAAGAGGACACTATAGATTGCCCTTCATGAATTAAAACCCATGACAGCCAATACAATCTGGTCCTCCGCTCATCTGCAGTCCAACGCGCCATGTTGGCTGTCCTGTTACTGGGGGTAGAATTGCGGCGCAGGTGAGGTAGTGTTTCAGCCTGATGGTCCTGCATCTCATTACATGGAGATAGACAGTGCTGTAATGCCTAGAAATACTCTGTTGCTGTCCTACCTTGCATCTTGTACAATACAACGATGCGTTCTCTTCCCAGAAGTAGAACTCGAAGTCCCAAGTAAATCCAGCTTCTGTTGTCACTCCCAGGCTTCGTGCTCCTCGCTCCCCACCACCATGGCACACTTTATGGATAATCCTGCGCAAATGGTCCTCTTCTACGCTCTCATCATGGTTCTCTCCATTGCCTCCGCCACCACCGAACTCGTCGGCTGTGGCACCCTCGAGTGCGACTGCCAGGTTGAAAGCCGCACCCTAAGCGCCCTCGGCCAAGTGTCCTTCAACTCATCCTACATCGGAAACGGCACAATGCCCCTAACCTGGACGCTCGGCCTCCAAGAGACACAGGACCCCGACCGGCCGTCCATAGACCTCATAGACCGATCCTTCTATCTCGGCCTGCCACAAAACGTTAGCCTCAGCAACACCACCGCGTTCGGCGGGTGTGCTCTGTTCTTCACAGATATGACTACCCTCCTCAAGTTCAAGTTCGTAGATCCAGAGAACGGAACCTGCCCGGATATAATGGGCGCAGACTGCGTTCGGGATTTGATATCCCTAGCTAAGCAGGAGGCGAGCCCGGACAGCTCCATGTCGAAGAACCAGATCCTCGATACAGAGGGGTTCTGTCGCGAGCTCGCTGTAGCGCTGTATGACAAGACCCCAAAGTCATGTAGTCCGCTATGGCTTGGGCGCTCGCAGGAGAGTATCCATGTGGATGGTACGTCTACTGAGTATATAACCCGTGCATCTTGAGGTACAAACTGCTGACTATAATACAGCCCTGACTGGCCCGTCCGCTTCTCGGCCCATCGCAGACTTGCGCGCCTGCCGTCCCACCACCGGGAAGAACTACAGTGTCTCCATGGTAGACAGCTACCAGTCGGCGGTCTCGTACGAAAACCCGGACTTGAACATGACCTTGCATGGTGTGACTCCCGTGATGACGCTGTTTTATCCCAACTCGTTGTCGTCGCAGCAGGCTATGCCGGTTGACGTCCACTTGTCGTGCTTAACAGTAGTAGGAAATAATTATTCAAGTACGCTTGCGAACTCGGCCGAGGGGACTGGGGTTCGGGCAGTGAATTTGTGGAGTGGTCTCGGACTGGGCCTGATATCTGCAATGTTCTTATGGTTTTAGAAGGCACTTCGGAGGGAATGGCTCGGCGTAAATGGCAGAGGCGATCTTGAGTATATGTTTCAGTGTCGCGTTTTGCTATTGTATTCTTTCGGGCTTTTCCATTGAGTGTATATTGGCCATCAGGATGACTTGAATCTAAGGTGTCTATTGGCTATTTCCCATACATCAAGGTACTTTGATGGTTAGACCATATTTGCCGTCACCTGTAGGAAACAACATGGTCAATCAAGAGGCGACATTTACGAGTAGTAGCGAGGTACTCTCACAATGGCCAGATGCTGAGCTTAGGATATGATAGCACCATAGGTCTTGGAATGCAAAACAGGTGAAGACGCCCACATCCTTGAGAACCGCTTTCCGAAGACGTGCCATGGGGAGATAACTCTTTCTGAACGCGATAGATAGCTAAATCATCCATTGACTTGTAGTTTCTGTGATCCGTGTCCAATGAACTAAACAAGTCAGGAATCAAGTTCCTTGGCTACAGACGACGCTAGTAGCTTCCAGAATTCGTCTTGCCAGCAAGGACGGGCGTTAGTGCATTTATTGTGCAGATCATCAAGACTTGTTGAATTGTCGTTGGAGACCTGTTGGACGACCCCTGCGCCGCCGTTGCCCGGTTGCCCCGTTGCCCCGTTGCCCTGCTGGCACGCTGCCCCTCCCCGTCACATGACTCTTGCATTCCTCCTTGCTCTCTGGATTCAAAAGCACCTCTTCCATCTGCTATGTTGCTTCGATAGACAATCATGGCGGCCCATAGTCCTCAAAAATTTCCCTTGGTCAACTTTCCCTTGGAGCTGATTCTGAGGGTTGCGGACTATTTAGGATCTTCAGATCTCATAAACTTGATTCTCAGCATTCCCCACGTCGTCCCCCTTCTCCACTCTCGGCATCTACAGGCTAAAGACGAGAGTGGGCACAACCTCTTATATCACATTGTGGAGCATGGGCTTGAACATCTGATTGAACACTTTGCACAATGGATCCTAGAAAGCTCCATCCCCGACTGCGGATGGACTCCTCTCCATCAAGCAGTCAGGAAGGGTGATGAACGGATGGTAAAAGCACTTATTGATGCTGGTGTGGATATATCAACCCGGGGTAATAGCGCAAGAACTGCCCTTCATCTTGCCTGCGAGGCTGAAGAGGCTAGGATTGTCCAGTTGCTCCTGGACCATGGTGCAGACCCATCCGCGGCGGATTACAACGGACGAACACCCTTGCATGAGGCAGTTGGACGGGACACAATTATCCTCCAGGAGCTACTTAGAAGAGACGGTGTGGACCTTAATCCCCAAGAGATGCTGAATGGGCTGACTCCCCTTTTCTATGAAGCTTGGCTGGGTCGAAGAGATGCTTTCACAGCGCTTATATACAAAGGAGCAGATGCAGGCATTTGTTCAGTGAATGGGGAGACTGTACTGCAGCGCGCAACCCTCGGTAATCATGCTGATATTGTGCGACTGTTACTTGACCGTGGTGTTGATATCAATGCGCAAGATAACCATGGCTACACCGCAGTTTTGGTTGCTGCGATTGCTGGGGCAAATGAATGTCTGCAACTGCTCCTGAAGGCTGGGGCAGATATTTCAGCGGTGGATAATTATGGACGCAACGCATTGCATATAGCAGCTTGGAATGGACGTAGGTCCACAGTCCGGCTGCTTCTGAGAAAAGGAGTTGACTCTAAGGCACTGGACAACTGGGGCTCATGTCCGTTGTGCTGGGCAGTTGAAAGCAGGCATGACGAAGTGATTCGAATTTTAAAACATGCGCAAAGGAACCCCGTTTCGAGGTTTATTGCTACGCTGCCATCATTCCCCTGGCGAGGCAGGGGGAAGAAATCCTCCGCACCGGTGTCCGTTTGTGCCATTGCTCATCATCATCATAGTACTTGATTGAGCATGCTGGTATATTCAGGGCTATTCAGGGTTCAAGACTTAACGCACGCAGAAATGGGGCCGTCGAACCCCAGGACAAGGAAGAAGAGGACGGACGGGAAGAACAAGCGAAGACAAGATGTAAAACTGGCCAGAAGAATCAACTGGCGAGGTCACTTCCAATGCATCACACTCTTATACTCCTTCTCTGGAATTTCCCTCCCGGTAAACACATCTCTGGCGTGAACTCCTATACCTGGGACAGTCCCATTACTCGCCCTCATCGCCTTCAAGTCCACATCAAAGCACCCAGTAGGAACAGCCTGTGAGCACAATGGCCATAGCTCTCCGGTGCACATGTCGCAGAACAGGCCTTCCTTGGTTGAGACGAAATCCGGGCCCGCAGCCGAAGCACTCTTGCAAAGCTCACTGGCCGAGTGGTCTCCATGCTCACTCACTACCACAACCCGATGGTCCGCGAAGCAATCACGGCCGTTCTGCCTGTCTTTCTCAGATCGTTTTTTGACGCCATACGTCGGAGCGGAAAGCCGTCCACCAGTCCACTTTTGCAGCTGCAGGATCTGCTTCGCCGTGGGTTTCTCGTTCGGACCGGGACTGCACATCACCTGTCCGGGGGTTTTGAGGGCATCAAAGCTTGTATCGGTGCCGTCGTCGTTATATTTCAGCGGTGGGTTGAAAATCGGAAGGCAGTTCATCTCGGTCAAGGAGGGATACAGCGAGAACCGGGGCGCGCTGCCGCACATCGTGTCACGGGATTCCACATACTGCTGGACGCGGGCATTGGTGGCTGCGAAATCAAACAAATGGATCCCCGCCCCCTGGGGGAAGTTGCCTGTTGTCTTTCCATTGTTGTGATCGGGCGAATCGATCCAGAAACACTTAGGTTTGAAGGGGTCACCCCCCTGACGCTGGACGGGGAGGTTGGAATGGTACCACGGGGCGTTGCATTCCTTGGGAACGTCTCCGAAGAAGGCCCAAAACTCCTTGCTAGGTGGCGTGATGTAGATGTACGCTATGCAGAGGGCATCGTCGCCACTGCCGGACACGCTGAGGTACGCCGGCGCGCGATTGTTGCCCTTGTTGATGGGGTCCACGACGATGTCTTTGAAGTTGCCATCGCCGATCTTGCCGTGGCGGGCGCCGCTTTTGAAGCCGATGCGTTCGCCGCTCTCGTCAAACAGCGCGATACTTGGCGTATTGCCGCCAGTCCTGGCGAAGTCGCTGTCTCTGGGCAGTGACAAGCCGGCGGCCACGCGGACGACCGTAGACGATTCCGAGGGGTGTGGGAACATTTCTTTGACCATGGGGATCATTGTCAGGGCGGTTACGAGGAAGGCAACTGCGTTTGCTGCCATGGTTGGTGTCTTGGTAGGTGCTTGAAAGAATGAAGAGACTTGTATAATGATGACTGGAACATGATGGGATGAGGGAACAATCAATGATTTATATAGCGATGCTCTGCCCCGGACACCTTCTACATACATAAACTCCGAGTACAGCCTGATATCCTTGGCTCAAACTACACTTGAACAGTTTCACTGTGATATGTGAACCAATCAAGGTATCAGGACTATGGAACGGAGGACGCCCCTTGGATACATATTCTATGTTTTTCAAGCCATTGTTACTGTCTCGGACAAATCCAACAGTACTCGACGATGTGCATACGGGCTTGAAGCACTTTTGCCTGAGCATGTAGAGATATGGTGTTGGTGTTGGAAGCTTCGAGAGATCGTCAGTCCTACTCTACCAAATACCCTACTACGTTGGAAGAAGGCCCCCAATCTTGAGCGGCGCAGCTAAATTGACTGTTCACCAGCTCGGCCATGATCCGGGGATACGCCACCAGTTGGGCTGGGTTCGGTTGGTGTCATGTCAACCATGCTATTGGCAGGGTACAATACTCGGCCCTGATCCCTGGGCATCCTGAAACTGGCGTAGAGATTGCTATACAGTCGTTTCTGTGCCACCCAACTGCGCTCAGGACAAGAATAGACGCACCCTGGTCCCTGGGCAGAACCCGCTTTCTCTATGTTGGGTTCATCCTTAGCTTGAAACTCGGATTACATGCATGTATATGCAATTCCCTGCTCGGCGGCCCGTGTCAGCCTTGTCGTTGGTGCACTAAAAGTTGGAGAGGACAACTAGATCAGCCGACTCAATGCACCGCAGCGGACGCAAACAATGAGTGAGAGTTCACGAACCGGGAGAGTGCGATAGCAGCTGCGCTACACCTCTCACATCACGAAGGGGAGGCACCCAATGAGCTGTCTTCAACCATCTGGATTGGCAACGCTGAGGCCGCTCTATCCCAACAGCTTCAAATATTTTTGTAATCATTTGGCACACAGGCTTTGGTGGCTAATCTGCTTTGGCTGACTTCTTTATAGGACACTACAGTGATGGATGCGTGGTATCCCTAAATGGCATATACTACAAACTGACCTGTTCGTCCTATCTGTAACTACTGTCATCATATCTCATCCCACCAAATACGAAAGAGGACGAGCACGCCTCTGTAACATGTAAGAGAAGGTACTTAATGGCCCAGTCAAGAATGCGGCTCGTGGCATCTCTAGGGGGAGGCGCTTTGTCCACATAGTCCTGCCCCGAGCCTGTGCGTTGCGAAATACTACTTCAGGGTCCGTTTGGGGCCCAGAGGGTGCAATTCTCAATACCGCGGCCGGACCGAGGGTAAGTAAGTAGTCAATTAAACCCGACCGGTGAGGTCACCGTCTCGTTCTTTCCACGCAGGAAAGAAGTCACAAAAGGTCCAAACGCGCCAAATGGCATCGTCCAGTTCCTTCGAGCGGGTCGAGCACGGGTCCAGAAGTGCACTATAGGACTCCCTGCGGAGGACGGTCCGGCAGTAGTACAAGAGGAGACTCTTGAACTGGACGATTATGCGGAGGTCTTGTCGGTAATGGTGCAGGTAGAGACTGACATGGAGATTCTGGCCTCCGGGCTGCGTCTGGCTTGCGTAGACCCGGTCGGAGATTTCGCAGTGGCAGCGAAATGCTCTGGGCTGGTTTGTGCGGCAGCGGGTAAGTCTCCAGCTTTGACCGTGCTTCTAGCTTCACATTAGTGACTCGTTGCTCGACATAGAGAGGGTATCGTTCGCTAAACGGGCCTGAGAGGACATTTTCGCCAGCTCGCTCTCACTGCCCAACAAGTCTGTCTCAGCGAACGCCACCCTCGGTAACGATGGTAGGGACTTGTCCTCCATCGTATTCCTTAACACTGGAACGGCCCGGTTGGCTTTCCTGCGATAGCAATAGGGATACTAGTGGGTTGGCCTGTGTCGTTTGTGCCATTTGAATTGAGTGCCAGTATATGCCCAATCCATCTAAATTTTGGCCCAAACGACAAGACGACATTTCAGAGTCGGAGGTGTAAATGCTCGACGTACTCAGCGTCGCCACTTCTAGGACTGTTGTAATACTGATCAAGTCGTCCAGGTGACTTTTGTTCTTTTCACAGCGGACGGAGAACTTGGATCGTGGCAGGTAGTTTGGAAACTTTTGCATTGGCGTAGATCGAGGGGTTTCCATCTCCTGACACTGACATCGAACAGGCTCAAGCATAATTTGCAAGATATTGGCCCTGTATCCCGGATGGATGGCAGGTTCAGCAGAAGGACGATAGGCACGGAATGAGCAGCTCTCTGTACAATCCACTGTGAATATAGTCGCCGTTTCTCTTTCTCCGGGAGCTCTTGAACAATCTTCGAAATTGCGCTATTTGGTCTCTCCTCGTGGGCAGTTGGCTGTTCAATCAACCCCCACACTTAACGAGCTCAATCATGGCTCGACGTGCATTCAATTCCGTGGATGTCTGTACTAACATTACAATCCACTTAATAACCCCGCAAGATGCGAAGGGAGCCAACCGTACATGCCTGTTTGGCGCCGAATAATCAATATCTTGTTAATTGCTCTCTAGCCTCGTCAAGCCTCGTCAAGCCTCCAGCTTGGACCGGGCATGCTAGCTGTAGGTCTGAGCCCCGACATAAGCACCTAGTTTCTCCTCGACGGACCCTTATGCAGGGCGTTGATAGTCGAGAAACGCTGATAGCATGGTATATGATTCTGCCTTGTCCGCGGAGATGTAGGCTGTCAATACATGAGGGTGCCAATAGGGGTACTCCGTAAAGTGGTGTTGGTGATAGCTTTGGCGCTGTTGGGTGGACGACAGGGGTCTCAGCTAACTATTGGTGGCGAAGCTACCGTGCATGCGTCCATTCAGAGCTCCAAACCTTCCTGAAATTAATTCTGTAGCTGCTGATAATTCCATTGGCTAATTCCCTTTAACATTTGCTTGGGCTCGTTCTTTAGTTACACTGGTGATCGGACTGCACGGGGCCAGCCTTTGGTAGTTTCAGAATACCAACGGTGTTGGTGTCTTCCGCGATTCCAAATCCAACGTACACAGGGGAGAATTAGGTAAAGGCTTCTATAATCATGGGCAGTAGTCAATATGGAAGGAATGTAGCAGCCTGGCGGAACTTGCTGTAGACCAGGATAATCGAGCGTCCCTTGCACATTTGAACGGCAGGACGCAAGGCAATGCATCCAGATGACCCTTGGTCGGTCCAGCAGCGGAGCTAGCAATGTGATAGTTTCTGATGCTTGCTGAATTGATCTCTGTAGCCCTTGTATCCGAGGTGAGCTTGATTTTCTTCGAGGCAGAACGAGTTGGGGTCGATATCGCAGACAACCATCCTTCTTGTCAAGTGCTTTGGAGACGATGACAGACAACCTGCATATATATGTATAGAGATCTTTGCCAACTCGAATCGGATTAGGAGCATATCGTTACCACAGCATCAGGTGGAGTCCATTGACCCTCGTAGAAACAGCCCTTCCTGCCTGATCCGCTTGTCCTGTCTCTCAGTACCAATATCTCATGCGAGGTGTCTTGAGCAAACCTTGTTAGCCTTCTAAATTTGCACCTCGAACCAGACTATGTTTCACGCTAGATGGTCTCGACAGGAACGCCCATGAAGCCAGCGTATTGGAACGAAGAAGACGGCCAACACCAACAGGCGAACTTGTCATTCCCTCTAAAGAACGAGCAGGACCCCTATCCGCCTGACGGCGCAATACCCACAATCCTTTCAGACTTCCTCGTGAAGGGGCAACTCTTGGGGGGTGCAAGTTGTTGGCCCCTGATATAGCACTCGGGACGAGGAGGAAGAGGGAGACAAAGACGATACCTGGGCGTCCAGAGAATAGGTGAAATACCAGTCCAGTTCCTGCTCCTGACGTTTGATCAAAAGCTTTATACTTCACTCATCCAGCACTCATCCGTATCACCATTGCTAGTGGCTCAATAAGATCACCCGATCCAGTCATGTGTACATCTCTTGTGCAAAAGCTTTATCTGCTCCTCCTTGTGGGACTCTTCCTGCCGTGGCAGATTCTGACCCATCCGGTCTACGGGTGAGACCGGTTTCTCTAAAGGCATACGAACAACATCTGCTGACGTCTCCGAGCAGTGAAAGCCATGCTCGATCCTTGATAAGCCCAACCCTCGAGTCTTCTGATCCCGCTGTAATCCATGAGAGAGGAGGCAAGCTATGCGGCCTGTCTTGTCGACGACCAGATGGAGAAGCTCAAGCGAATAACAGGGCCGGTTCCTTCGGGAGTGGGAGTAGTATTGAGCTTCAACCGGGCGCCATCGGTGCAGGGAGCGAAACGCTCCGTCTTTACAGAGAAGTAAAACGTAAACAGGAGTTCTTTGTGAAAACAGGCCACAGCAGATTTTGGGAAATCAATCAGGACAATCGGAACGAGCGCCAGGTGTACTCGACGGGCGTCTGCTTCGGATGTACCGTGGTGGTCGTTGCGTCTGGAAGAGGCATTTATTTGCATCATTTCCGGCAGGAGGTGGGCACGTTGAACCCCTTTGAGGACCCCAAATCAGAGAACTTTGTTGAGCACGTTTTGGGCCCATTTGATGACCACCTACACGCATACAAGCGGTCGTTTGAAGGTCAGCGGCCGTACATGGTGGTTGCGACACCTGGTTTGGACCAGCCCCAGTACCAAAATGCAGTGAATCTCCTGAGAGACAGCTTCTCACGTGAGTTCAGCGGCGGCGAAGTGATAGTTCAACCTTATAGGTTAAGGTCGATGGGTGATTCTGCATTGAGAGACACCGCGGCTGGGAAAATTGTCCTCCAGTGGTTGCCTCCTTCCAACGGCGGCGATCATCGGTTGATTGCGCGTGTGGAGGACAATGTTGTCCTCAATGCGCATTACAACGGTGCCGGTCAGTTGCTGTCTTAGCCTAGGAGGCCAGCAGTGACTTTGGTGACATGTGGGCCAACTTGAGTTTGTTCAGACTCATCGCCTGAAGTGCGTCCTTGCCTCATAGGAAATCAGAATTCAATGCACCATGAACCCCCGTCGGTCGTATAACTGGGATACGGATGAGATTCTGGGAACCATGTTTTTTCAGTCGCTCTTATGTGATGTTTTTGTTACTTTCAATTCTGTCACTCGTTGAATCATACTAGATAGTCATATCTAGATACAATTTCAGGGTCGTTTGGTTGTTGCTGCTTCTTGTCGTCGCTACATCCTTCAAATCGTGGACCTCTTCAACACTCCAAGGGTCTGCAGTCGGTGGGATATTTGGGAAGGTGATCCGCTCTATCGTTATCCGATCTCGAGGGTGCCCCCCTGGTACTACGCCGAGAAGAGAGAGAGATGGTCCGATGGTACCTTAAGCTGATCAGTAACCAAATGATCTCCGGTGCTAGGAATGGTCGCCAGCTGGCCACAGCCCCCGAGACCTTGTAGTAGGAGAGGTACGGTTGGCAGGGGTATGGGGGATTCTGAGGGGCTATTGAACCAAACTTGTCATATACCAAACCGCTCAGCCAAAATGGTGTCTAGACAACATCTCTAGCTAGTAGGGATGATAGCAGTAGGGTCAACGGAGCAGGAATACAACAAAACTCATTACTTTGAGCAACTAGCACAGCTTGCACAACCAGCACTGAGTGGTGGGCTTTGAGCCTCTGCTGATGGGTTGATCAAATGCCCAAAGGGGCGGAGTTCGCAAAGCCCAATAGGGCCAGGGAAGGTGTTCATGTGGGGAAACGTATCAGGAGCACGTCAGATGACGCTTATGTATGTCAAGGATTGTCCTGCCAGCAAAGGATGCGTGCCTGTGTGGTTACTAGATGGTCAATTCACCAAGAGTTGTTGGATTGTTGGACAACAGTTGGGCGACCCCTGCGCCGCTGTTGCGTTGCCCCTGTTGCCCAGTTGCCCCGCGGGTCACATGATTCTGATGCATCTCCTCCTCGCTATCTGGACTCAAAACTTTCTCTTTCCATCTAGTATGTTCCTTTGAGTGCAATAATGTCTGCCTATAGTCCTCGCACCCTCCCCCTGGAGCTCATTGTGATGGTCGCGGACTATTTGGGACCTTTGGATCTTTTAACTTTGATTCTGGGCATTCCCCACCTCGCCCCCCTTCTACAGGCCCGGCATATCGAGGCCCAGGATGAAAATGGACGCACCATCTTGCATCATATTGTGGAACAAAGGCTTGAAAACCTTCTTAATCCCCTCGCAAAATGGATCCCACAGAGCTCCATTCCTGATAACGGAGGATGGACGCCCCTTCATCATGCCGTCAGAACCGGTGATGAACAGATAACAAAAGCACTGGTTTATGCTGGTTCAGATATATCAGCCAAGGATAATAGAGGAAGAACAGCCCTTCATCTCGCATGCGACGTTGATGAAATTGATATTATGCAGTTCCTACTAGACCACGGAGCAAACCCATCCTTGACAGATTACAATGGACACATACTCATACATGACATGCGTCGACTAAGCACACTAATCCTCCAGAAGCTGTGGCGAGCTGGCGCCGTGTTTGACTCCAGGCCAATGCCACGAGGCTTGACCCCCCTTTTTTATGCAGCCTGGCTGGGTCGAGAAGACGCTGCCAGGATCCTTCTTGAGGCTGGAGCAGATCCTTCAATCCAAACAGAGAGTGGCGAGACTGTATTGCAGCGAGCTGTTTCAGGAAACCACATTAATGTTGTTCGGCTCTTACTTCATGTTGGCGTTGATGTCAATGTGCGAGAGCTTCTTCATGGCCATACAGCCGTGCTCAAGGCTGCATATTGGGGAGCAGATGATTGCCTTCGACTTCTCGTGAAGGCCGGAGCGGATGTTTCAGCAGTGGACTATGATGGACACAATGCACTGCACCTGGCAGCTATGATGGGCCATGAGTCAACTGTTAAACTACTTCTAAAGGAAGGAGTTGACACTTCTGCACGAGATAACCAGGGCCACATCCCTCTGGACTGCGCCGTTACAAACGAGAATAAAGGAGTGATTCAAATTCTACAAGATGCGCATAAGAACACTCTTTTGAAACTCGTGCATCGAATATGCGGCGAATGTTACTCTAAAATAAGAAGTGGGAATGATTAGATATGGAGCACTGTGTCAGAGTACTGAGCGTCTGGCAGCCTTCCATTTACATTAGCCTTATATACCTCTCCTACCAATGCTTGCTAGGAGACCTCCAGTTAGGATTTGGCTGCACTTGTAACCAACACCATACACAAACCCTTGTGATATTACTGCTCAATACCATTCACAAGTGACATGTCAGCACAAGGGTACTTGAGGGCTTTACTGCATGGGAGAAAATCTCAAAAGTGATCTGGGGCAGGGCAATGGTATTACCACGCCACACCGGGCTGTGCGTCGTCAGGAGCGTCTGATCGCCCACAAACTATTCAATGTAATCATCTGGGATATGCAACCAGGGAAAGGCTGCGTTGGACATGGCCCACCAGGCCTCCCCGGACACCGACACCCAGATGGTGTTGATGACTTTTTAGGGCATTCTGCTGCCGTTATTCGACTGGCAGGGCAAGGGAAGGCTTTCTATGCACAGTTGTCCGGTTGTGCCGTTACTCGTCGCCATAGTGCTGATTGAGGCTGCTGGTATATTCGGGGCTATTTATGGTTTGCTCAAGTTCGCTTGTTCTATTTGAGTTGTGGCTTATATGGTGGCAGAGTTGATGTTGTAACATAATCGATATAAGCAGAGATAGTGGATGAGAGGGGCATTATTCACTAAAATATGTGCTGTACATCCTCGAATTCTATTCCTAGTTGACATTATAACCAAGACACCAGCGACCAAAGAAATCGAGAATCTCAGATCATCTCGAGAAAGGCATTAGGCAGTACTATTGCTCCTGTTTGGGAGCGTCATCACAATTCTCAACTCCAGGACTTGCCTTCGACTTCTTGAGTATACTCACCCACTCCAGTGAGGCATTTCCCAGAATGGCCAAACAGGCCACAATCAACCCGATCTGAAACACCTTCCGCAACGCTTCGTTATAAGCCGTCAATACCGTCCCCCGGAGATCCAAAGGAACCAAGCTCAATAGCGATGTCGCACCGCCCGACGTAACAATATCCGAGTCAATTCCCGGAACCCCAGACAGCCTCATCGTAAGCTGGTTAGCCAGGACATTCTCGCCCACAGGAACAAACGCCGCAGCACCAAGCAGCTGGCTGAAGAACATGACTGCAATTCCGACAGGCACATCTTTTTTCGGTAAGACGGTCTGCGCCGCGAGGTTAGGTTGCTGGAAGCACATGCCCATGCCGAAGCCGTAGAGGATCTGATAGCCTATCCATTTGCCGTGGCCGGTGTGGATTTGCAGTGTTGTAAGGAGCCCGGCACCAATCGCCATAACGCAGGTTCCGATGATTGCAAAGGGGGTGTAATATCCGATCTTCTGGGTGGTGATGCCAGTGAGAACGGACGCGACGACCATTGAGAGCATTAAGGGCAGGAGTCTGAGACCCGAGTCCACGGCCGAAACGCCTTTGATTGATTGGAACCAGATTGGGAGGAAATAGACTAGCCAATGTTAGTCTAGGTAGACGTTGGGGTCCTGGTTATTCCTACTGAATATGTATTGCGATGCACCTATACAGATGGTCGCCCACACTCCGCCGAAGATGCTGCGCCGTCTGAAGATGCGCAGAGGAACAGTGGCCGTCCTTGTCAGAAGTATCTGAACAGCAACGAAACCAAGTAGCAAGACGCCCATGAGAGTCAGTAGCACGATGATGCGAGAATTATTCCACTGTCGCTGTCAGTACGCAGGTCAAACATGCTCTTTTGAGAAAAAGCTCACATCATATTTCTGCCCACCCCACTGCAGTGCTAGCACCAGACAGACTACGCCGGGGACTAAGCAACACAGTCCAGGGACATCAAGCTGCTTCAGCTTCTCCATCCATGAAACCTTGGTCGTATTCCTGTCAGGCACCTTGAGGCAAAATGGTATAGCAGCCATCGCCAGGCCCCCAAAGGGGAGATTAATATAAAAGCACCATCTCCATGTTACGTGCGAGGTAAATGCACCACCGACCAGCGGGCCTACAATCGAGGCCAGACCGAAGACGGCCCCGAAAAGTCCTTGGATCTTGGGACGCTTCTCGAGAGGAACAGCATAGACGATACACACAACCTAGACGGTCAGCACTTGCACTTTGAAAGAAAGAGACCACTCACAGATCCTGCAAAGATTCCTGCGGCAGCAACACCAGCGAGAGCTCGTCCGATGATAAAAGCGGTGGAGTTGGGCGCAGCTCCACAGACGACAGAGCCAACTTCGAACAAGAGGATGCTACCCAGCATAACTGTTTTCACGGGGTAGAAAGTGTAGATCTTTCCGAATAGCAATTGGAATGCACAGCAGGTCAGCAGATATGCGCTTCCGTACCAGCCGACGTCGGACAGGGAGTCGAATTCATTCGTGATCTGAGGGATTGCCTTGCTTCTAGTCAGCTTAATGTTCTGTCCGTTATGTTTGTGGCTCGCTATACCGTTGAGATGATCGTTCGATCTAGAGCAACCAGAAACATAGTCATCATGATCGAGACAAGAAGAAGTACGACCTTGGTGGTCGACTGTTCCTGATACGTGTCGTCCTGGTCGCTCGTGGCACGCTTGGTTTCCTCATCGTCGCAGGTCTCACTGCACTGAGTGGTCTTCATATTTATTGGATTTTCAGTAGATTCCTCCTTTTGAGGAGACACCGAGCTTTCGGATTTCGTCATGACCGTGCAAGGTATGTATCCGCTCAGAGCCAACGAGGTCTATACTTCGCAGATAGGCAGAGACAGTTGAAGTAGATGTCGAATTGACACATTTATGATCACAGGCAAGACCATCAATTTATATTTAAAAACCCTTCCTCGCTCGGGGTTGTTTCGGATGACTCTTGTTGGAGGATGGCCTGTCGGGGAGTAGAAAAGCCCGAGATCGTTATAGGGGTCGGGTTCAGCAACTCCCGAGGAATCGACCACAATACGAGTGACGTATTCATGCTCATTAATTACTATCATCCAGCTACATTGAATGCTCGTAAAATGAGCCACAGATTTTCAGATAGGCTGTCCTCATTTCCGGGCTTAAGTTAACCGCTATCCATCTCCCCATTCGAGCCCTACGTCAAAGGCTCCAACGCTTACCCCGACGGTCTACCGCTACATATCTATCAGCCATTCAACAGCCTTGAAGCCTCCATCACTGAGTCTTTGACAAGATGGTTTACTGCATCACTGCAGTAGATACTGTTTGCTATCGATCATCGAGCAGATCCCGCAGCAACAAACTCCGACGGCGCAATTGCAGGAGTGGTATCATACATGGGATGGCTTGCTGGATGGCAAACGGGAGAGTCGACGGCTTTGTTCGCGGTGAATCGAGGTTTCTGAATGTGAGATTCGTTGCGAATATGGGTTGTCATCGACTGTAAGGCCATAAATCCGTTGGGTGTTTACTCTATCGGGGTTTACGGATGTAGTGCGGAGTTATGGAGGCATATCTTCGATGAGAGCCAGGAGAAAAAGGAACAAAAAAATACCCTTCCTCATGAGTACTGAAGTCAACTGAATACAATGGCTTCCAAAATCGTCCTCATCACCGGCGCCAACACCGGCATTGGTTTCCAGGTCGTCCGCGCCCTCTGCGACTCCACCCAAACCTACAGCATCATCGTAGGCGGACGATCCCCAGCAAAAGTCCACAGTGCCATTAGTGTCATTCAAAGCGAGTTCCCAAGCTCCCAAAGCCAGCTCTACCCCCTTCAGATCGACCTGGAATCCGACGACTCGATCAAACACGCCTACGAAGACATCAGCACCAAGTTCGGAAGACTCGACGCTCTCGTCAATAACGCAGGTATGTCTCTTGCCCTCCCCTCTCACTCTTACATCCTAACATCCCAGGCGCGTGGTTCGATGCCCAAGCCAACACCACAATGACCGAACGCCAAATGTGGACCAAGACCTGGGACGTCAACGTTACAGGCACACACCTCCTCACCTCCGCCCTCATGCCTCTCCTCCTCAGAAGCTCCGACCCCAGGCTGCTCTACGTGACATCTGGTGCTGCGAGGCTCGCAGGCACCGACGACCTCCGTCTTTCAATCAACCGGTCCCCACCGGCCGGCTGGCCCAAGTCAGCTGGGACAACTGCCACCGCGTACCGCAGCGCGAAGACAGGACTCAACATGGTCATGCGCGAGTGGAGGCGGATACTCAAGAACGACGGGGTAAAGACTTGGGGGATCGCGCCGGGTCACCTGGCAACTGGGTTGGGGGGTAGCACGCCGGAAGAGATGAAGAAGAACGGGGCGGAAGATGCTGATGTAGCCGGGCCATTTATTCGGTCGGTGCTCGAGGGAGATAGGGATGCTGAGGTTGGGAGGGTGATTAGGAGGGAGGGAGTGCAGGAGTGGTGAGGCTTGAAGTTGGCATCTACTTTCTACCAAATCTGATATCGGTTCACCACCCTCATACTTTATCGCACACGGTGTGCATTCTGCCCCTTTGCAGCGTGCAATAGACAATGTGACGGCAGCACCAGCACGTAGCATTGCGAACTCGAGTACTCTGTATCTAGGGGGCTCTGTCGACTGGGGATACTTGTATGCTGAAGCAGTTTAGTCTGCATCCATAGGAGGGTGTACTCGGATATTCAGTAATCGATTCTGGAGTCTCCAAGTACTTCCATTTACCAAAGCTAACGTCTTGGTTAAGTCGCCCAATAAATTGGACAATCTCTGAGTTGTTCTCAGAAAAGGTTCAAACCCGGTCCCACCCAAGTGTTTGCCTTCGGATGGCTGAACCAGTGACTGGCTGATATGTTCAGTATCTAATAGACTGTTCTTTAATGAATGGCGCAGCTTGTTCGAAAAAATAGCCATCATGCTCCTCACTAATGAGATAGCGCTTCGGCTCTCAAGTATCTGTTTCCTGTAAAGCTTTCGGGTCTCTCCAACCATGCATGTAGTTATCGAGTTGGTGGGCGAGTAAGGACTGAGGCCACTGACCTCAATTCCTGTTAGAGATTTGCCATACAGGAGCAAAAGTTACTGTATGTTCATCTTTGAAAGATGGTAGATGGGTAGTGAGGCTGAGACTGCGGCTATGAGGATTATATGGAATCAAGGAAGTAAGGCACTTTGTTTATAACTACCCTACACTAATCAGCAGGAAAGGCAATGCTTAATAGTACATACAAAGCATAATATCCCAGGATCCTTACAACTACCCCCTTGACAAGTAAAAGCCACTAATTTGCAAAAATACTCATGTGAGCTTTATCACAGAGGAGAAACCTAGAAGAAAGGAAAAGGCCTACTATATCAAGTTTACAAGTCCCTCTTTTGTCCCACTTTGTCCATGTCTCTGCTTTGTGACCCTTTGTGTCTTCCTTTATTCATAAAGGCCCTTTTATAACACATCACTCACTACACAAGATGAATGTTTCAGAACCAGCCTTCATTGTCTCAATTACGCCCAGGGAAGGTGTAGACAGTATCTATAAAATCCAGCCTTGCAATGGAAGACGCTGGCAAAGTATAGAGATAGTCAAGCCCAGGAGGGATGGGCTATAGTGTCATATGGCTAGACTTGCTATGGACACTTGATATGTGTCAGCACTACCCTATAGTTAGTTAGTTACGGCCTGATGCATATATCGTACCTTGACAGGTCATAGGCCAGCAACCAATGGGCGCCCGAGCCGGTTCCGGCTGGCTAACCGGAACCGGCACACTATTCAGGGGATATAAGCAATGTTTTGTATGTCGATAGTCCAAGTACCAGGTACATGGGATACACACTTGGAAATCCTCAGTATGCCAGTGGTAATGGACAATATGAATAACAACGGTGGCCAGTCGGGAAACCATGGCGATGCGGTTGCTGGACGTGCAACTGGCATTAAGGGCAGTGAACCAGAAGGAAGCCGACACATGAGAGTGGAAGATGGGATTACCACAATTTCTGCTAGGGGGCAGCAGGAGGGGAAAACAGAGGAGAATCTACGTCCACAATCAGACACAGGGTCCACTGGGGTACATCCTTCTGCGCCTGCAGCAACAACAGACACCAGTACAGCAACAGGGCCGCCATACTGCATACTACCAGAAGGCGAAAAGATCTTCATTATTCTCTTGGTCTCGTTCGCGGCCATCATATCTCCCATCTCCAGCAGCATCTACTTTCCGGCTCTGAACAATCTCGCAAAGGACTTGCATGTCTCCATCTCGCTCATCAACATAACCATCACAACATACCTGGTAGGTCATCTCCGCATTGAGAGGAAGCAGTCAACAGAGTGGTACTGACAATGGTAGATCTTCCAAGGGATTGCCCCTTCACTCATAGCAAACTTTGCAGATACCCATGGCCGACGACCCGCCTACCTCATCTGCTTCACGATCTATCTAGCGGCGAATATAGGCCTCGCTGTCCAGGATAGCTACGCGTCTCTCTTGGTCCTGCGTTGCCTGCAGAGCTCTGGCAGTAGCGGGACAATCGCACTAGGAAGCGCAGTTGTTGCTGATTTATCAACCAGAGCAGAGCGAGGCAAGTATATAGGATACGCCAGTATGGGCGTGACCCTTGGGCCGGCCATGGGGCCGATTATCGGGGGTTTATTGGACCATTACCTGGGCTGGCGAGCAGTCTTTTGGTTCCTGGTTATTTTTAGCGGTGTACTCGGGACGGTCATCGCTATCATTTTGCCTGAAACCTGCCGCGCGGTTGTGGGCAACGGCTCTGTCCCTGCCGCAAGGTGGAACCAGTCTGTATGGCAGATTCTAGTGCAGAAACGGGGTTCCAGGAAGCAAAAGCCAGAGCCGGACTATCAGACCATCGAGAAGCGGCGTCGACGCGCAAATCCGTTCGCGTCTGCCCTAATCGCGACTGACAAGGAAGCACTCATCATTCTGATCTACGGCTCGCTATTGTTCTCCGGCTACATGGCCGTCTTGAGCACCTTGACCTCCCAGCTGCAAGCAAGATTCCACTTCAACTCCATCCAAGTGGGACTCTGCTACCTCCCAGTAGGGATAGGCAGCCTGACCTCCCGCTGGACGGTCGGACGGATTCTAGACTGGAACTTCCGCCGAGAAGCTCGACGCCAGGGCCTCCCGATCGAAAAGAACCGACAGCAGGATATCCAGCATTTCAACATCGAAGTTGCCCGCTTAGCCGTGACGATCCCCCTGGTCTACTGCGCCTGTCTGTGCATTATCGCCTATGGCTGGGTCATGGAGCATAAAACTGCGCTTGCCGGCCCAGTGGTCATGCTCTTCTTTACGGGGCATCTGACGTCCGGGGCCTTCAGCTCAGTGAGTACATTGATTGTGGACCTTAATCGGCGGAGCCCTGCTACTGCAGTCGCTGCGAACAATCTCTTCCGATGTCTGCTGGGTGCGGGAGTCGTTGCGGCTGCGGATCCAGTGATCCAGCGGATAGGGATCGGTTGGACGGCCACGCTTATCGCGTTTCTGTGGATGCTTTTTAGCCCACTTCTGTGGGCTGTATTCAGATGGGGGCATCAATGGAGAGAGGAGTGTGTTAGTAAGGAAAAGAGGGAGGAGAGCCAACCGGAAGAGCTATCCAAACAAGTGGGGGAAGCTCCAACGGCCAAGGATGGTGTCTGAAAACATGGATCCTCCGCTGGGTTCCGGAGACAGAGAGGAAGTAACTGATGGATGAAGTAGATTATAGACAGTGATTAGACTACACTATGTTGTATTTTTGGATGTACGCATGGCCTGTCGGGGCTATAAATTATAATAGCAAGCATCTGCTGGTACAGATGCCAATACATTTCTTAATGCATGTCAATCTCATTAAAACGTCAATGGTGTAATTGGCATAGGCTCCCTCCCTGTATCTGACTCTCTTATTTACAATCTCAGGCCCAGGAAATATGATGTGACAATAGGCCATAATGAGTGCTTGAACCTAAAATGATGCCATATTGAGCCAAAAAGGTATATTTATGCATTTGCATATTATGCAATTTAGCTAAGTGCAATGCTATACTTATGGATGTGATTGAAATTCTTAATAGCAAGCTGCTCAATGGTACCGGTACCTGACTAACACACGTGAATTATCGCTGAGAAATTGAGTGGCGTTTCATACAAAGTTTTTGCAAACTTATTCTACGTATTTTCCGGTGGCGATTCCGATCTCGGGGAAAAGCTTGATAGGACAAGGATTTATTGCTTAGACTGCTGACTAATCTGCTGGATGAAATGTTTTGAGACAATCCAGCATAATAATTAGCAGTTGCAGTCCATTTAGGATGGAGATATGAGCTATCTTATGCTAGTTTGATTTTAAATGTCACCAAAGTAAGGACTGTAGTTCAGTCTCAGCAGTCTAGCTGCTGTATGAGTAAAACCCTAGACAAAGCAACAGCGGAAAGCATCCGAGAACCCGCAAAAAGACCGAAGAGAGATAATCGTGGCCGACTGTGGAGAAGACAACCACCAATGACGCGACGGCAACCCCCGATGTCGTGATTGTGGGCTCCAGGCCAGAATACTTTTAAGGATTTTCTCCGCCATCTTTTCCCCATGGCGAACGCTCTTCCTGATACCTGACATCTTCTCAATCATTAAATTGGTTGTGCATGTGGGGAGGCACCGCATACCGACGCGAGATGATCTCCCACACCGGCCACGCCTTGGAGAAATCCGACTCCAAGATTGAGACGGATCGGTCCCAGCCATACGGGGAAGAGGTTGTACCCTATTCTGAGAAGGATGCGCTGCAGCTCAATGTTGGTGGCCGGGGTGCCACCCAGCGCCGCCTGAAGAACTACCAGGTGACGATGATCGGGTTTTGCGGGGGTATTGGCACGGGTCTGTTCGTGGGAACGGGCGCGGCGTATGCCAAAGCTGGTCCTGCTGGTTTGCTACTGGCCTATGCGGTTGTTGGTCTGGTGCTGTGGTGTGTGATGCAGAGTATCGCCGAGTTGGCGACGCTGCTGCCCACCGCTGGATCGTTCCCGCACTGGGCGACACGCTTCATTGATCCCTCTGTTGGTTTCTCGCTGGCTATCTCGTACGGCTACTGCTACACCATTGCCATCGCATCAGAAGTGTCAGCGGCTGCGGTGATTGTCTCTTACTGGACGGACATCACGCCCGCCGTGGTCATCACCGTGGGCCTGGTACTGATCCTGGCGATTAATCTCATGAGTGTGCGATTTTACGGTGAGACAGAAGTGCTCGCAGGTAGCATCAAGGTACTCTGCTTCATTGGCTTGGTGATTGTCTCCATCGTCATCACCTCTGGCGGCGGACCGAACCACGAGGCCATCGGCTTCCGTTACTGGCACAATTCCGGCGCCTGGACCAACTACAACGGCATCACCGGATCTACCGGCCACTTCCTGGGCTTCCTGTCCGCCTTTGTCAACGCCTCCTTCAGCTTTATCGGCGTCGAGACCGTCGTCATCACCGCGGCTGAGTCGGTTGACCCGCACCGGGCGATTCCCAAAGCCGCCCGGCGCGTCACCTATCGCATTGCCTTCTTCTACATCCTCGGCGCGTTCCTCATCGGCATGATTGTCGATCCCAGAAACGCCGATCTTGTTTCCGGATCGGGAAATGCGAACAGCTCTCCGTGGGTTATTGCCATTCGCCAGGCCGGCATCAACGCTCTGCCTTCCATTGTCAACGCCTGTATCCTGATTTCTGCCTGGTCCGCGGGCAACTCGTACTGCTGGGTCGGCTCGCGAATGATCGTGGCCATGACGACCGATCACCAGTTGCCCCAGGTATTTGGCAAGGTGACCAAGAAGGGTGTCCCTTATGTGGCTGTTATCGCCGCTTGGCTGTTTGGACCATTGGCCTATCTCAGTAAGTCTCCTTAATTCTGCTGATCGTACAATAACTAACAGGTCAGGTCTTGGATCTGGCGGCGCCGCGCAAGCCTTCAGCTGGCTTCTGAATCTCAGCACTGTTGCTGGTCTGATCGCATGGGCCACGCTCTCCTTTTGCTACATTCGCTTCTATGCCGCGCTCAAGGCGCAGGGTGTCCACCGCGACACGCTGCCGTGGAAGGGCCCTCTGCAGCCATACGCCGCGTGGGTGGGATTCATCGGCTCCACCATCATCACCCTCGTGGCCGGATTCCCCGTCTTCCTCAAGGGCAACTGGAATACCTCCGACTTTGTCGCTTCCTATATCGGTATTCCTATCTTCATTGTGCCGATCATCGGATGGAAGTTGTGGTACCGCACCAAGGTTCGTCCCAGATTCCCTGCATTTCGAAAACGCAGCTAACCCCCTTGTAGTTTGCTCGCGCGGCCAATATTGATCTATGGTCTGGCCGTCTTCAAGAAGGAGAGATCATCGAGAAACATAGGCCGATGACATGGTGGCGTCGCATCCTCGATTGGCTTTTCTGAAGTGCTTTCTTGTCTTTTGTGTTATACTATATAGATGCATAGAGGTGATACCCAATAATGTATAGAACATTTTCCTTGTTGATCGATCACTCGCTTCTGAGCTGCTCTGCCAGTTTTCGAATGTCGTTGTGCGAGGCTTTGCAGCAGCCTCCAACCAGGAACGAAGTAAAGGGACCCTTTGCGCGAGCAATTGTGACAACCTGCGCCAGCTGGGATTCCCACGGACCCTACTCCAGTCAGCATTAAGTATTCGAAGAGCGGATAACCACATACCCTTTCATCACTTGTATAACCTTCCGGCTTCTCCCACGTCTGCGTGGTCGTGTTGTAAACCTCTCCATTGGTGCCATCTGGATACAGCACCAAACTCGGAACAGCACCTACTTGACCTTTGCCAACAGCACTCGCTACCTCCTCGCCAAACTCGCGAACCAGTCCATCCAGCTTATAGATCTTGGTGCAGTTGATGCCCAGCCCCCACGGCACCGCCGCACCGTCCATCTCCGCAAGTGCAGCCTGCACAACCTGTCCGATCGAACTGCCATCGGGCAACGTCGCCTCCTCCCCGGGGAACACACACGCCACCCAGAACGGAACATCCAAGCCCGCCGCGCGAATGGCCCTCCTCACCGCACGAATCTCATCCAGCCGCGGCAGCGTCTCAAACGCCACATACTGCACTCTGTCCGCCAACTTCTCATCCGCCTCAAGGAATAACCGTAGTCTCTCCAAATGCCATTGGAACAGCGTTTCCTCACTATCATGCTCCGCGTCGTAGTTCCCGCTGTATTCCTGCCCCGGGATCATGCACGCGCCGTACGGGCCCAGACTGAGTGCGATTTTCGCGGTGGATGGGCACACCCGCGCTTGCTCGGCGACGGCCAGTGCGGTTCGGAGATATTTTCCGATAGCCGGGCGGGGGATGCCATCAGGGAACTCAGGGGTCTTTGTGCGGGCGAAGCCTTCGATGGAGACTTGGTAGGTGGCTGTTAGGAGGACGTCGCTGCCTGCTGTTACGAAGTCGCGCTGGCAGGCGAGGAGAGTGGTGGGGTCGGAGACGAGGAGGTGGGATGCCCAGAGGGGGGTGGAGGAGTCGAAGGTGACGCCGTGTTGGTCTTGGAGGGAGGTTCCGAGCCCTCCGTCGAGGATTTGGATTGAAGTCATTTTTTTGGTGCTATTATGGGATTGGGGGTGATAAATTGAGGTTATTCCCTGGAGAGGTCAAGAGGGAGAGAATGAGTGTGGAGGGAAATTGTGGGATTTGGCTTATCGCACGTGGGGATAACCTTATCTTATCAATATGCCCCTGTTTGATGCCTCGTTTCTGCCTTGTTTCTACTACTTCAATGCTCGAAGCATCATATGATCATTGCAGGACTTGGTACAGTTGTTGCCTGCGTTGACTGCATATTCTCTGATTCATTACCCAAAATAGGAAGTATACGCAGCGGCTAACGCACGTCAGACTCCGCCAGGAAATGGCTATGAAGATCCGTCAGCACCTATGCAAGGAGTTAGACGCTGTCAGCTCTTACGGTCAGATGGATGCAACGTCGAGTTTCTGATGAGCCAGTAATCTCTGGCAAATTCTTCAACAGAGCTGGTTCATGACGGTGAGTGGCAGAAGTCCCTGGTCATGTCAGTCTCGACATTGAGACCTGACTGTAATACAGACTTCGTCCTCAACATATAAAGCAGTCGAGTTCCGCGAAAGAGTGATTGACTCTCTACCATCTTTCCAAGTTCTTAAATCGTTGAAATTCGAACACAAACTCAACATGAAGGTCTTTGCTACTCTTCTCCTCCTAGCCGCCACCGCCACTGCGGCTCTCGCTGCTGTCCCTGCTCCCAATGCTGGCTGCTCTCAACCAGGTCAATACTGCAACGGCGGGACCTTCCTCTGTTGCAACAACCGACGATGCAGTAACAATGTGGTTGGTCTATCTTGCCGGTCAGAGAAGTTCCCAAGACGGTGCCGCATGCTGACAAAGTCCCTTTAGTGCCAGTGATCTCCAATCGAGCTATGGAGGGTAGCCTGCTGTCCACTCTGGGGCCTTACTTTTGTCAGAGCTTCATTATGCCACCAAGGCCAATTGGTGCTTGTTGTCTACCTGGCTTGTGATTACAAATGTGAAAAGCCCCTCTGTTAGCAGCCTGAAGAGCAATCGTATTTGATTGGCATTGAACTAGAAATTTAAACTGCTAGTATCTCAGGATATCTACTTTTCCAGTACCCTTTTAAACCAAGATTAGCCATTAGTCCTGTAGATATGCGTTCGATGAATAGGTATAGTCACTCCACCCAACCCCAAAAAAGAACGGTGTCCTGCGTTCCCCGCCCTAAGCTGTCGGCTCTGATTTACTTGAGGTAATTCTCTTTCCCTAGCTTGTATCGTCTTACCCCGCGCCACATTGCTCCGCTCATGCTCCCTCTTATGCCTACTCGGCTCATCGGACCGAAAGGGCTTCCAGTCAGCTCAGCATGTCAATCCCGGATGTGGTAGAAAGGCTGTTTATCAGCGCGCTGATCAGTTCCTCCTGATAGATGGAGCAAAAGCCCTTTAACCTGCGGGTATACGATGGGATACACCACACTTAGGACCAGGAGACCATACGGAGTACCATTTGGGCAAATCGCTCAGACTTACAGTCTGTAGTACATGGGCATAAACGCAGTGGGACGAAAAGGCGTCCGTCGATTCTTCGTCAGCCATACATTCCTTTTTCTCTGCTGTGAGCGATGTGATCAAAGGAACTGGCATTCTTAATATGCACAGGACATGTGTTGATTAGCTAAATGAGGATACATAAAATACCACCACAAACTGTCAATGACAGTAGCTAATGTCATACTGTTCCGACTGACAAAGAACCAAGAGATGATAAAAGGAGTGAAGAACAGAAAGAATCCACTTTTGCCTTGCTGTTAGATGTCCTCAGTATCATGTGCTATGCCTTACAAAATATCTGGCGCGAACAGGACCTCGGAGTGGCTAACAGTGATGAAAGGTCAGCACAGAGCAGTCAACCCAGCATAGGTCCACGTACCTCATTCTTTGTGAATCTGCAGCGAAATAGCACTGGACTGATGAGTCGTGATTTGAAGAGAATCCCACTGGGCAGGTCGGTAAAGATACTGCTGTGTGCCGTTGTAGATAACCCAAAAGAGATACCCGGACTCGACGCTCAAGAACTTGAACCGTTCCCAGGAATCCAGCTTATCCGCGTCAACTGCGATATCTCCATTCTTGTTCACCCCCAGCAACCTTCCGGAACTTGCGTTGCGGAATCCAAAGCCACCGTCGTTGGCTTCCGCCACCCACAGCTGGTTTTTGGCGTTTTCCCAGGATCGGATGTGGACCTCTTCGTTCTTGTATTTTCCTGGGACGACGCTTAGAGCTCCGCCTCCAGGGACCTTGATGGAGTATTTCTTTCCGTCCTGGACCGGGGTAGAGGATATAGAAACTTCGGCGTCGGACATGGTGAGGATGTTACTATCGAAGAGAGACAAAGTGAGAAGTGGAAAGTTGCCTGCTGAGCGGGAGAAATAGTTATGGGGGAATAATCCTGCTTGACTAAATACAACTGTGCGGAACCTGACTTTATATCTCGAGGCTGTGTCTATTCTTCAGCTCAAAGCAGGTTCACATACGATGACAGAGAAGAAGGATACATGGCTGACTTCTTGCAATTCCCAGTCCATGGTGATATCAGCCGCCAAACGCTGTCAGCAAGCCGGCTGAGAGGTGCCACGCGCCTATGAACACGCCCTTTTTATTCTGTCCTTCTGGGCGTACTCGATAGCTGAAATCGGGGCTGATATGGGCTCCTGAACTGGCGTCTCGAAGGGATCAACATTTGAGAGGGTATTAGTTGGTGATGATTGTCTAGGACCCAGCACCAGCCGCTCGAACCTGGCTTTAGACCTCAGCTGGATCAGCGGGGGACATGAGATCTCGTCGTCCATACGCGAGGGGTCAGCCACTTCGTACTCTTCTGTACGCTTCATCGATAAGGAATGGGTAGGTGCGCTTCCACGCGCATTCGCAAATTCACCGCATCCCTCTATTCGCACTGCCTTTCTAACTGAAGCATGGACGGCACTCCTCGCTGAAGTCTGTGTCACCTGAAATTGTTTGCCTCGCGCTGAAGCCCGTGGAATTGAGCCAAGCAGTCACCCCATAGGAGGATCGGGGTAGAGACATGTTCTAGGCCCCGAGAAACGGACCACACATGCATGCCGAAGCATGATCCCTGCTAGCGGTAATTGGGCCATAATATCTCTCGCTGCTTACTCCGCCGGGGATGGAAAGTATACAACATGCAATATCCGTGCGCCGATACGTTACACATCGGACTTGAGAGGCAACAACTCCACAGTGCAGGTTTGAATATCTGCGCCTTGGGCCAGAACAAACGGCTCACCGTTAACTACACAAGCCCGGTTTACAACATCGGCCAGCCTCCATAATGCGGCTGACGTTCGAACATGGTGCGTTGGACACGTCGCCCAGAACGGTCTCGGATGCAGCACGAATATACTATGGTTTAGGATATTATCATACCATTTACCTGATTCTCCTCGGGCATCAGAGTATTTGATCATGGAATAGCTTTCCCGGTTACAGGGATTGCGTAGTCTCGGCTCTATGATCAGATTTACTGATCTCTGAGGAAGGGCTAAAAACGTAGAAACAAGGGCGATGACTTGTGTCATGGAGTTAGGTGTAAACATAGCAGCAATTTCAAAGCTGGACAGGTAGTATCGCCTCTGCATCAAGTGTGATTGTGCATGTTATATGCCAGAGGGAGTGCTAATAGTCCGTACTAGATGCCTGGCAAGCTGCGGGGTTATAATTATTGACATCGTCATCATCACTTCCCAGCTTCCAAGGCCCTTTTCTTTTTTTAACTGCTCGTTCGACGCACATGGGCACGTTCTATGTGTAATAAGCGTGCGGGAGGAGGGCTGTATTAGGGCTAAAGAAGCTTCCAATGGCTGGTATTTCTGCTGCAAGTTATCACTGGAGGCATTCGAACCTGACAGTGTAGTTGGATTCACCTTTGAGGATGGCGAACGACCTTGTGAGGGTTGCTATCGATATGCATGTTAACCTGCTGGCCCAGATTATCCCCCTCGTAGCTCAATTGAGTTCCTCTATCGAAGAGAGAGGGGCCCAAGTCAAATATCTTCCCCAGCCGGTGGGCGATCCAGCTGTGGACGGCCTAATATAGCATTGGCAAAGAGAGATCCATTGTGAAGTTAGTCAGGGATTGAGGAAAACGGTTGAGTAGAATATGAGGGAACAAGAGACAGATAGGCCAAGATCTTCACTCCTCATCTGTCTACACTGTATACCCTCTTCCCTTCAAACCAAGTCTCGCACACCTTGCCCTCAAGCAACCCTTCTGCTTCCCACCGCATATCCAACACCACAAAATCCGCTCTATGCCCTTCCCTTAAGCAACCTGTCCATCCCTCTGCAAACCTCGCATACGCCGCCCCCTCCGTCGCAGCCGTGACAGCCTCCGCCAGCCCTAATCCAAAACGCGCATTCGTAACGGCTGAGTCCCCCGGATCCAACGCTGACCGCCGTGTAGTCGCATTATACAGATTCGGCAACGGCAAATGCGCCGCCGTAGGCGCATCCGTGCCGATCGCAAGCCTCGCCCCTCCATCCACAAACTCCCTATACGCAAAGGCCCTCTGGCACCGGTCGCCGCCAATCAACCCCGGCCACGCACGGAACAAAACCGGATCCGAGTGCACCGGCTGCACTGATGCAATTATTCCCAACTCGCCCAACCGTCTTGCATCTTCTGAGGAAGTGAGCTCCAGATGCTCAATGCGGTGGCGCCGGCCGGGCGTGCCTACTTCCGCTAGGATGTCTATAGCCTGCTTCACGGCTTTGTCGCCGATGGCGTGGATGGCGCATTGCAGGCCAGCTTGGTCGGCGCGTTGGACGACGGCTTTGAGCATATCCGCGGGCCAGATCGGCTCGACGGAGTTAGTAAGGTTGCCGTAGGGTTGGCTCAGGGCTGCTGTGCAGCCGTCTACGACGCCATCGCAGATGAGCTTTATGCCCATGATGCAGAAATCGGGTGAGTTGGTGGGGCTGATCTCGGCGTGCAGCTGGATCGCGCGATCGACGTAGTGGAAGTTGGTTTCTTGGTTCTCGGAGAAGGGGACGAGCCAGTATGCGGCGACGTGCAGGGGTGGATTGTTGCGTTGTCGGTAGAGCTGGAGAACGTCCCAGGTGGGTTCGTCCATGGCCATATCGACGAGGCCGGTGTATCCGGCTTTTGTGTATGCCGTAAAAGCTTGGCCAAGGGCCTGTAGCTTTTCCTCTTGAGTGCTGATGTTAGCGAGAAACGGCCAGACGATGTCGACAACGGCACTTTCGCTCAGGAGACCTGATGGCCTTCCGGTCTCGTCGCGGTGAATCGTTCCGCCAGGTGGATCAGATGCAGTGTAGATACCCATTTCTTCCAGGGCGGCTGAATTGCACCAGACTGAATGTAGATCTAGGGATTCAATGTGGATCGGCCGTGGATCCAAATCATCCAGCATACTTGCCAGAGCGATCCCACTGATTGTCGATTGAATCCATCCTCGGCAGAGAAGGCGAGGAAGGTCAGGGTGACTCGCTGCAAAGGATTTGATTGCTATCTGTATGTCCTCTAGGCATGTACATTCCATCAAGTCGAGCTTGCCCAAGGACAGACCAAAGTTGAGAATGTGCACATGGCCGTCGATGAAGCCGGGGGTCACTAGGCGACTCTTCAGATCGATTATTTTGTCTGCAGAGGGAGCCTGCTTCCGTGGGCCGACATAGACTATTTGATCGTCTTCGATGATCATTGATTCCGCAAATGCATTGTCTGCGGTTAGGTTGTTTGAGGGAGAGAATATGCGGCCGTTGATGAAGATGGTCTTCATGGTGGTTCAGTTCAGCTGTTATAACCCAGTGAATCAATCTACTATTGCCATATATAAGTAGTTCCTTTCTGTCATATGTGAGAGATAAGACTCTCTTCCAGTTGCCCTTTTGAGCGTTGCTGAACAGTGAGATGCGTTGATATATGTCAGGAATTGTGATTAGCTGATAAGAAATACAATTAGAGGCGAATAGCCCCACCTTACCGCGGAAAGTGACACCATTGGTCAGGTTGATTCCATGTCGTATCATTATGGCTTCTTTGATATTCCCAGGTGCCCTGTCCAGCAAGAATACACTCGGTTGTCTCTGAAAATAGTGTCATGATCTGCCAAACTGAAGCAAGCTAAGTATCTGGCAGCTGGTTGTGTCCATACCGAAATCAGCATGTCCATCCGAGCAGTGCACCCCGCAAAGATATAAATATGCTGATACGCCCTCACATCTACGTTAATTCTACCCATAGTTGACAGCCAATTTCTGTAATCATGACCTCCAAATGCTGCTCTGGAAAGCGTCGCTACTCTGCATTATCTACCCACTCGCTAGGTATGCCTCAATCTCCTCTAACAAGTGTGCCCTACTAATATGTTAGACCCTCTGTCCGCTGATGAGATTACCACCGCTGCTACGCTCCTCCGACAACATGCACACCCAACCACCCTCAAGTTCAACTGCATCACCCTCCACGAGCCTCTCAAAGCCGAGCTCAACGCCTTCTTAAGTGGAACAGGACCCCGTCCTGCCCGTCGTGCCTTTTCCATCGTTCTCAAAAAGGGCACCCCTGAGGTCTCCGAGGCTATTGTCAACCTGACCACAAAGAAGGTTGAATCATGGAAGAGCGTCAAGGATGTGATGCCGACGCTGACCCTGGACGACCTCAACATCGTCGAGCACATTGCCAGCAAGGACCCTAGGGTAGTTGAAGCATGTCGGGAGATTGGCATAACTGATATGTCCCGTGTCTATTTCGATGCCTGGGCCATTGGGATTGACGAGCGCTGGGGATTTGAGCGCCGGCTGCAGCAAGCACTGCCGTATTACCGCAGCTCCAAATGTGACAATCAGTATGCGCATCCGCTTGATTTTACTATCGTCGCCGATACAGAGACACAGGAGATCCTCAGCGTGGACGTCAGGCGTGTGAATGGGGAACGCACTCCAGTGCCTCTGGACGAGCATAACTATCTGCCTCAGTTTATCAAAGATCAGTACCGTCCAGAGCGCCTAAAGCCCATTGAAATAACGCAGCCAGAGGGCGTTTCCTTCAGGATGAACGGCAATGAGATTGAATGGGCTGGACTCAAAATGCATGTTGGGTTCAACTACCGCGAAGGCATCGTGTTATCCAACGTCCGGATCGATGACCCGTACGAGAACCGCGAGCGGAAGCTCTTCCACCGGGTTAGCGTGGTGGAAATGGTGGTTCCGTATGGCTGTCCTAAGCCCCCTCATCACAAGAAGCACGCCTTTGACGTGGGGGAATACGGTTCTGGGTTCATGACCAACTCGCTGAAGCTCGGCTGTGACTGCAAGGGTGCCATCCAGTACCTGGACGCCGTTCTAGCCACATCTACCGGCGACGCCACAGTCATCGAGAATGCCATCTGCATTCACGAAGAAGACAACGGACTCCTGTACAAGCACACCGACTTTCGAGACGGCAACGTCATCTCAGCTCGGGACCGCAAACTTGTCATCTCCCAGATCATCACCGCCGCCAACTACGAGTATGCCTTCTACCACACCTTCACACTCGACGGAACGTACAAGCTCGAAGTCAAACTCACCGGCATGCTTAACACCTATTGCCTACACCCCTCCGAACAAGCCGCCCCCTTCGGCACAGAGATCGCCCGCGGCCTCGACGCCCAGAACCACCAGCACATCTTCTCCCTGCGCGTCGACCCCGAAATCGACGGCCCCAACAACACCGTCGTGCAGAGCGACGCCGTCCCCATGGCCGACCCCGTCGGCTCCCCCGCCAACCCCTACGGCAACGGCTTCCACGCAAAGAAGACCCCCCTACGGACCGCCATGCAAGGCATGGCAGACTACTGTCACGAAACCTCCCGCGGATGGGACATCACCAACCCCTCCCGGCTGAACCCCTCCACCCGCAAACCCATCGCCTACAAGATCCTCAACAACAACTGCCCCGCGCTGCTCGCGAAACCCGGAAGCACAGTCCACAAACGTGCGGGGTTCGCGCGCCATGCCCTCTGGGTCCTGCCCTACCGCGACCACGAGATCTTTCCTGCGGGACAATACGTGTGCCAGTCAACGGGGGAAGAGGACCACCCGCACAACGCGACCATCGTCGACTGGGCGGCGAGGAACGAGAGCATCGAGGATACGGATATTGTGTGTTATATCCAGTTTGGACTGACGCATTTCCCGCGCACGGAGGACTTTCCGATCATGCCGGCGGAGCCGGTCAGTGTCATGCTGCGGGCGTCCAATTTCTTCCAGAAGAACCCGGCGCTGTGGGTGCCGCCTTCGGATGTGGTGAGGGATTCGAGTTCGAGGAATGCTGTCGAGGCGAGGGAGTTGATGGAGACGCCGAGGTTATAGTTCGGTAGAACCGTTGAGTCCTGTGTTGATGTAGGTTTACATTCAAGTATCTATTTTCCGGCACACTGAGCCCTCGGAGTGCCTAAGCTAGGGAGGGCCACTAGGGTATTGCAAAAGTAGCCATTAGCTGTTCAGGAAAATGGAAATATTAAATCACAACCGTTCGATAGTAATTATAGCGCCTATCTATAGAATAGGGATCAGCATGTTGGTACACCGGCAATTGCCGAGCTCCACCGGCTCACGTAACTGGAGCGTGGCGATGAAACTGGATGATTAACTAGTTTCCCCCTAACGTTTGTTTGCCAGGGAAGACTATTATTTCCATTTGTTTGAATATCTACAGAAGATATGTGAGCCATTGATATATATACCTGCGATGGCAGACACGGGCAGCACACAAAAGTCCTACCGCCGACCTCGACGGCGGCCAGCTCATTTGCGGACGAAGACTGGATGTTTGACCTGTAGGTTGCCCTTCAACACATTATCCGGGACGTGCTAATTATTTAGGCCGATCGCGGAAGAAGAAGTGCGATGAGATTGGCTCGCCATGCTCGCCGTGCTACAACTGCCTCAAACGAAATATAGAATGCATCTGGCCAGCTAAGACAACGAGCCATGTCCATGATCAACTGGCCCGTCCTGGGAGTAGCAGCATGTCGGCAGAGTCCGCCTCAGTCACAGAATGCCAACTTGTCAATACTCCTACACTATCTATAATCACACTGTCAGATGGACCAGCGTGCTACTCCCCCGTCCTAACTCCTGTCAACAGCCAGCTATTTGACTTTCTGCAAACCATCTTCCTTCCACAGCTCGTTCATCCAGTAACCAAAGGGGCTGTGAATGAGTTGGTGACCAGAGAAAGCCTCCGGTGGGCATTCCAATCTCCTTTCTGTATGCATGCACTTCTCGCCTGTGCTGCAGCAGAGATACCGGTCAACAACCCGCAGTACCGACGGATGGCAGAGATGCATTACATCAAAGCTGTTTCTGGCTTGCGACAGAGCTTGATAGAAACTAGTGACTCGAGTGAATGGACAGTCGTCTTGTGGACGGTGCTGATGTTATGCATTTATGAGGTGAGCGAAAGAAGCAATGGTTTGATCAAACTAACAATGGCAGCGATCCAAACCTCATCACTCGCAAGGCGTCGATGTACATCTCGCCGGGGCAGCTCAGTTGATTCAGGTGTCCTTCCAGAAGAAAACGCCCGATGCAAGCATTATTGCGACGGGTGCCTGGACGCGCTTGTTTCTCGAATCATTTATGTTTCACGTCGCGACCAGTATACCCTTTCAGCTCACATCTACCCAATCAACTACTATCGACTCCGCCTTTTCCCTTGCGGAAAACATACTGGAGGTCCTCTGTCGACCGCAAATCTCCGTGGATGCTACCTCGCCAGTCCTCGGAGTCCCTCCAAAACTGTTCCACTACATCTACACGATCGCGCGGATGTACCAACAGTACCCCTGTGGCGTTGATATCTCCTACTGCAACGAGTTGGAGCAGGATCTGAGACGATGGGATACCCTAATGACAGGCACAGCAACTCCTGAGGTCCTTACAGGACCTAGACTGTATGTCTTGTGTTCGCGAATCCTTCTCAATCGGCTCATGCATCCCGGCAGTCAAACAGACAATTTTACCAGTGAGCTCATTTCGCACGCCATCCTCCTTGTGACCCAACTGCAGCCAGCACAAGATTACTTTGCCGAGTACTATAGTTGGCCATTCCTGGTGCTTGGGACCTGTGCAGAGAAACACTCAGACCGGCAGATATTGCTGTCACAAATACAAGGATTCTGGCAGGCGACGAATAATGGCACCATGAAACGGCTAGAGAGCATGCTGACGGCTTACTGGACTAATGGCAAATCAACCGCGCAGAATAACTTGTGGTTGATATGAACATTCTAAATCCAGATCACTGACACCATTTCCCTTTGTCGGCAATGTAGATTAGCCAATAGCGGTTAAGAATGGATAACCGACCAATGGCAATACACCTGAGTGGGCCATAATGCCATATTCCCGGCATTTGTCAGCGTCGTCCCTATCCGATATCCGTAGACCCTTTTTCTATCCGATAACTTGGAAGACACAGTCGGCCGAGTATATATACAACGGAGTCATGTCTTCTCTTTCCTCACTTCGATTCTCACATTGGCATCTGCGCAACAGCATTACCTGAAGCAACATGGGTTCCAACGCCTTCCAATCCCCCGCCATCACCAAGTCCTCCTCTACACCCTACTACACTCCCGCCAACGACGGCGGCGCCGCCCTCCACCCCAACGACCCGAAGACCCCTACGCTCTTCCGCCCGTTACAAATCCGCAATGTGACGCTCAAGAACCGCATCATAGTCTCTCCCATGTGCATGTACTCCTGCGAGTCGGACCCGTCCTCTCCCCACGTCGGCGCCCTAACAAACTACCACCTCGCGCACCTAGGCCACCTCGCCCTCAAAGGCGCAGGCCTGGTCTTCATCGAAGCCACCGCCGTGCAGCCCAACGGCCGCATCTCCCCCAACGACTCTGGTCTCTGGCAGGAGGGGACCAACTCGGAACAATTCCTGGGACTGAAGCGCGTGGTTGAGTTCATGCACGCGCAGGGCGCCAAGGTCGGGATCCAGCTTGCGCATGCGGGACGGAAAGCGAGCGTCGTTGCGCCTTGGCTGGCGGCGCAGGCGGGCAAGCCCAGTCTCAGGGCGGATGAGAGCGTCGGCGGGTGGCCGACGAATGTGGTGGGTCCGTCCGGCGGGGAGGAGCATATCTTCAGTCCTGTGGAGGATGCATACTGCGTGCCGCGGGCGCTGAGCACGGCAGAGGTTCGTGAGCTAGTGGCTGCGTTTGCGAAGAGCGCGCGGTTGGCGGTGCAGGCTGGGGTGGATGTTATCGAGATCCATGGGGCGCATGGCTATCTCATCAACGAGTTCCTGAGTCCGGTGACGAATAAGCGGACGGATGAGTATGGCGGGAGCTTTGAGAACCGGACGCGGATTGTGCGCGAGGTTGCGGCTGCTATTCGTGAGGTTATCCCCGAGGGGATGCCGCTGTTTTTGCGTATTAGTGCCACGGAGTGGTTGGAGGGTCAGGCTGTTGCCGCGGAGTCGGGCAGCTGGGACGTGCAGAGCTCACTGGAACTGGTCAAGAAGCTTCCCGAATGGGGCATTGACCTGGTGGATGTCAGTTCCGCGGCGAATCACAAAGACCAGAAGATCAACCTACACACGGCCTACCAGACGGACCTGGCCGGGCAGATCCGCCAGGCCATCCGAGCGGCTGGAGCGTCAACTCTCGTAGGTGCCGTGGGTTTGATCACCGATTCGGAACAGGCGAGAGGGCTGGTCCAGGGAGCGGATGAGGCGACTACAGCCGAGGCAATGCTATCAGGACCTGAACCCAAGGCGGATGCCATTCTCATTGCCCGTCAGTTCCTGCGCGAGCCGGAATGGGTGTTTTCCACGGCGAGAAAGTTGGGTGTGCCGGTTACTGTCCCGGTGCAGTTTGGCAGGGCCATCTAATCTTTAGATAGAAATAGATATATGCATTTCTCCTATTTCAGGCAGAAAACCCAAATACTCTTGTAAATGATAAGCATCGGAGGCCTCCGATGCACAGCTGACTCAGCCAGTTATACACTGCATTAACCCCGCCATGACGCCTTAAAGCTCCCCGCATCCCCATTCCCAGCATTATTGACCGATTTCCTCCTCACATCAATCCCTCACAAGAAGATATACTGTCCAGAGATACAAGATGGCCCTCAAACCAGGCGACAATTTCCCCGACAACGTCGTCTTCCAGTCCGTCGCTTCTCCCCGCATCCTCCCCCATTGACTCCACTAACTCAGCCAGGTACATCCCCTACGCCGAAGAAAGCAGCGACATCAACGCCTGCGGCATCCCAATCAACTACAACGCCTCCAAAGAATGGGCCGATAAGAAAGTCGTCCTCTTCTCCGTTCCTGGTTCGTTTACTTCACCATCAATTGCAAGGAGAAGTCTAACAGCACAGGCGCATTCACCCCCACCTGCTCGGAGAACCATCTACCCGGATACATCAAGGGCCTCCCGCAGCTGAAGGAAAAGGGCGTGCAGATTGTGGCTGTCCTCGCGTCGAATGATCCGTTTGTGATGAGTGCATGGGGCAAGGCGAATAAGGTCACGGGGGATGATATCGTATGTAATGCCACTGCTTGACGGGAGATGGCTGCTAACAGATGTTGTAGCTGTTTCTTACTGATCCCCAGGCGAGGTTCTCGGATAGCATTGGGTGGGCGAATGCAGGGCGGACGGGCCGGTATGCGATTATCATTGACCATGGGAAGGTGACATATGCGCAGATTGAGACGGAGAAGGGGGCTGTCAAGGTATGTATCTGTCTTCAGCGTTGATGATAGAAGGATGCTGATTGGGGTAGGTTTCCGGTGCGGATGCCGTTCTAGCGCATCTGTGATGACCGTCACACGAGTTCAGGGGACGATAGAATTGTGTAGTTCTTGATATATTCTCAACTGCTCATACATTGTTAGACGCGTCCTTCGCTGGCGGCCATCTATGATCAAACGCTGTACCGTGGGATAGTATACGTATGCGACGATAGTGGGCGCTGTAAGCTATGGATGCAAAGCCTGGCTAGATACATGCAATGAGTATGAGTGTAAGTCAGAGTCTACTATGCTAGGTTAAATATTTGACAGCAATGAGCAGCTCGCAGGCACTGTAACTTGCTAGACTCCCAGAATGTGTGTATGCTCCCGAACCGATATATAACTTCGTGGCATATATTCTCTGCGGAAGATAGGCAACTATATCTTGATCCAATACACACGAAGACTCAGTCTTTAGATAGTGTCATAATTCTAGTATAATATTTGATATTCAATAACATGGTTGTAATCCATAAAGACAGAACACTCTAGAACAACCGGGCGGACACCTGACAATCCAGGCATCGAATAGCCGAGGTCACCATTGAACAGATTGAATTGCAGTTCTACTCGAGCTCTATTATTCTTGATAACAATCGAGAGACACAATTCGACCCGTGTATCAGATTGAGACCATATCCACGTGCCTGGGATGACGGAGACTTTTGTCGGTGTCGGGGCAACTTTGTTTTGGCAGAGTCCACACAGTGGAGCAGCGATACTCAAGCTACGGTAGCTTCAACGAATGGCGTCCTCAATTGAGTTCATCTACCCGTGTGCTGTCCATTATCATTAGTAGTAGTGGTATTATTGTTGCATCCAGAGCATTCTAAACCCAAGAGCAGCCCCGCAGCAGCTGTTCACCAGTGATGTCATCAATGATCATCCCGTACAGTATATAATCTTCATAACCCTCTATCTACACCCTCTGTTAGAGATTGTCGACACCCATCAAAATAATAAGCAAAATGGCCCCCAAAGTCCTCATCGTCCTGACCTCTCAGGACAAGATCCCTTCTAACGGTCATCCCACGGGCTGGTACCTGGTATGTCTATCTGCATGTAGACAACATAAGACGCAAAATGACTAACCCCCCGCAGCCCGAATTAGCGCACCCATGGGATGTCCTGCACGACAAGACCGAGCTGGTCATCGCCTCTCCTAAGGGAGGTGAAGCGCCGCTTGATCCCGCCTCCGTCAAGATGTTCGAGAACGACCCCGTCGCCTCCAAATTCCTGAACGAGCAAAAGTCCCTTTGGACGAATACAGTCAAGCTTTCGGATGTGCTACCTAAGGTGTCCGATTTCGATGCGATTTTCTACGTTGGTGGTCACGGCCGTATGTTCCCTTATTCCCCTTACAAGAGTTGCAGGGCTGACGAAAACAGCAATGTTCGACCTCGTCAACGACGAAAACTCCATCGCTCTGATCGAAGCCTTCTCCGCCGCCAAGAAGCCCATCGCAGCCGTCTGCCACGGTCCGGCCGTCCTGCTCAAGGCCAAGGCACCGTCCGGTGTGCCCCTGCTGTCGGCTTGCACCGTGACCGGCTTCTCCAATACAGAGGAAGACCAGGCGCAGTTGTCGTCTGCGATGCCGTTTATGCTGGAGGATGAGCTGCAGAAGGTGACGGGGAACCGGTATGTCAAGGCCGACGAGCCATGGGGCGAGAAGGTGATTGTTTCCAAGGCTGCTGGCACGGGCGCTACGGTGATTACTGGCCAGAACCCGGCTAGCGCGACGGGAGTGGGCAAGGAGATTCTCCGGGCGTTGGGGGTGGCTTGATCATTTCAGCGTGTACATAATTTCAATAGTATATGATCGTTATGACATGGAATAATGCTTGATCTGTCAGGTTACATCCATATCATAAGAAATGCCGGCGGTCTCCGGAGAGAGTTACCCCTCCCTTTCTACTTTAAACGTGCGCCTGTCGATCACTGCGGGTCTGGCGAATCAGCAGTGATTCTGGCTGGGCGTGGCCGAGATATTGATGCCAAGACCCAGCCGATAAGTCAATGAGATGCCGCCCTTGCCTGAAGATGCATTATCTCTAATATTCATGACGGGATAACGAGGAAATATATCCTCAAAGAGACTGGTAGTATTGTACATGCAGCCAATCAATTCTCAGTATGCGCCTTGATCATATTGCCAAGGCGCCTGGTATGCTGCAGGGGATCCTCGTGAAGATTTGACTGGGTAGGCAGCGAGGGGTTTGATAGACGAGGTTTCTCGTAGATATGATCTCGAGATATATAAACGGCTTGATTCCGCGGTAGATCGGTCTTGCACTTCTTCTACAGCTCCTCATAGTATCTCGACAAGACAACATGACTCGCCTTCTCCTCTCCGTCCTCCTGGGCATCCCCCTGGTTGCAGCCATCCCTGTTGCCCTCCCAACTCCCCCTGGAATCCCATCTGCCGCTACCGCAGAGTCCGAGCTGGCTGCTCTGACCGTCGCGGCCGCAGGCTCTAACTCCGGCTACTCGCGTGACCTCTTTCCCCACTGGATTAGCCAAGGAGGGTACGTAGAGCCTCCTTCCTTGAAAGGGTAAGCTAACAGCTCAGCACCTGCAACACCCGCGAGGTCGTCCTCGCCCGCGACGGCACCGGCATCGTCAAGGATTCCAGCTGCTATCCCACCAGCGGATCATGGTACTCGCCCTACGACGGAGCCACCTGGACGCAGGCCAGTGACGTGGATATCGATCACGTTGTTCCCCTCGCCAACGCCTGGAGAGTAAGTCACCGCATCCTTCATGACTATCCCTGCTAATTTCCAATAGTCCGGCGCGTCTGAATGGACGACCGCGCAGCGCCAGGCATTTGCGAACGACCTGACCAACCCGCAGCTGATGGCCGTGACGGATAACGTCAACCAGGCCAAGGGCGACGATGGACCTGAGGCGTGGAAGCCTCCTCTTAGTAAGATTTCTTTTTCCTCTGGTGGAAATGATGCTAACTGGCTAGCTTCGTATTATTGCACGTATGCGAAGATGTGGGTGAGGGTCAAGTATGTGTATGATCTGACCATTACCTCGGCGGAGAAGAGTGCGCTCGTGAGCATGTTGGATACTTGCTAGTGAATGTAACTGTCTGGATGAGAAGGTTATCAGCTAGTTGATGGGAGAAAAAGGTATTTTGTAGTCAGATTCTGTTGAATTAGATTACCATTTACTGAATGGAGAAATTCAGCCATTCCTTCATTGAACCTCCCTGTACAGATGATTTGATTAAGCTCATTAGGATGCTACATATAGAATATACCTTTAAGGGCCGAAGCCTCAAATCAGGCGATTCTGGTAGCTGTTTGGGCGGCTTCTGCCGTAGCTTTTTGCTCGGTAGGTATGATTTCACTAATGGGCAAAATAGAGTCTTTATGCCCTAATTGATAAGATGGATAGCCTCTGCTGTCCATCTTGTTCTGACTTTACTTTTTCATAAGAGATGGGTGCCCCTCCTTCGCTGGCGCCTTTTGCGTATTTTCATGACGTCCCGCATTGCTTCTTTGTTGTAAGGGGTGAGGCGCATTGCATTCTGACTTTCAAGGGCCATATCCCAAACTAAATCCGCATATTTATTATATTCAAATCCTTTGGATTTCCAAATCATTTGCGTGACCTCTTCCCTTTCCCTCACACACCAGTACTTGATATTCTTGACGACTTGTTGCAGGATAGCTCCAGTAACATTGCTGTGTTTAAGCAGGCTGTTGAGTATGCATGAGGCCTGATCAGGGTCTTCGTTTGCAAACGCCGCTATCATATCTTTCTCTGTAACACGAATTTTCCGATTGGCTTGAGAAAAAAGTCGACCAATGAATTACCACAGAAGGCCCTCTTTGTAGCTCCTGTCAGTAATCTCTGCCAAATTGCCAGAGGAATATCTCTTTGAACATGCCGCAAGAGGACAGACACCATTAGGTCGGCTGCTGTCATATTTCTAACAGAGGAAAACAAAAGCTCCAGTACCTTTTTTGAGAAAGCTTGGGAACTCTTCTCAGTAGTAAAATTCATGATGACACTACTCCATTCAGCCGCAATGAGTGGTAGTGCTTCAGCATCACAATAATCTTGTTGTTCTCCAAGAGGCGTCTCATATAAGAATCTGTTGGTTTGTTGCCAAAATGATATTTAAAGAAAATGCCGCCACCAATTCCCTGTTGACTTTAATGGGTACTGGAAGGCCAATGGGAGAGTAAGCCACTTAAGATCTGATCGGCCAGCCGCGTTAGATGGCAATAGTGGGAATGATAGATCCCCAGAGGATACTCTCGGCGCTGACACTTTCAGAACCACTAGCTAGTCTTCATCCACCTTGACAACTGGAGGTACGACTATGGAACCTTTACGTAGAGAGTGTGGAAGTATGCATTGGGTTGAAGATATTACACCTCCCAACCGATCAGGTAAAAGTATATTCACCAATCGACGACCCGTCAAAGCAGCTTTAGGAAACCCGGCATTATGCTGCGCCATTTACTTTGCGTCATCGAGCTCTCTCGACATCCCAAACCCTCAGATAACCATAGAGCAGGATCCACATGTCCTCTTACTCAGGTTTCAGCTCGGCCTGGAACAGGCTCTTGTCTATGGAGACTTCTTAGACAATCCGACCGTCACTGGAGACTGCATGGCATACTGAGAAAGGTATCGCCAGCGTATGTGGCTATGAATCTCATGGATTGCGCTAAGTATGCATGGAGTCTCCACCCAGCTTGGATATTTCTTCATGGTTTACCTTTTTGGGAGATGATCGGCCGCCATTACGAACTATGTAGCATCACGCCAGCCACCTGAACATAGACTAGTTCATAGCTTGAAATACCAGCTCAGCGGGTGCAGATGAACACATGTTCATAATCATCATGATATCAGTTTACACAATGAAGTAGCCTTGAAATCCAATGCTCTGGACAAACATATAAACCATATCTCCATCCACTCCAGTACTGTGTTTTTACCACACAAGAACACACTCCCGCTACCAACATACTATCAAATCAACACGCAATCGCATATCCCGAAGTTACAATGGGCCGCACCTATCGAACTCACCACCCCAAATTCTCCCCTGGCAACACCGTGAACCTCCGTAGCTACCGCCGCAGCCTGCCCTTCCAGCGTGACGACGCTGGCTACATCACCGCCCACGACCAGCTCCTCACCACGACCCGCAAGAACGTAGAGCACTACGATTCCTCGGGCACGCTGTACGCAAATGCCACAGACGCGCTGCAGGGTGATCGGTTTTATGTCGAGCAGGGCGACAATGGATTCCGGTTCAAGGAGACCGAGACAGGCAAGTATCTAGCACTAAAGGGGGAGTATGTATTTCTCATTCTTACGTCTTCTTGGCACAAGCTGACTGGATGGGGCTTAGTTGGATTGGGCTTGATGATGAGGGGACCGACCTATGGTTCGAGGAGTGGCCGCTCGAGGAAGGAAGGTATATCATCACTCCGAGAAAGGACAATATCTACCCATCGGATGGACCGGGATACCATCTGTGGTTTGAGGGGGCACCCGACGCGGTGTTTCGGAATAATGAGGATGATCTGAATGTCAAGGGGGAGGGACAGCATGCGTTGTTTTGGATCGATACGGTCCTGGGGTTGTAGATGGCTGATTCCTATAGGAAGTGTTTTGTGGCGTGGTGGCTTCACATATTGCATAGAGTGAATGAGTTGTATGAACCTAATGTACCGAATACCACCTAGAAGCACAATAGCTAGATCTAGAGGAGCGAGAGGGAAGGTGCCCGGCGCCCCTATAATATATGGACGGAGTATGTCCTGTTCTTCACCTGATAGCCCATAAAGGGCCTCATCAAACTTGAGAAGCCTAGGTAGTAAATGTTGCAGTCAGCTTCGAAACCGGGGTCCGCTGTCAAAATTGGGTCTCTCACCAGGTTGAATCAAGTTAGTTTTTAGAAATACATCAGATTTATAACTCAGAAATTTCCCCTCGCGTAGCGTGGGCAATGTGTGAGTGAGATTGTCCAGAGTAGGAGTTTACATTAAATACCATCGAAACTCTGGTATGGTTGGATTGGATACTTAGACGCCTTCTTATGCCTTGCACTATGCCTTGCCCAATCCAGAATCACCACGTAAGATCAGCCTACAGCTCAGAGGCACAGCACAGCCTCTTCCACAACGGAAGGTTCGCCGGAACATATGTTTGACAAAAAGCAAACATGGGAAGGCAAAGAGATGGAGTATACATCCAAATGACCAAAACAGCCCACTCATGATAGCTAATCCTAAGACAAAGGTTACGTCCACTAGATGCATCCACAAAATACGGCTCAGATAGCTAGGTTGTTCACTTTATTCTTGCTTATTATAAGCTCAAATATGACAAAAGACGAACTATTACCGTGCTTTCTCACTGGTCCAACTGAGTCTTAAAATTGCACCCCTGGCGGTCATGTACAGAGGATTATGTTCACAAAGGGTGATCTCCTCCTCGATTTCTTCAACGTCAATGAGAAGGGCTCCTTCTCGTGCCTTTTTAGTCTCCTTGTCGTCAAGCCATTCAATACGATAAGAATGGTTACTGGAGCCTGCGATATCCTCGACGACGATCTCCATGGGCCCAGCAGAATAAGGCTCAGATGTCTCTTTGGGGCCCACGCTTCCAGAGATTCCGGAACCTTGAAGTATGATTGCATTGCTTTCAGGTCCAGGATTTGCTTCTGTTATGCAGGAGGCGGACTTATCGGGAAGATCGGAAACAGAATTTGTACATTCTGTACATTCCAATCTTTTGACTGATCCCTTGCTCTCGTTTGGGTCAGGATCTTGGTTTAGCTCTGGTTGGAAGGATGCGGTCTCATGGGCCGGTGGACCGGCATTTGTAATGCCACTTCCTTCCAGTGTAGTGGTAGTCAACGTAGTTGTACCAGATGCAGGGAGGGTGAATAGTGTACTTTCAACTGGGTACGGACGAAGGACTTTCTGTTTTGTCGAAAGTAGCGTAGTACAACTTATTTGAAAGTTGCCCTGCAATGATTCGCAGAACCTTTGTTCTACTTCTTGAAGCTGTGGCAGACAAGGCAAACGCCATCCAGGATAGAGCCTTCCGTGGGATCGGGGAGTATGTAGCTTGCCATGTGCTTTGATGAACAGGTTGCAGAGAAAGCAAGCATCTTTACTGGAACAGATAACTCGCGGGAGAGCCAGCGGCGGGTGCAATTCAAAATATGCAATGATCTGGACCTCGGAATGGATTTTTGCGTGTCTTAAGATATTCATTACCTGCCGGCAGTATTGGTCTCTGGCCTGTTGCTCACTCAAGCCGAGCACGCGACAAATCTCTTTCAGAAGCTTCTGTTGTCTTCCTTTTGCGCTGGCCTCGGTGACTTTAACGAGCAGATTCGGGGTGTATGAGTCGATGGAAGGAGTCGTGAATGCCTCTTCGGGCAGGTGGACAGGTACCGTCCGCATGTTCCGAGCTAAAGGAACATTCTTTGCCGTGCGGTATAAGAATCGAGCAGCTTCCCGGTATCGGGAGACTTTCCCAACAATGTTTATAAAACTGTCTCTGGCGCTAGGCTCCATATGATTATTTGGTATAACGTCGATAATGCGCTGAAGCTGTTCGATCTGCTGTATGCGATAGATACTCTCCACAAGCTCTATTAGTCGTGCGGTGACCTGATGTCGTGACCATAAATCAACGACTTTCCTAACCTCCTTAGTCCTGGTCAATAACATATCTACAGCTTCCAATAGGCTTCTATCTTTTAGTTTGTCCCGGCTGATATGCGTAAGAGCCATGGTCAGCTCCTGCAGAGTATCCTTGAAAGATCTCTTCATTTTTCTGCACCCAGTAGGACCCAACCGCAGTCGGGAAAGGATACGAGATGAACACATCGAGACGACCATGTAGAAAACTTGGTTTTTAAGGCTTTGGGAGTGTTCTGGCAATGAAATTGTCAATAAGCGAACAAGCCCACCCAGATACTACTTACCGGTAGGCACCCGCGCAAGGAGTGCAAAGATCTCATCAAAACCCTGCTGGATAGAGTGAAGCACATCGTTCCCATCAGAATATTTGGCCTTATTGACTGCAAATATCACATTCAAAAAGCCCGCTGCTGAATCTTCCCCAATGCACACTGCCGGGATATGTTCAGCGCCTTCTTGATTATGCGCAAGGAAAGCCAGAGTGCCAGATAGCTTGCGCTCCTGGTCAAGGGAGAGAACATGTTGACCTTCTGATATACGGTGCATAACGTTCGAAGACGGTGGGACGGGGATATTATGAAACAGTGAAGCAATGGCTATGCCTTCAGCACACTTAATTGCAGGATTGGAGACTCGAGGCATTATTCTCAAATTGGAGGTCACGGTGGTGGCAAAGAGGCTTGTCTATTAACTATGGCTGATCGCACCCTACATCCTATCCTGGTTTGCTTTTAATAAGAATGTGTCCTATGTTTCCCTTAAATAGCTATCAATTATTTAGTCCAGTCAAACCATGTGATAAGCTCAGTAAAGAAGATCAGGCGGGGTTGGTTGACAGCTGTCCCTGTATGACAGCATTTGTTGGTTGGCGGACAGTCTTTGTTTGACAGAAGTCCCTGTACGACTAGCAGTTTCCCTTTCAGGTCAGGTCTATGCTCTACGGTGACAACAAGGCCTCTTGGCACGAACCATTAACCTTAGATATAACCTACGGCACCAGGCTACAAGCATCCAGCCATGGTCGCAGCTCACCTCCCTCACTTCGGACACTTCCTTGCTCACCTCCTTTGCTCACCGTGCCTAGAAAAGTTAGTCTAGATTATTTACACTTGCTGGAGTGCTGTCAGTTAACTCTCCCCTACTAAGTCTTTCTACTAGACAACTTCCTAGTAACTTTTATTTTTGGATTGGTTGGGTTCGGTGGATAATTCTATGGACAAGAGGAGCAAAGAAGCGCCTGAGAACCCAGCCAACAAGGCAACACGCAGCTTCTCTTAGGATAATTGAATTGCTAAGCCTCATGTTATAATCTATGGGTCATTAAAACAGGAGCAATCTTCGCGGTCTGAGGATAAGCAGGTGATCAGCCTGAGCCCAAGCCTTATGCGTTAGTGCTCTTTTTTCTTCTTTTTTATATATAAGGGATATTTCCTTTCTGTGCTGATATTAGTATCTGTTGCTGTGTATAAAATTAATAAGTTCCTAGGTAGTTAGTGAATATATCTATTAGTTTTAGGCCTACTGCCTTCATGTTTATCTTGGTACTCTGCATTTAGATAATTCAGTAACAACCACTCAGGAGGGTTTCTATCTTCATAGAATTTTATGTATTCTTAGTTCTATACAAGATATCATTGAATAATTAACCAGGGGATGAGCACTGATCATTCTTTTAGATCTGTGATAATTTGACTAGATGATAAATGCACTCCTGTTAACCAATTCTATCTGAGTTAGGTACAAAATATCAGGCTTTTACACCTTAAAGCCTCCATGCGGTCACCATTCCTGACTACAACCTTACCTATCCATTGCATCACTTAATATCCGTGATGATTCAGAAGATCAATAGTAAACCTGCAGGGTGGCACTACCCGCAAAGTACCTAGTCCAGTGCTTTAAATAGCACGAGCATCATCGATTAGAAATAGGGGGGAAAAAAAAGAAGAAAAAGGAAAAACGAAGTGAGTCGTAGCTCACGGATGCTTGTATCTAACTTGAATTTAAACAGACTTGGACGTGCTCAAGCAGCGTACGTGAATGATCTCCTAACATGAATAATTTGAATATCAACAGGCTCTGACGCTGGTATAGCTGGATGCAATAGCGGCGCAAATGTTTATGCTCTTGAATACTTTCAAGTACCCTCATATGAAACACGCTATGCAACTTTCCGACAGGCAGTGCTATGGATTCAAGCGAATAGCAGTGATATCTTACTAGCGATTAGTATGAGCAGCTATGCCGGTGTGTAGATCTCCGCCTCGATAATTCCCAAATCGCCGTCCTCCGAAGCAACCGTCACACTCTGGCCGACAGTAGCATTGAGATCCAACGTCACATAACCCAGAGAAGTCGGGGTGCTCCCTTCAAAGACCACCTTGTCGTCCACGCTGATCTGAACTGGATACTTTGTGGTCCGGAAGCTGTGGAGCTTCATAACCACCTGCGACACATTGACTGCCTTATCCCAAGTGTACTTGATCCAGGCGTTGTTTCTGTCATTGTCACAGGACCACTCCGTTTCCTCATCATCGTCGTAGGAATCGGTCATGTTCTCCGTGTCACATCCAGCGGTGACGTTCCGAACCACCACAGCTTTGCGAGATATGGTGTATGATTCTCCTGACGGTGTCGGACCTCGAGAGAGAACAAGAGGGAGATCTGCGCCGGGGATGACGGTGCTCAAACCACCCTTATTGGCAAATTGCTTGGTGTTGAGGGTGATAGTTGCTGATTTGAGTCCGTCGGATGTAGCAGTCAGAGTTACCTTGCCGGATTTTGTCGTAGACCGCAGCATTACCCGGTTGACTCCGTTTTCGACTGGGAGGCTTGTCGACAGGATGCAGTTGTCCACACACTGAGCGATTCCCCCACGCCAGGAAGCTTCACCAGAGAGAGAAAAGTCAATGACGTTGAGAGCAATGGGGTTCCTCTGACCCTTTGCATCGATCACCTCCACATCCACCAAGGCGATATCTGCACCGTCAGCCACAAAGCCAGACGGTCCCGTACGAGGCGTCAACCGGATACTGGTGGGCTCACCCGCAGTCGTTTTCGTATCCAGCACAGCTTCACGACCGTCCAATTGTCCCACAGCCCTGATCGTGCCGGGCTGCCAAGCGACGTTGGCAAAAGTGAAGAGGAATCGGCTGCTCTGCTCCCCCTTGCCCAGAGACTTGCCGTTGAGAAACAGCTCCACGTCTTCCGCCGTGGACACGACATAGACATCCTTGACCGTGCTGTCGTTGTAGTTCCAGTGGCCGATGATATGGCCCGCCAGATGCTCGATATCGACCCAGTTATCCCACATCACCCTGTGCGCATACCACCCATCTTTCGGCAGCCGGACGGCGTCCACCTCGCCAGATCGCCGGTAATTCTCCGCTCCTCGATGGTGGGTATTCGTATCCGAAAATACAATATTCACCCCACCCGCGTTAACCCTCGTCCCCGTCCCCGGCCGCTGCTCGAAATAATCAAACCACCGCCGCACATCCTCCACCGCATGCGAGTCCTGGTTGCGGTTGTACTCGCTCGCATCTTCTCCCTTGTACGGCGGGCCCGCCCCGTCCACATGGTACGGCGGCGACCAGTTGTCCCAGTACCTCCTTAGCGCCTCGTCGCGACTATACTCCATCTGCCAGAAGGGGATGCGCGCGCCCTTATTGATATACAGCATTTCGCCCCCGTACTCGGCCACAGTGCTATTGAGCATCTCGCGCGACCCCGCCGCGCGCCCGCCATGCGGATCGTACGTATCCCGCAGCGCCTTCATCTCCGCCATGTGCGCCTCCGAGATCCCGTGGTTGCCGGACTCGTAGAAGATGACGCTGGGACTGTTCCGGTTGTAGATGATTGCGTCGCGCATGAGCTCCGTGCGCTGCGCCCAGCGCCGGCCTGTCACGTCGCCTTCGGAGTCGCCGGCTGGCAGCGCCTGTAGCAGGCCTAGGCGGTCGAGGGACTCGACGTCTTGTTTCCATGGGGTGACGTGCATCCAGCGGACGAGGCTGCCGTGGCTGGTGAGGATGAGCTCGTTGGAGAAATCGGAGAGCCAGGGTGGGACGGCGCAGCCGAGGGCGGGCCATTCGTTTGTTGTGCGTTGGGCGTAGCCTTTGACGTGGAGGGTGCGGTCGTTGAGCTTGAACGCGCCGTGGGCGAACTCCGTCTTGCGGAAGCCGGTGCGGGTGGTGACGGTGTCGGTGGCCCGGTTGTTGAGGATTAGGGAGGTCCGGACGTCGTAGAGGTAGCCGTATCCCCAGCTCCAGAAGTTTAAGTCGGAGAGGTGCGTTGAGACGCGGATGGTTCGCGTCTCGTTCGGCTGGAGGGTGTACCGGTTGCCGTTGATGGTCTCGAGTTTCTTGCCCTGCACGGCATCGCGAATCTCGACTTGGTACTGGAATGTCTTGGCTTGTGGATACTCATTGCGAACTTGTGTTTCTGCATGGATGGTAGCGCTCTTTTGGGGTATATCCAGGTCGGTGGCATAGACGTACACTCCGGTGGTCTGTAGATTCGAGTACAGCGGTAGCGTCTGGTACAGTCGATCTGTAACATGCAGGAAAACGTTCTTGTTGATCCCGCCGTAGTTGGCATAGAAGTTCTTGTCGTTCCATTGGTACGGCGTGTTGGTGGCCTTCTCGCGGTACGTCCAGCTATTGTCGATTTGCGCCGCGAGAACGTTAGTCTGATTGTAGAGCGCGACATCGCTGACATCAAAGCCAAAGGCCATGACCCCGTTCTCACTGCGGCCGATCCACTTGCCGTTCAGATAGAACTCGCCGGCGTGGCGAATGCCTTCGAATTCAAGAAAGAGTTTCTTGTTCCGGTTCGTGGCTGGCAGGTCAAAGTGCTTCCGGTACCAGGCGATTCCTGTGGACAGGTTGGCGATATCGACGCGGAAAGCATCATCTTCGTTCCAGGCATGGGGGAGTGTTACATCCTTCCAGTCGTCGTCGTTGAATGAAGGGGACTGTGCGGATGCAGGATTGCCCACGAGTACTTTCCACCCGGGGTTGAAGTTGTATTTCATACGACCATCACCTTGGGCTTGGACGATGAACAGGAAGGAGAAGAGGATGAGAACTGAAAGAATGGACCCTTCCATAGTATTCCCTCGACAGTATCGATTGAGGCATGAGTTTGTGTAATCGCCCTCGACTGGTAACCTTATTTATACCTTTGCATTATCAGCTATTGTGAAGCCATTCCCCCACACACGAATGTGTTTGATGTCAGTTACCGATCCCTGCAACGGCAACGGTATAAGAAGAGGATTTCATTAATCCACCATTGGTAAGCATACCCGATATGAGCTGGGAGAGATTTCATCGCAACAATCGGCTGCTTAAGGATTGAGCAAAGGCCGAGGACCATGAGAGGCATTGATTCTGACTTATTTTAACGAGATCTTCAACGAATTAATCTATTCCCGCTTGGCAATCGGCAAAACGAAGCCAGAATCTGGGAGTGATATGCTACTCCCCCTCATTTCGGGTGAAACTATCCCGACACTAATGAGAGCCCTGCATTCCTGGAAAGGAGGTGAGCCACTCTAGCCAAACTTCCAACATTGCTTACTATATGCTGTACCCGGTATTAATCAAGCACATGCAACCACAGCATATGGAAACAGGGCTTCCCATCCACAGCCATACTTAATCTGGTATTATGAACGGGGCCAGAGGCTATATCTGCCCTTAAAAACCCGCTGCTTTACAGGTGAGAGCTACTAAGCTATAGGGTAAGTGAAGGCAAGCTAAGTAATACTGTCTGGTAGCATACTCATTCCCGCAAACCACGCTGAAAAGCATTTTTTATGTCATTGCATAAGGGTATCCTTAAACGAAAGTGTACGTGGAGAATATCCGTGTGTTGCGGCATCCTCTAGCATAGATAGCTAGGTATTTGTAGGATTTTTATGAGATCAGACACCCAAGAGTTTTCAAGCTCCATAGATTACTACAGATGTTTTGACATGCTTCACGGAATGGATGTAGAAGCTGCTTTCTGTGTTGCACTATCCTCCAAATATTTCCAAAACTAGTCATTGTTACTTTTGTTCACCACAAGATGGACGCTTCTTTGCACTAGGACCTAAGATTAATAGTACGGATTTAGGGCAGATGATGACTTATCATAGGTGACTTATCCCCAGACTGGTCAAGCTGCCGACTTATATTTGTTCTAAGCTTAACCCCCATGGCTATTCAGTCTTAGATAGGCCTAGGAATTTAAGGGCTGTTTGGCTCTTCCCTTATGGTTATTTAAAATACACTCCTGTGTGTCTCCGATTGCTTCACTGTGATTGAAAGGCTGGAACGTCCATTAAAACGCAATGAGCGAATGGATTGACTTTCATCATCTGCCGCAATTTACTCCACAGAACTTGGTTACACAGTAGCTATTCGACGTAGTAGGCTTAGATTGAGTTCATGTGGAAGAACGTCTCTCAGACTAAGGCGTGATTGCGTTTGTCTTCTTCTCAGCCTAGCCCAGCTTCTGATTGTCGCCGTGCCTGTTGCACCAATTTGGCTACCAACACATTTCCTGGGGTTGAAACCCAATCTGCAGGAGTTGCTTCCTTCTTCATAACATAATCTAATAGAGGAATCCCCAAAGTATTCATAATAGAAGGTCTGCTCCTGATCAAGCAGTAACTTTGTAATTAATAGCAGGCCTAACCTAGCTATGCTATGTAGGGCGACATTACTATGAGGCCCTTATATATTTGGTTTAGTGCTAGTCCATAAGCTAGCCAGAGGTTGACTGCTCTGGCCTGCTTACGTATAGGCTGGGTTTGGGCCCTGGAAATCTAGGGGTTAGGTTAGAATAGGAGAAACCAGCCCGACAAGCAAAAATAACAACCCTAAGCTTAGTTTAGCTATTCCTTTATTAAACCTCCCTGTACAGATTATTTGGCCAAGGTCATTAGGTTTCTACTGATGATCTATGGAACTATGATAATGGAGTTTATACTATAGATATAGAATTACTTTAAGCCTAAATATACTAATTTTCTTAGGTGTAATATGGTCTAGATAATGAATCATTGAGAAGAATTGGACAATTGTCTGATTTCAGTCTTCTAAACAAATTCTTGGTCATCTCAGGATTTGAGAGTGTATTGTGTACCTTAATTCAATAGATTCTATGCCTAGAGTCATTCGAGGCTGCTTGCTGGATTGGCCGATCTTCTTCTTGTAAGGCAGCCATTTACCATAAACATAGGTATAACTCAGCAGTCGAATATAGTGATACTCTGCAAGATACTTGCCTGGCAGTCCAATTCGTTTCTCTTTGTCTCTCCTCTCAATATCTAGGTCATCTGTTTCCACGGAACGCAGCAATGGAGGCCATATCCAGCACAAAGTCACCCTCTTGCCTCCCAAAGAAACTAGCACATATCAATAACGACCCTTTTTCTGCAAAATGAATACATACCTGCGAACCATAATACTAATCCGTTTTACATTCCTCAAGTCCAACGGCTCCGCATTAACTTCTCTCCCGCGATACGTCGCTCGTAGATCCCCCCATCTCACTCTCACAATTGCCCTCTCCGCCGTCCGGAACTCATACTCCCAGCTAATCGTACTCTGCTCACGCCCATCAGGCCGATTAGGCAATAGCCTGTCTTTAAGAACTATAGTGTACACTTTCCCATCCGAACCGGCGATGTCCAGGTCGAGCCCGTCGGTGTCAGATAGATCCCAGGATAAGTCGTCCGTGGTTCGCTGGGAGGCAAATCCTGCTCCGCCGAGGGTGGTGATGTCCAGATGTCCGTTGAACCGGACTGTGTTGTTTGGGAGAATATTAAGGCTGGAGTATGAGGAGCCGCCCCGGACGCGGTCGTCTGAGGAAGTCCAGTTTGTGGGGGACCATGGTCTATATCATTAGCTATGTTAGGCACCATGCAAGGTGACTTACTGGTCACCTCCAATGAGGAATTTTTGGCATAACGGGGCCATTGGGCTGGACGTGTTATGAAGGATTATGGTCGATGCGGACATCGACTGTTTATACAGTGTCGAATCGATCGATCGGGTTACCAGGTGGATGACGTAGTAATCGCAGTAATTCAACTCCTACGGAGAACCAATAGCGCACATCATATTCATAGTGGCAGTGGATAGAATCATCTACAGCTTCTGCTTTCTCTGACCGGGACTACCATTCTCATACCAAATCTGTCCTGATCTCGACGGAACCGACAAGGTTCTTCCTATTGGCACTCTTAGGATCTCATCCACGGTCTCCACCCTCAATCTACTTGTGCCACACATTCTTCTCCCTACCCGAGTCTATCAGCCGGCTCCGAAGCTCCACCCGCCCCTCTGGACCTGAGAGCTCCCGCCAAACCATCAATACGCCTAGATGTCTCTATCGCGAATACAATCCGGCACACCAATCATTCCCTATCACATAGACCATCTCCTTGATGCGTTCCGTAACGGCGGTGAAGCAGCCCATAAACCCACGTGGCAAACACTCTCCGGGCTCATTGTACACCACTTGGCGACCTGACTCGGGATCGACGAAGATATCTGGGGCTACCGGGTCCATGGTACTGGATAAGTGGCATTCTAACGGAGTACACTTCCATTTGCAGCAATAACCTATGCTGCATAATCTGCATTACCTCGTATGAACCCACTGTACCCACATATCGAATTGTTTTTAATGATTGATCAGCCAATCAGCATGCGTCTAGCACCCCAAAACATCGTGTCAATTAGTCAGGATTCGGCCTCGCAACATTTCGTGTCCCGAGATCTCGTATAAAGTCATAGAACTAACGCGGATTTGGAAATGCCAAAGATGCTGCCCGTCTCTCGTAGCGTATTGATTAGGAGGGTTCCTCGGCACATAACCTGGGGACCCTGCATTGTGCGCTGCGCGCACTCCACCGCCTTATCAACCCTGCACGGCATTCAGCATCCCAGCCAACGTGCATCATATAGAAGAAACGGCCAATTCATACCACAGTCTCGAAGAGCGTCTTCTAAAATGCCAGACAAAGAGACTAAGACACTGGACCAGCTCCTCGTCCCCTCCCTTCTCCCCCGCATCTACACCTTCTGGTTTCAACATATCCCCTCGAACGAGCGCCTGCTCCTCCCCTCCCCGGAAGACTGGATGAAATGGTTCGTTAAATCCGACGACTTCGACAGTGCCTGCTCGTACGTCCTTCCCCTCATTCCCACCATGTATACCTCCAGCTAACCATCCAGATCCCAATTCTCTTCCATCCTCACCGCCATCCGCGAGGCCAATCTCTCCGCAGAGGAGATCCTGTCTAGAACCAAGCCCTCCACCCCCCAGGACTGGCTAGCCCTCGTCATCCTCCTCGACCAGCTCCCCCGCAACACCTACCGCGGCGAATCCTCCCGCATCGTCTTTGAATTCTTCGATCCCCTCGCAAGAACTATCGCCCTCAAAGCCGGCGAAGCAGGATCTCCAGCCGGTGGTGGCAATCCCTTCCGCTATCGCCAGGGTCAGCGCATATGGTTCTACATGCCGTTCATCCACTCCGAGGATCTAGACATGCAGGAGCTTGCGCGGGTCAAGTACCAGGAGATGGCGGAGGATTTCACCCGTCTGCTTGACGGGGATGCGACGGGGTTATCAGATGACGAGGCGGAGTGCCGCCGTATTCTGTTGGAGAACCGGGCGAGGCTGGAGGAGCAGCTGAAGACCCATTTCCGCGTGCATAGGGAGCATTATGACCCCATTGCGCGGTTTGGGCGGTTTCCGCATCGGAATGTCGCGTTGGGCAGGGAGACGAGTGACGAGGAGAGGAAGTTTCTGGAGGAGGGGAAGATGTTTGGGTAGTGAACTCTCTATCTCATTGCAACTGTACTTGTAAATAATTTTAAAAAGACATTACTGATTATCGTAAATGAAGGGAATGTGGTAGGTACAATGCCAGATATGGTTATCACCGTGTTCGTCAAATCTGGCTCAACCCTTGATCAACACCCGCACACCCTTGCTATCCATCCTAGGGAACGGAATGAAAATTTCGTGCTTGATGGCCACGTCTTCTATGGTGGTTTCGTACAGTTCCAGGTCCATTCTGCGGAGGAGGGCCGACAGGGACAAGAGGATTTCTGCTTTGGCGAGGCTGAGAGATCCTGTTAGTAGATGTATACCCAGACGGAGAACAGACGTACTGCATTCCGATACACTGGCGCGAACCTTTGGAGAAGGCGACCATGTACTTTTCCAGGCGTTTGCGCTCGGCGGGGTCGAGCCAGCGCTCGGGCTTGAAGCGATGCGAGTCGGGGAAGACGGTTTCGTTGTGGTGCATTAGGAGGCAGCTCATGCTCACGGGAGTCTATGACGGTCAGTGGTGGTTAATAAAGACATAGAAGGTGCATACTCCAGGGGGAATGGTCCAGTCTCTGAACTTGAGGGCGTTGTAGGGGGCGATTCGCGGAAGACGGGCAGACACGCCGTAGGACAGTCTAGATAATATATTAGACACACTCTGGACGAACTCAGTGTAGTCCATACCTGATTCCCTCCAACATGACACCAGTCTATTCAAGTGTCAGCCTCGCCCATATTCGACAGATCATTTGGCTCATTTGACTCACCAGGTAAGGTAACTGCTCCAACTGAATGAGTGCCGGATCCTCGCCGACCGTCTCCAACTCCGCCTTGAGCTTCGCCATCGTCTCGGGGTCGTTCAACAGGTAGAACAGAATGTAGGTGATCGCCTTGGCCGTGGTCTCCGCCCCAGCGGAAACAAGCACCTGCATCTCCTGCGCCAGCCGGGTCTCACTCTTGTTCTTCGCCGGCAGATCACTCCGGAGGATATCGTCGAAGATATTCACGAACCCCCCATTTTGCACGCCCTGGTCGCCCTTCTCATTATGAGCCGCAACAATTCGCTTGATCATCTTGCGGCAACGGCGCTGGAAATCGAAAAACAGCTCCATCCCGGGGTTCAGCCACGCGGTGACCCCTTCCGGCAGGGCAAGCAGCAGCGGCAGGGCCCACGCCACCGGACGGATAAACACCATCGTCTTGGCCGTGCCGTTCAGCGTGCCGTGCCACTGCGGGATGAAATCCGGTGCGTCGAGGTAGCGGTACCCATCGCCCATGCTGTAGTCGGTGATGACATCGGTGGTGTAGCAGGTGAGGGCGTGCTCAATGTTGAGCGGCTGGCCGGTGTTCTTGAGCTCCTCGAGGCGGCGGCAGAGCTTGTCAACGAGGGCTTTGATGGCGGGTTCCTGGCGGCGGATGCGCGCGCTGGAGAAGAAGGGGTTCAGCTGGGCACGGAGCTGGCGGTGCAGGTGGTGATCGATCGTGTTGAGGAGAGCCAAGGGGGCGTTGAGGGTCTTTTGGTAGTATTCATATTTGTTGCGAGGGCTGTCGCGCGAGTAGAGGACTTCGTAGTAGTCGGGGTCGTTGATGTGCAGTTCGGTCGGGCTGATGCGAACGATGGGGCCTGTATGACATTAGTACCAGTGGACCGTCAGAATGTCAAGCCGACAAGGATAAATGCCAAGAAGTGATCTATCGAACTTGACCGGGTGCATTCAAAATGCAGCCGACGGTCAGGGGGTTTACACTGACCGTATTTCTCATGGAGACGACCAATCTGAAAGGTGAACTGTCCGCAGCAGATGGTATCCCAATAAAACTCGTACAGATGGGTCAATGCAGCGAGTTTGGGTCCGGGGAAACGGGCAATGGGAGACAGATACAGCCGGTCGAGAACCACCCAGAGTAGATAGACTGCCCCGAGACCGACAGCCGAAGCCACGGGATGCGAAAGCAGGAGACGTAGCAGTTGCATTGTTGACAGGGAGTCAATTGCAGGTGTGGTTCATGCAGAAGGGAAACTCCAGCTCACCAGAACCATGGTGCCGGGTCGGGTTGGCCGTCGACAGGTTTTAAAAAAGTTGAGGAGTGCCATTCACTCGGACTGTGGCCAGTGCTCTGACCCATCAGACTGGCCGGGGGGTGCAGGTGCACAGGGCGTGTGAATTCAGTTTTGAGTTCCCATGTTGTATTAGCTTTTTGTGGGTGTCTCATTCTGTCTACGGAGTACTCCGTAGAAGGGAGGCAATGAGTGGAGACCGAAGATCAAGGAAGACAGCCGTGCATCTACTTCCAATGATGAGCAGTAGGAAACTCATCCAAGGTTTTCCAGGCTCCCCAAAAGACCCAGCTGCAGACTGTGAAGTATGCCCGTGCTTATTCTTCACGGCAGACGGGTAGCCGGATGGAGACTCCGGGAAACATTGCAGTCGTAGTGGATTCCTGGAGCCCACGGGCCCTGTTTCTAGCCAGTCAGAAGCCATGTGTGCGTTGGCTCGGGACCCAGTGCATTGCAGGATTGCCCTATTGGGAAGACAATAGCTTTATCGTGGGCTGCTCACAGACGCTAGCGAGGTTAGTCTCCCTTCCTTCTACTGGTCTGTGTGGCTCTAGCCTTTTGTTAGGGCGTGATAGGCGTGGAAGTTGTAGGGAATCTATGGTCGGAGCCATCATAACCGTTCTGTCGGGTCAAACGAGATGATAATATTGACATGGTTGAGATATGTACATTTGCAGCCTGCATAGAGAACAGAACAGAACCAACGAACATGCATACTATCCTTCATTTCCTCTGGTTATGATCATTATTAATTACGATGAGCATCCGGACGACCCACTGATCCGTCGCGTTCCTTTCCCGTTCCGGGCTGGGCTGAACTTATCCGGGGAGCTGGCCGCTGCCTTCGTACTTCTGATCCTTCTCATTTTGCCTGGGTTGATTGGCTGTCCGCCTCATGGCATGATGGTGTGAACTTCTCTTCCAGGTTCGTGCTGCCATGCTCCGGAATGTCGCCTTTCCCGTTCAGTACCATAATCCATACCCACAGTCGTCTAACCATCACTGAAAACTTGACTGTTGGTCATCAACGATAAGCTTCCTGGTCCTTCAGAATGATATGGTGCTTTGGCAACTTGTCCCCGACAGAAGGCCCACTGTCCAGTCGACGACATAGTAAGAATCATACATCGGGAAATGTCACGGCAAATAAGCCGCTGAAAATGAAATGTGTCATAGCTGACTTGGCCTACGAATCCAAATTTACAAGGCTACAATGTCTTCCTTTTGAGTTTTGTGGCACCCTGGTCTCTCCCGCACAGTGGAGTATCACTATCCATGGTACAACTCCGGGGGTTTCCAGTCGACCTTGATGTGCTAACTGGCTAGGCTACCTTATTATGAGTTGATCAATATAAACAATGCTGTAGCCGGTCGTTTGTTGCCTATTCTATACCGTCTATGGCGGCATCTAATGATATTCATTAACTCAAGACTGCAACTGACACTATAAAGTCAGCTGGACTTACAGTGTCGGTCAAGGCATGCTGAAATTCCTGCTCTTCTGCCACGTGCGCTTCTGAAATGCTTCATTATGCATTCACTTAACATTGATAGTCCTTTGACTGGCTATTGCGCAACACACGATCCATGGGGCTATTCCATATGACCGTCCTGGATATTTCTCGTCTGTTCGACAAGAACAACACTCATTATAAGTCAAATGGATCTTTGTATGATCGGTGCAGGGGTTATCGGCCTACCGTCCGCGCTGCTGCTGGCCCAGCCAGAGTACAGGGGATCAAGTGGGTACTTCACTTTTTAAGATTTCCGCCATACTTGTAACTGACTAGACTGTGGATTGACCCAACACTTTGACAACAGCGACAGGTACTCTAGTGTCTGGTAAAAGCGCGTCGCTCCCAGATATCGCCTCGACCTGCACGGGGCCTCCCATCAATGCGACTTTCTGTGTCAAGTATCAGTCCATGACCCCGATCCCCTATCTCCTCCCACGCCGAACAAATCACTCGAATCCGATTTGTTCGATGTTTCGGCGGAGATCAAGTCGGCCGACGATGCATGATATCTAACGGAAGCGTGGTTCATAGTCGACCTGGAGTAGAAACCATCGAGACAAGGCTGTTGTTCCTGTCAAGGACGGGTGGTGCTGATGAGTAGTGACTTCAAGGGACGATCCCACAGATGTATACTGGGGGTATATCCATAGGCGAAATAGCGAAGACAACCCAACGGCCGTCCATCCAGACACACGCTCTGGCGAATTGAAAACGTCGTCTGACTCTGTCCCTCAGAGGCATGTCATTCAGCTTCTAGTTGGATTCCGAGCTTGCAAAAAAGTGGGTACGACTCGAGCGGGAGGGCGATGTGAGTCTCGCCTACGGTCAGCACCCTCGGCTATATATACTGCATGAAGTCCTAGACCATATTCATATCATTCCACCTCGACGGGCTAATGAAATATCTGTATACAATTCTCCCACACGTCCTAAGCAACTTCTGCACTGAGATCCTCTTCAAACCAGTCAGAACAACGCCACTCTCTACATCGTACAGCTCTCATTCCGAATCTTGACACTCATGCCCCTGATTAACTTCCCATGGTAATCTGTCGAGCGGTATACTCTTCACCGTCTCCAACTGCTCCTCCGCCCGACAGGAGACCCTATTAACACTGGTCTCGAACCCAGCGCCACAAGCTGCATCGCCTCGTCTTTCGTCTCCGCGACTGATTACACGAGCCCACCCGCGGCCGTCTCGAGCGGTGTGGCTTGCCGATCTCCACAAAGTCCAACAGAGCCTCAAACACGCAGGAAGAGGAAGAGCTGCAGCTGCATGCATTCCAACAGCAATATTAAGCTGCTCCCTGAATGCGCGTGGTGCCTCTCCTTATCGGAGCGCCCCACATACGCATAGTCTAGCCCCATGTCGCCGAAGGCAACTAGCGGCGAGGTGGATTAACCCAGCTGCTCGTTGCGAAGGTGCTCAGGGGTTGAAATAATGTCTTGTCGTCTGCGAGGTGATTTCGGCAGCAGGGCACAAGTGCTCTCCGAGGGTCATTGTGCATATGTTGGGATATTGCTTGACTGGTTAAGGTTCTCGTGCGCCCCGGCTAATGTCATCGTGGTGGGGATAATTTGCGCAACTTTGTTTTCTAGGGGCGTTGGAGCAGCTGAGCGAAATCGGGCTTATGGTATCGTCTTCCCTGGTAGATGAGATGTCTTGGATTTATCCAAGGTGAAGAGTCTACTGCTGCCTGTGCGTAATAGCAGATCCCGTGGAATGAGATGCCATACATCAGCGTACTGAAGACGGTATACGTCCGTGGCTGTGGACATTATTTCGTGCAGGAAATATATTATGACGTGATGTGTCGGGATTTGATTAGTAGCATATTATTATTACTCCATTATGATGTTAAATCTCATCTGGTTCATGTGCGACCTTTACAGAAAATATAAAGGAATCAAGCACATCTCTCATGGACAATGATGTGATGTATGCTGGGAGGTAGGGTTACTAAGAATCCAGAGCATCAAAGCAGTTAAGTGTCCCAGGACAGTATCTGTATATACTCAATCCTCCAGAGATAGACCAGTCGACTGAATGAGGCCGCTCCTTAGCCTATGTTACCCCTAAATCTGGACAGTTATACTTGGGGATGACCTTCGGGCAGCCCTTAAGTCAACGTATCCATGTTCACTATAACTAGAGCAATTATAGTAGTAGTAGAGGCTCGGTAGTAAGACGAGAATGAGTGATTGCGATGTAGAGGGTCCCTTCACATGTTATGGGTCATGGCGAATTAGCACTCCGCATAAGCCTAATTCGGCATTGGAGATGTAAACTTCCCTGCTACAATTCACGCAAAAACCCCCATTCCAATGCCAACTGACTTATAAAAACCGGTGTATGGAGTAATGTTGACTTTGACTCTTTTAGTAGGTGAATATCCATCTATAATAATATGTCATGCATGACACGAGTCAGTCACCGGAAGATTCTGCCGTCATGCATCACCAGGCTTCAGCGAAATCCTTGCCAGCAGTGTGCCGTTCACCAACCGGATTCCCGGCATCGATTATGGCTATATCGGGTGGCTCTGATCGTCTTCTCGGGATATTCCAAGGAAATATCTTGAACAATAGTCGGATGGTTCTGCCCTGAACTGATAACGGATACTATCGGCCAGATTCGGACAGACGCGGCTATCCTCGCTCACGTGCCTCGGATGGAAAATTTTCACCATTTTAGGACGATTCACCAGCCACAGTGCCGTCCATAGCCGATTCTTTATCAACTGTGCCTGGCAGCCTGGCGAAAAGCCATTGGACAATGCTTGACGTCGGAAAGTCCCCTGTGGCTGATGCAGGCTGGTGTGCCTGTGTTCTGGCCAGCTTCTATAAATGTTATATAAAACTTCGGAAAAGTATGGATCTCGTACATCACCATGAGCTCCATCTGGCAGCCATCGATGGCAACTGACACCCAACCATGAAAAAATTGTCTGATCCACCGCGGCCTGAACGTGGGAGGATGGTGTTATATACTAGAGACAAGTCCGTAGAGCTGTAGAAGCGTAGACTCCAAAGCAAAGCAGCTGCTCTCTGACCGGAGAATGGACCACCCAGAGACTTCGACTCTGGATTCGCATTCGCCCAAAGCTTTCCATGATGACCACCATGGCAGCCAACCCCTCGACAGCGCCAGCGACTGCCTCTCCGATGAAACGGTAGACCATCTCGAACCCCTCGAACTCACTCGCATCAACACCTACCGACTCCAGCAAAAGACCACCGTGGGCTCCACACGCGGCCCTGTACCCCGCGATGCATGGCTACCGATGGGCGCCGGCAAGGAATACCCTCCGTTACTTCCCGATCCGGAAACATACGTCGTCGAATTCGATGGAGCGGAGGATCCCCTACACCCGTATAACTGGTCCATGACCCGAAGGTAGCATTGTTCATGCCTAGTTGCCCAGGAAGATGCTAACGCCGATTGACAGAATCTTCCTGGTCTGCATTCTCTGCTACGGCACCTTCGCCGGCTCATTCGCCAGCGCCGTCTTCTCTGCAGCCATTGCCTCCGCCAGCAGCGAATTCCACGTCAGCCAGGAAGTCGGCTCGCTCGGCGTCACGCTGTACGTGCTCGGCTTCGCCGCCGGCCCAACTATCTGGGCCCCCGCCTCGGAGCTCATCGGACGGCGCTGGCCGCTGTCCCTCGGTCTCCTGGGGTGCGGGATTTTCACTGTGGGCTGCGCAACGGGGAAGGACTTTCAGACTATCATGATCTGCCGGTTCTTCGCAGGCTTGTTCGCGGCTAGTCCGATCGCAGTCGTGCCTGCTGTCTTTGCGGACCTGTTTAACAACGCGCAGCGTGGGATCGTCATGTCCATCTTCTGCATGGCGGTGTTTATCGGTCCGTTTGCGGCGCCGTTTGTGGGCGGGTTCATCACGATGAGTGCGCTCGGCTGGCGCTGGACGATGTACATCTCTGCCATAATGGTGTTGGTGGGATTCGTGCTCGTTGTGCTCTTCCTGGATGAGACGTATGCGCCAGTTATTCTGGTGCGCAAGGCGGCGACGCTGCGTCGCCAGACGCATAATTGGGGTATCCATGCGAAGCAGGATGAGGTCGAGGTTGATTTCCACGAGCTGATGCGGAATAATTTCACCAGGCCGTTGAAGATGCTGTTCACAGAGCCGATTCTGCTGCTTATTTCGCTGTATATCTCATTTATCTACGGGCTCATCTATGCCCTGCTTGGTGCTTACCCGGTCGTCTTCCAGGGGGTGTACGGGATGAATATGGGTGAAGGTGGACTGGCGTTTGTCGGCTTGATCGTCGGAGAATTACTGGGTGGCGTGTTCATCCTGTTTCTCCAAGGCTCGTATATCAAGAAGCTGGCTGCGAATGGAGACGTTCCTGTGCCTGAGTGGCGCCTCCCTCCTGCTATTGTGGGAGGAGTTACCTTTGCTGCGGGCATGTTTTGGTACGAACTACCCACTGTGCTACGTACAGAAGGACTTTTACTGACTGCTGCAGGTTCGGCTGGACTGGCTATACCTCATCTATCCACTGGATGGTCCCCATTTCCTCCGGCATTCTGACGGGCTTCGGCATCTTCTGCATCTTCCTGCAATGCTTCAACTACATCGTGGACTGCTATCCTACTTTGTAAGTCTGCTTCATTCGCTATATGTATCCCCGTACTAATGGTGCCAGGGCTGCCTCCACGATCGCAGCAAACACTATCCTCCGATCCGCAGTGGGATGCGCATTCCCCCTCTTCTCTCGACAGATGATGGAGAATCTTGGCGTGCAATGGGCTGGGACGATGCTGGGATGCATTGCGGCAGTAATGGTGCCCATTCCAATTGCATTCATGGTGTATGGTCCCTGGCTGAGGAGCAAGAGTCGATCAGCCGGTGCTCCTGTCTATCCAGAGACGAAAAAGCATTACGATGTTTGATGATTGCATAGAGTATAGACTAGATACCTCGATATGATTAATGATATGAGACATGACGAGTAATACACTACTTGAAGAACCTCATTCTTGCGGATAGTGTACGCAAGCTGTCCAAAGTATACATCGCTCCTGTAGCTCATACTCCTTTCAACTAGGGTCCAATCCCTCTATAATGTCTCTTCGCTTCGACTCGTCTTCGGGGAAAAATAATGTATGGACGGGGCTTTGGTCAGGACAGTCCCGCGTTAGATTCACTGCGGGATCACTTGATTCTGAACTCTTTCGGAATTCAGCTACATTGAATGGTTAGGTTACAATTCACATGATTTCAAGAAGGTGACTGTCACCATGTAGTTATGATATGCTGTCATTATGAGCTACTATTTTTGTAGTCAGCGACTCTTAGGGTTTAATGAACCATGGCACACCCTAATCCCGGGTTCAATATGTCATCGTCATTACTGAACCTTTTTGGGTCGGGATCTAGACAATCTAAAATAGAGAATTAAGCTTCTGAAATTAATAACGTTATATTAATTCATCATGATCCCCCCATTTACCAGAAGCATATTGTGGGGAAATCATGACACCCTAGATCAAAGCTAGTTATATATCTAGAAGGCCTTTCGACACCAAGGGAAACTCAATACTTTATTATACTACAAGTTACACAAACTTGATTCATTAGTTTATCTGTTCTTCATCAAGAAGATGTATAAGTATTTTGTTGCATTGCCCAGTATTACCCTGCTTTATTTATCCTTCCTCATAGTTTTAATACTACCTCAATGTAAGTAGCTTTCTGCTGGTCTTCACTACTTGTACGGCAGTACATGTGCTAAGCACCAATTTTCAGCCCTTGCCAAAGCAGCTTCAGTAGCCACCACTCCTGTCAATCGGGCATTGCCTAATGCGCCCAACGGATACACCCCTGAAGGCGAGACCTGCCCTTCGAATCGGCCCTCAATCCGAAATGCCACTGCCCTATCGAGCGCCGAGACGTCCTGGCTGAAAACCCGAAGAAACAAAACCAGAGACGCGCTGAAAGCGTTTCTCAGCCGAGTCGACTTCGGTTCTTTTAATGGATCTGACTATATTGATAACCATTCGGGTAATACGTCCGCCTTGCCCAATATCGGGATTGCAGTATCTGGCGGTGGCTACCGAGCCTTGATGAATGGCGGAGGTGCGCTGCAGGCGTTTGATAATCGGACCACGAACTCGACTCTCAAAGGCCAAATGGGGGGTATCCTACAGTCGGCTACTTATCTGTCGGGACTAAGTGGTGGGGCCTGGTTGGTTGGGTCAATGTATATGAACAATTTCTCGGATGTATCGTCGCTGCGGGACAATGGTTCCGTGTGGCAGTTTCAGGACTCTATCTTCAGTGGTCCGACTCAAAGTACGGCATGGAGCATCAGCACGGCGAAGTATTATTCTCAGTTGCTGGGTGCAGTGAATGAGAAATCGGATGCTGGCTACGAGGTCTCTATCACAGATTACTGGTATGCTTCTCTTACCTTGCGATTTGAAGAAAAGAAGCAACGCTCACTATTTATATCAGGGGACGTTCTCTCTCTTACCAACTCATCAGCGCGCCTGAAGGTGGTGTCAGTTATACCTGGTCATCAATCGCTCTGAGCAAGGATTTCCAGTCTGGAACGATGCCTATCCCCTTGGTCATCGCTGATGGTCGAGCTCCGGGAGAGATCCTAGTACCCGCGAACACTACGGTCTTCGAGTTCAACCCCTGGGAATTTGGGAGCTGGGATGAATCTCTGTCCGCCTTTGTCTCCCTAGAATTCCTGGGATCGAATTTCTCAAAAGGGACACTACCAACGGGTGAAAAGTGTGTTCGAGGATTCGATAACGCAGGGTTCATCATGGGCACGTCGTCATCCCTATTCAATCAAGCATTCCTCCACATAAACGATACCGACGCACCTCCGGCCGTGTCCAACTCAATCAGCGCCATTTTAGGCAGAATCGGGTCCGAGAACAATGATATCGCCGTCTACAAGCCTAACCCTTTCTATCACTATGCAAGCCAGTCCAAATACACAACATCTCCCTCGTTGACCTTGGTCGACGGCGGAGAAGATCTCCAGAACATCCCGCTAGATCCCCTTCTGCAGCCCCAGCGCCACGTTGATGTGATTCTAGCTCTCGACTCGTCAGCCGACACAACTACAAGGTGGCCCAATGGAACATCCATGGTAGCCACATATGAGCGAAACGTAGGCTCATCAGGAACGAACAGTGGCCTCCCCTTCCCCTCTATGCCTGATCAGAACACATTCGTCAACCTTGGGTTAAACAATCGCCCGACATTCTTTGGCTGCAATAGTTCAAACATCACTGGCTCCGCCCCGCTTGTCGTTTATATTCCTAACGCCCCGTATATATACCCGTCCAACGTCTCCACGTTCGATTTGCAATACAATACCAGTGAACGCAACGCCATCATTGAGAATGGCTACGATGTGGCAACAATGGGAAATGGAACACTGGACTCTATCTGGCCGTCTTGTCTTGCTTGCGCTATATTAAGTCGGAGCTTTGAACGGACAGATACAACCGTGCCGGAGATCTGCGCGAGTTGTTTCAGGAAGTACTGTTGGGATGGGACCACAAATGCCACTACTCCTGGCGATTATTATCCGACGCTGAAACTTCACTAGCACTAGGTAAGTAAAAAACCAGCAGAAGTGTAGGTGTATGGCGACAGAAAGCGCGATGGTTTAATTGATACGTATCAAGGTGCCTCTTCGATGGCTGGAAGCGAATGCTGAGCATGCTTAGTCGGCGCCACTTGGGACGAAGGGAAGGATATTTTTGACTCTCCATTCTGTATGTGAGAGCAGTATATAATGGTTGCTAGCAGACACACAACAGAAGAATGAGGTATATGACAAGACCCCCAGGCCTCTAGGTACATTACAAAACAAAAGATATAGGAATATTGTAAGCTTCGTGGCCGCTTGTGGAAGGATGAACAGCCCATTTCTCTAATTAGGGCAGCAACACATTTGCCTAGCTAGAATAGTATTTACTTTCAGTAATGCGTATGTACTTTTGCAAGTCAAGCTACATACAGAGGTCACTGAATTATACACAAGCCGCGCGGCTTATACTTCTCAACCAGCACCTGATTGCCCTTATATTGTGTCTTCTGCTTACAAGAGGATGACTAGAGATAGTCTCCCCCATATTGATTGGATTAAACTTCTCACCGTTGCTCAAAACAATCGCGTCGTCACGCCGCCCAGCATACCGCCAGAGGCCTTTCTTGTCCGGGTGAGGAGTAAAGAGGTCCCCAGTGCGATATTTCCGTCTTCTCCGGTAAGTAGGGAACACGGCGTGTAGAGTGCGGCCCTTCTCGCCGCGCACCACTACAAGCTCGTAACACTCACCTCCAGCATCACGCATCTCATATCCAGCAAAGGGATTAAACTCGAGATACGGCCACTCATCCTTCTCTGGATACTTCAAGGCGCCGAAAATAGCAAATTCGCTAGACCAATCACTTACTGGAGATGGACGACCTCAGCAATGCGATCGCCGGCTTCGCGAGCCATGGGCGCACCACCAAAGACAAGCATGTCAAGTGTCTTCAGGCATTCCATGCCCATCTCAGATTCGCAGAGCTCCTCAAGCATGGACGGCGTCAAGACGGCAGTCCGGGGCTGCCCGTGCTTGATGACTTCAGCGAGATAGTCGATCGTCAAGCGCTTTTCGTGGGTCAAGACAAATGCTGTCGCCGATATAATTGGGGCCATCATGTTGAGTATCCCCATAAGATGAAAAAATGGCCGATGGTAAGCATCCTTTTGCCTCTCTCTGCAACAGCAGCCCAGGCCCAGTGTCATGAGCTGGACATCTTCCATTTCCGTTGTCACTCTTGAAAGGCATGGCATCCATACCTCAAGCCCTAGTTGTCCAGAGCATGACCGTTTGACCTTCAAGCTCCAACGTATACAGGAGATCCTGACAGCGGGGCTGCCTTCCTAGGCCTTATCATGTGCATGAAATGGTCACTATCTTGCTTACGCAGCAAAACCTACCCTCCTCCTACTGTTGGAAAGGATTTGGTCACCCAGTTCATAAAGCGCCATGGTCCAGGTTCAACCAAACACGGGTATTACATGTTGTCCAAAAGGTAGAAGCCTAGAAGCGTGTTTCGTCAGTTCCATATCCTAGAATGATCCTATTCCATGGGGTTTACTCACAGTACCCTCCGAGCTCGTCCTTCCACAAATATTGAACGTTGAATGCTGCATCAAGAGCAACGCGCTCCACCTGAGCAGGGGTCCACTTGCCACTCCGCCAGAACAGGATCTTTGTTGCTTTCGGCAGGTGGATGGGATGTTGCCCAACGTCAAGAGTTACGTGCAGTTTCGGGGAATACCAGAACAGGAGTTCATTCTCGGTAGTATCGTACACCAGGGTACAATCCCAGTCTTGCACATGGAAGGCTTTGTGGCCGAGCAGCAGATTGGCGTGATATAAAGGGTGAAGCATGAAAGTGCGCGCAGGTTTGCGGTCCGGATTATAGGCATTGATCAGCCTTTCTTTGTTGGAACAGCAGTCAGCAGAGATCGGGAAGCTACATGCTAAACCAACAGTCTTGCAAGCTTCACGAAATTTCCGAGTAGAGCACTAGCTTCCAACTGTCGTTTTGCCACCGTATTCCCGACCCATAGGAAGTTGACATGCGAGATTCCCCACTGATCTAGAGCTGCAGAATTCGTGAGCCAGTCCACGCAATCTTCGTACGTTCCAATGATCCCGGTGACTCTGATTGTTGGATGGTCTTTAATGTGCGCTTTCAGGGCATTGAGGCTATTTGACAGTGCCTCTGCAGAGACATCAAGTGCATGATAGTGGGCTTCCCTGCCCTTTTGGGCAAGAGCGGTGAGGATGCAGGCTGTCTTGTATAGGTTTCTAGAGCGGTTTCAGTACGACCAGGTCGATGGAGGCGGTTCACATTGGTCTGCAGCGGAATTGCCTACCCGCAGCCTAACTCAATCATGGCGAATTTCTCTGGAAGTTCCTGTGCCATGTCATATTTGTACGTATCAAGGATCTCCAACTCCCGCGCCCTGGGGTAGTAATCTGGGCTCATTGTCCATTCATTAAAATTCTTCAGCCCTTGATCGTCCCATAGGAGGAGAGAGGGAAGCGTTTTTGTTTCGGCCCTGAGCCCCAATAAGACGAAGTCACGGAGGTTCAGCAGCTCGGCTGATTTCCGGATATCCAGTAGGACAGGTGCATTGCAGTCGGTTGAAATCGAACCCATTATTAGTGTAGGGAGAGGATCGAATTCAATTTCTGTCACGATGGATGGACTTAGACAAAGAGCTTATAGAGAATCCCAACAATACTATCATATATGATCCAGTGGATCCAGTTGCTCATTCTTGTAGTTTGGGTGATCGTTCCTGCTCCTGAAATAAAGCTAAGGACTGCCCGATGAAGCCTGCATCATGCGGCGAGTAACCTTGCGTGATGGGGCAGCTATTGCTAATCTCGCCCCAACAGGCCCTACCCTTACATCTGAAGAGGTAGTGCAGTCTCCTCCTTACATTATATGGCGGTGTGAAGTAGGGAAATTTGGACGATTCGTGGTGGCTTGAACAGGTTATTTTTATATTGCTTATAGGCTAGCCGGTTACAATTCCAAGGACTTCAGGACTTGCGGTCTTCTTCAACGAGCTCAGCATCTCAAGTGCGTGCTTTTTGTCCAATTCCTCTTGCGATGCTTGTTTGAATTGGGATCCAGCCTCGCTGTCCGTACCACTTAAACAACAATTCTTCAGCCCGCTTTCTCGGCAGGATCTCCGCGTAATCCCTGCCTTCGCGCTCCGGGGCCGCTGGAAGTCTGTTATTTTCAGGTCGGAGGCAGCGCAGATATTGAAGGATATCTGTCCAATTGTGCGGCTCAGCAAATGCGAATACTCTTTCCATTCGGACAGCGGGATCCAAAGCCGCAATCGTGTAGAGGCGGGCAACATCTTCAACATCCACAAACCATTCTATTTTTTTTATTGTTTGGAGAGTTAGTGGATATAATGCTTCACGGGTGAGTCGTCAGTGCTCGACGTACTTGGAGGAACCAATGAAATGACTTCTCCTTTACCCTCTAAAAGATCTTTTACCCATCTCATCGTTGAGCCACTGATCTCTTGGTGCAGGATTTTCCCAACCTACAAAAGTGAGCAATCCAGTCACATATTCCATGGTCAAGAGCTCGACTAGTCGTATATAATTTCTAGACTTACCGTGTACGACGCCACCACGACATTTAGTTCAAAGAGAGGTCGATGCTTTTTGACCCAATTCCACGCCGCTCTTTCTGCCTCAGTTTTACACGCAGCATAGATCGCCAGCCGTCTCTTCCATTGTAACGCGTCGTTGGAAGGGGCAGACTGGTCACAAGCCCAAGCCTCTCTAACAGCCTCGTCATTCCATGTATCTGTGTATTCCACAGGCTTAGAATTAGTTCTCTCCCATTGACTATCTGGAAAGGAGAAATGGACTGACGTTCAGTGATCTGTATGCCCTCTTGGTTAGGCATGCTTGTGTAGACGGCCATCGAAGAAGAGCCTAGAATGACCCTTCTGACGGAGCGCTGTAGGCTTGCGGCTTTCAGGACGTTGACTGTCGAGCAAATGGAGAGCGGAATAACGTTTTGTGGGCAATCCGTGATAGGGATGTCCCCCGCCTGCGGTTCTCAGTATTCTGCTGCTTCGTCACACTAATTAAACCACTCTAGCGGTGCAAGAGACTTACCAGGTGTAGGACGCCATCCACTCCATCCAAAGCGTGCTTAATCAGCCCAACATCATCAAAACCGGACAGGATGCATGTGGTGAATTTATTGCGTCCATAGATTTCCGCAAAGAACTGGTCTAGCCACGGCTTTTCATCACGGACAGTTCCTCGGACACGATAGCCAGAACGCAGAAGTTCATTGATGACTTGGCTAGCAATATATCCATTAGCCCCGGTTACAAGAATTAGGGAGCCAAATGGTAATGCCAAAGTGGTTCTGGTCATTTGAAATCCGTCCTAGCTAGCTGGCTATGAGCCCATAGAAGTAGCCATGGGCTACCGTTCGTCCTATAAGACTAATTTTTCTCCTACAATTTCTGCTGTTTGGCCATGGGTGGGCTGAAAGAAGCACCGAGAATGCGCCCTTACTTAACAGGTATTGTCTGTACCTCTTCTAAGGAACTTATTGCATCATATAGAAAATATAGCGCCCCACGTGAGTCACCCTTGCATCACCCACCCCCACCCATTTATACTCATAGTTCTGCTGGTCAAGGTTGCATACGATTCTTGAAGTGGTAGTTATCTGTGCCCACACCGGGAAGCGGTGTGGGTGCGCTATGAAGGCACAGATATGCCCTGACTTGCGTTGCTACATACCTCCATTCGTTTGGCCTGCCACATTGTGCGATAATTGTAGCATTGATATCCACCGCTTGAGGAGAACGGCCACGACCTGTCTAAAGAGTAGAAAGAAAAACAAGAGGGGGAATAAGACCCCGCTTCTACAGTGACGTTTTACGACGGTGGTGTTGGTGGGTGGTATTCATACGCTGACCGCTCCCTCGCCTTCAGAGATATGCAGGATATCAAGATATTGCAAGTAGATTCCTTCCCCCATGCTCAGCTGATTCACTTAATCTTTTATGCCAGGTTGGAGACATAGTGACGTGTTAATTAATTGATAACAATGAGACGCGGTCAAATATACAGTTCCGAGTTTGGGTGTCCAGCCCCAGTTGGAACCAAACCTGATCTGTTCTAATTAGGTGAGACGCCCCTTGGCCTAGATAGGCAGTCATTAACTAACGCCGGTCAGATTTAGTCTGGTTTAGTTTTAATTTGGGTTAGTTTTAGGCCTAAATTTGAATGGTTCTCAGACCTCAATTTCTCCTACGCCTAGGGCCTACCAAATATGCTTATATAAAACTATTATTTTTATATGAAATAAACAGTGATTACCATCATACGAACCTAGATCGAAAATATCATTCAATATCTAGAGGGTTGAATGGGCGGTGGGTAAAAGTCGTTTGTAAACCAGTGTAGATGAAGGTTGATGCATGTATATATATGCCATCCGCGTCATTGGATTTACGCTGTTCTAGAATTCCTCCCAGAAGCGGGCAGGGCTATTGTAGATGAACCGGGCTACAGAGAGAACGCTGCGGTGATCTTTCGAGACGTTTTGTGGCGATGGGCGATGCGTTTTGGTTCTCTCAATCTCAGCCAAAGCACCTTGTAGCTGTCAAGGTCATGGTTGGAAGACGCTAATATATCCTGCCAAATTCGGCTCTCACTCCTTGTGCCCTGCCAAGCGTGCAAACATAGGTAACATCCGAAATTTCCAAGCAAACTGGCTCCAGTGACCACATATACCATGACTGACGCCAGTATGATGGAGGACTCGAGCAATTATATAACCACCAAGGGTAGTGGTCTGTTTGCACTTGAGTTGTGGTTCAAATATACCCACTTTTAGCCACTTTCGAACAGCATATCATGATCGCCCCTTACAAGGGTATGAGAACGGCCCTTCTGGGGGATTCTTAGCAGCGTCTACTCTGCTGATTTATTGCAGGATTTCTATGCTAAGCTGATCTCAAATGTGGTGATTAATCGACCTTGTAATCCAACCCGAAGACCACAGTACCGCGACTACTAGCTTGCAATAGACGCCATAACGTATACCTTGTTCAATCACAGAGAACCGGCTTTGACCAGCCAAGAATCCGGCCTGGCTGCTGTGACATGACGCTGCGAAGAACTCTAAGCACTAGACTCTGGCTTCTCTTCAGAGTCAGTATTCCAGTATACGAAGTGCAGTTGTGCATGATTCCTAAGTCTACCGCATTTGTGAGCAGCTCAAGTTGACCATACCCAAGACAAGCTTAATAATATGGAGGAAGAGACTTCTTAGCATCAAGACAATATACGCATCCAACGCAAGCCCACTCAACGTTTAGTTTCTGGTATGCACCAGCTTTCCCTGAACCCACACCTTCTTCACATTCCGATCGTCACCACTCCACATCCACTTCTGAATCTGCTCCTGCCAAGTCTCATTTCCGAACAAATTAACGTTGCCCACAGGTCCAGACTTGGCAAGGATCCGACCAGGGAAGCCATGCACACCTGCCACATCAGACGGGCTCACAGTGTTATTATCCACAGCACCCAGCTCAATCAGTTGCGCATCCCAAATCATCCCCTTATCGAACCCGCCAATGTCATCCGCCATGTCGACGACGGCTGCGCCGCCGCGCGTGGCTAGATAAAGACTCTCCTCGACGGAAAGCTTCTCATGCCCAGTCGATGTTGAGTTACCTGTCATCTCTTGGAAGTCGGTGCTATATCTTAGCAATCTAGACACCAGGCAAGCCTGTCGGGCCGCTTCAAGGATGCTTGGGCTGTACCCGCCACTCACATCCGTGCCCAGACCAACCGTGAGGCCTTCATCGAGCATGATGCGGACAGGAGCAAGTCCAGAGCCGAGGGCGGAGTTTGACGCTGGGCAGTGCGATATCTTGGAGCCACGCTCGCGGATGAGGTTGCGCTCGTTGTGGGTGAGGTGCACCCCGTGCGCGAGGATGGTGCGGGAGGTAAGGAGGTGAGCCTTGTCATAGACGTCGGCGTAGCTGGTTGCCTCCGGGAACAGTTGGTGGACGAGGTCGATCTCCTCGGTGGTCTCGGAAATATGTGTTTGAATGTGGAGCGGCGGGTTGTAAGATGCGGCCAGTTTGCCTAGGCTAGTGAGGGAGTGGATTGAGCAGCTTGGGGCGAATCTGGGAGTGATTATCGGGTTGATCAATGCTCCTTTCGGGTCAAGGGCCCGGATGTAATCGATTGTCAACTTTGTGGCGTTCAAGCCATCGTCGGCGGACTGGTCTACATAATATGGCGGGCATTGATCGCGGTTGTCCATGCAGACGCGGCCGATGAAGGCGCGTTGGCCGCGGGAGTGGCAGAGTGCAGCCAGGGCGTTGGTGGCCGGGACGTGGATGGTGGCGAAGTAAGATGCGCATGTTGTGCCATGGGCAAGTGTACGAGCGACGACTTGATCATAAACGCGCAGGCCCTCGGGGGGCGTGTCCTTGGGATCAGTCTCTTGGTTGTTTGGGTCTGACTTGGAGCCAAAGCTAGCTTCTAGCGGGAAGGTGTATTCATTCAGCCAGTCCAGGAGGCCTGCCGATCCAAACAGCCCAATGTTGGGGAACTGCGGCGCGTGGATGTGGGTGTCTATTTGGTCAGTACTAGTCAATGGTCAACGAAGTAGATAGGACATACCGATGAATCCGGGAAAGAAGAACTCGTTTCGTTCATCGACTGACTCCACAACTTTGACTTTGGTGGATGGACCGGCATTGTCATTAGTTGTGACATCCCCGTCAGTCCATCCATGGCGAGATAGGAACGACTGGAAGCTGGAATCGTCGCGAACTTGCCAATCATAGCCCTTGATACGGCCATCTCCGGAAGAGACCCAGAGAACACCTTGTTTTCGGGCCAGCTCCGGCTTCGACAAACTCGAATTAAGCCGGGGGAAATGAATAAACGTACCGCGATAGACGGTATATGCATATGCGGTGGCCTTTGCCCCGGTGCTGCAAGCATTAAGCAACACAAGGCACCAGCACAATGAAGGCCACACCACGGAAAGTCTGGAAACATTCAGAAACATTATAAAAATGGATGCGGATCGATGGTCACTGTTCGGATCAGTCCACGATCCTAAGGGGAGCGCATATTGATATATCCTGAGAATGCTGCGGAAATGAACAGTCAGACTGAGCAGTACCAGAAGGGACACGCCTAGCAATTCACCGTGGAGTGTGAACATACATCTGCTGGATCTGAGGGCGGTCTTCGCCGCTACAGCAGCGTCCGGCAAACTGAGTCCATGTAGGGACTTCATTGTCACTGAGCCTTTTGAGCTCGGCGTTCGGCCGTTTCCGACAGATTGTGCGTATTAGGGACATATCAGAAAGAATGGCAGGTAAATGATGCGGGAGTGTATAGTAAGCTAATCATTGGTAAGAGGTGCCCTAAGAAGTAGTCGCATTTGAGTAAGTGCATTTATACAAAGTATGATAAGTTAACTATATAGATGGTCTTTTTGCACAGGTGAATAATATACTAAATATGATAATATAAATGGATTGTGTGAGGTTAGGACTATATGCGAATGTAAACTTGCAAGGCTTCTGTATGCTATGACTGAGGAGTCCTCTTGTAGAGAATGAGTGAACTAGAAACTGCTTCATAAGGTTGGAAAGACACGCCCGCGCATGCGATGCCTGACGAAACATGAATAAACTAAAATAGAGAAAAAGGTCAGTAATTAAAGTATTAACTTGCAAATCCTTTCCGTTTGAAGTGAGTGAGTGCTATCCTCGACGCACAACCCCTCTTCCGCACTGACCCAAACAACCAATTTTAGCGAAGAAAGTATTTTGAGGGGATCTTGCACGAGGGACATTTCTAGGGAGCCTGAGTCAATAATAGTTCAAACATGACTGGCTCAGCCCCTCTTGTCATTTATATTCCTAATGCCCCATACATGTACCCATCCAACATCTCCACATTTGATCTGTAATACAATACAGTATATATAACACTGGGAAACGGAATACTAGACTTAAACTAGCTGTCTTATCTTACTTACACTATATTAAGTCAGAGGTTTGAAAGGACAAATACATTCTGGAGATCTGCTTGACTTATTTTAAGAAATTTTGCTGGAGTGGTACCATAAATGCAACTACTCCTGGAGACTATTATCCAACCTTGAACTTCAATAGGTAAGGGGGAAATAATTGGAGAAGCGGAGCTAGGGCGACAGGAAGCGCGATAGTTCATTGACAATTACTGATTTGGCTCTTTCACCACTGGCAATGAAGGCTAAGTATGGTTACCCTGCGCCACCTGGAAGACGAAGGAATAAAGACGTTACGGTACTTTTGACTGTCCGGAAATGTATAGGTTAGATATGACGCTGCCTGTGA